TATATATATATATAATATATATATTTTTTTCTTGTGCTTCTATTTTGTTCTTTTTCGTATATAATATATAATAGTAAAATATATCTATTATATATGTAGTTTTACGACCTCGATTATAAAATTTTACAATACGAGTCACTGTTTTTACATCACGCCTCCCTGGACATTTCGTTAAATCTACCAAAATTACAAGCTTTTCCCTGAAAAATTTTATATATCGAAGCAGGAGAACAGAACTTCACTAAAGTCGTGTAACATCGATCCAAATAATTTCGTGGTCGCCATCTCTGTTTAATAAATAAAGAGAACAAATTCTCCACAATTAAACAAAATAATGTAAAAGTGTATCTCTCTCTATTGCGAATCAACTGTGTTGTGGCTTAATAAATCACAAAACAATAAAAGTATTAAATACACGTGTAACGTGTTCATTTATATTGACGTTAATTAACATGCTGTACTAAATTAAATGATATATATTCGCATACACACGTCTGTATACGTAATGTCTTAGACGAGGCATTTAAATCGCGGCGCGGAGCACAAGTATTATTATTACGAATAATATCAAACGCAAATGGTTCGTCGTAATTTTTATGTAATGACGATACAACGTTATATACGATTTTTCGCGATGCTGTTAAATTCGCGAAGATGAAAGATCAGATTCTGACCCGAAAACGCTCGTCGCTTGACACGAATCGATGGTTACTTCTCTCTGCGTCTGTGCCGTCTCTCTAACAGCCGTTCCTTTCTACGAGACAACGCCTATAATAAGGGTATCGCGGTGTTAATAAACGGCCTCGCGGTAAAAAGCCGATTGACAATCAAGTGACAATACATTTCGTCGACGATCAGGCCGGCATGCCGTCGATGGAGCTTCGTCGACCGCATGGTCCGTCGTGGGATTCGCAAGCAGTCAGCACCACTTCAGAGCTGCGAGGTAACAGGCAAGTATGGAATATACATTCTCTACGTATGTTCCGGTCACACTGATCTCTAGCGACTACAGGCTCCCGCGCGTTCAAGGAATTTATCTCCCTCGCGTCGGGAGATATCATTTATCACGTCATTTAAGTCGGTAAGCGACTGGCAAAAATGTGACAGCCGAGCGAAACCGCGTTTACAGGAAATATTTTACAAAGAGAAAAATAATCTTCAAATCAATCAAAATAATAATTAAGATTATAGGATGAAAATCAAAAGAGATTAAGAGAAAATCAGTCGAGCTCTTTTTCTTCTCTAACAATAAATTAAAGAGAATTCTACAATAATAGAATTTCAATTTCAAGCTTGATTACTAAAATGTCAAACAGATGTTTGAGAATTTTGTAAGAGACGAGAGTACGGTAAATATCTCTTGACAGTTTCATTGTGAGAAAAAAGCGGCTGTTAATTTCTCAAGAACAATGCTATATATAAATATAGATTCTAATTTAAATCTCATTATCTATTGATTAAATAAAGTATCTTTGCGCTCGCGAATTTGCCACACCTGAATATTCGCGATTCCGAAAGGGCGTAACGTAGGAGTGTCTCGAAGAAGATCGGCGTCGAAAGACGCGCGAGATCCGCAACGCGGATTCCGATTCACCTCGTTAACTAAGGAGGAAGCGTCTGCGGCGAGACCGCGCATCAGCTGGGTGGAGTTTCCCGCGGCGTTGTACCGCCTTTGACAAATACTTGGAAACAGGATAGCAGAAGGAGATCCAGGGAACGAGAGAGGGTGAATCGGTGTCAGGGAACGGAGGAAACGCAGTGGCGGATCGGCATATATTAGCGATTCGATAAAAACTATAATCGAGTCAAAACTAATAATGACACGGAATTTTCTCCTAAAATTTACCCTGAAAATCATAGTAATCGTGGGACAATGTATGGTATTGGGAGAATTTTATAAGAGCTTTTCTAATTAATATTAAATTAATTAAAATATTTACCACAATAAAGAATATTAATATGTGCATAGTAAATTTTATTATGTATACATGATAAAATTAATCGAACATATTTTATATCTTATTGTGCTGGTATAGATATTCATATTTTTTATTGTGATAAATATTTTAATCGGAGAAACTCTTATAAAATTCTTCCAATATTATATTGTTCAATTATCATAATTTTCAGGATAAATTCTAAAAGAAAATTCTCTCTGTGTACTAATTAAATTTTCTTGCTCATAATTTTGCTAATATATCCCACCTAAAGCTATCGTTTAATTATAACATTGACTAATTTTTATATTTAAATTAATGAGGTACAACTATATGGAGTACTGCCTCAAATTTCAATATAGAAATATTATGAAGGTTTTAATCTAAGATTCTCTATATTATCATTATCGCGCCGTGGTATATGTTATTCGTATTTTCACAAGGATCTGAATATTAAAACAGTTTCGACAAATTGTATCTATAATAGCAAAAAATATCAAAATATGTTTGTCTCGAAAATCACCCCAATATACTGGCATCTAAATTAATAGAGACACCTTATCAAAGACTGAAAAAATGCCAGCAAGATTTACTTATCCTACAATTAATATAATGCATATAGAGAGTTCCAGCATTGAGTTCTTTCCCTTCTTATTATTAAGCATAAATATCAAAGATATAATACCGCTAAATATCATTTGATAGATTGTGATGTAATTTATGGCTAAAAAAATTACAGTTAAATTAAATTTGATAAATAGCTAAATACGTATACTTACTTTCATAATATAGCACAATTCTTGCCCGTTATCATAATTTTCAAATTTTCTTGGAGCACCATTAATTATAAGGGATTCGAGAGGCATATCGAGCCGCCATTGCAGCGGAAAAAGAAGGGAGGCGTTCGGCCCACTTCTCTCTTCCCGCCAAAGCCGGCTTATCGAGCGCGACGGCCGCCACGTGCTCGGTCTGATCGCACTCGTACATGTTCCCCTGCGAACGCAAGACTCGAGTGTGACCCGGCCTGGGGACATAGGCACGTCCTCGGCGAAGGTCAACGGACTCTTCCGTGTTCTATACGCTGTCGTATAGGCGTGCGCGTCAGACGATCGTGTGTCGACGGCGTCCGCGAATATATACATATATACATACGTCAATGGCAATACGCAAATGTACGCGTACGTGGGAGTCGCGACCAACGCGCGACTCGTGCTCTCCTACTATGTTGCGCGGCGCCTCGACATCTTGCGGTCCGTGCGGATTCCTTGCCGCGCGACGACGCGTAGCAACGACCGCGTCGGAATGACGAATGCCGGACGAGATACGCCGAGAGGGTTTTTTATATATATATATATGTTTAACCTATATTAAAATTCCGGTCAATTTAATTGACGATTAATTCGTCGATACACCTGCAGTATTTTCTGTTAATGCAAAAAGAATTATTAACTTTTTCGTTGTTTGATATTTATGAGAAAAAAATATTGAAAAATAGAAGATAGTAGAAAAAATTTTAGACTTTAGGAACGAGATGAATTGGCCAATTCCGGTACTAGTTGATCGAGCTAATTGGAATTTGATCGTGCGATAAGAGAGTGATATTTTTTTACAATAAACTTGCATGCCATGCAATATCCTCTATTAGATTTTCTGTTAAAATTTCTTTACATGCGTTTAGACAAAATATCAAAATTTTTTAAAATGCGCATAACTCCTGTAAAAAATATAAAACACTTTTACGAATGTATTTGAATATAAAATATAAGATGTAATTATTTCTGTAAAATATTCTTATAATCCTATAGTATTTTTAAACGTCAAATTTCTGCTCAAGACGGTCCGGATAATTCTAATAATTCTATCCTATTTGCTGGCTAAGCCAACGGGAATCCGCGGATAAAGGAATCCGAGATTTGGGAAACCGTGTCCTAATCGTGTATCTTAATTGCGTGCTCTAATCGCGTATCCTAATCGAATGTATACCATTCCCGATTATATGCTATTGCACGTAGATAAAATATAAAATACGCGAAATGTTTTCTCGTATCCTCTTAAAGGTACTCTCAAATGTACCTCTTGCTATACATTTTGACCAGTATTGGTCCTTATTTTACGCAGCTTATGTCCATCCTTTGGGCCAGTTGGACCTACCTTTGCTGGCCACATTTTGACCTCTAACCAGAGATCCAAAAAGGAGATAAATATTCCTTTTATTGCCGGCTACTTATTGCCGGCGAATAAGCGCAAAGATTTTATATGCGCTCCTTTACGTTGACAGACGCACGCATTATCGAGGAAGAGAAATTCCTTCTTTTGCCGGCTAATTATTGTTGCCGGCAGATGAGCGTAAACATATCACGCTCGTTGACGATCGTTACGAGATCGTTCGTTTGATGTTGATTTTAATACTACTACTTTACTCTATTCCAAAAAAGTCAAGTTTTTAATCAAATTAGATTGACTGAAATTTTTATAGTAATATATAATTTATATATGACAAAATAAAATTAACAAAATTAAGTAAAAAATAATTTTTATATTAATTTTTATATTTTTAAATATTTTGTAATTATTGTAAAAAATAATTTATACTATTTATCATTCTTTTACAGATAATAACAGATTTAATTAATTGATCACTTGACTTTATATCAGTTAAAGCAAAGTTTAACTAGAAAGTTTTATAGAATATGGATGGATGAGCTATAAAAAATTAAGGAAAAAATCGGCGCGCGATTGTAAGATTAAGTGACTATATACAATAAAAAAAATAGCGTCCTTTATTCAATAAATTAGATTAAAAAATTTTTAATTAAAGAAGTGCTTTTTAATCTCCTTTATTAATTTATACTTTATAATTTATAATTTCCTTTCGTAATAGATGCAATGCATATTAAAAGAACTTATTAAGAGTTATTAACTTTAATCCGTTTTTTTATAACTCATCCATTTTGAGGCAACGAACCTATATAATCTACAATCTACTTATAATCTAAAATTTACAATCTATTAATATCTACAATCTACAAATTTCTACAATTTCTACAAATTCGTTACCTCAAAATTATTAAATAAAAATTTATCACTCACCGACACCGATGCGCAACAGCGGAGTTGTTGATATTGAAGCTATGTTGTCTGTAACAAATAGAAAATTCAAATTATAAGAATGCGATAAATAATTAATTAATTTCAAGAAATTATTATTATACCTATCAAATTTTATATTTGGTACATACAATAATAAATAGATATATGTATATATATATATATATATATATATATATATATATATATATATATATGTATATAATTTTATAAATACAAAAACAATTTTTTAAAATAGAAACTTAATAGGACTAACAATAAAACAAATGCGCGCTACGTATGCGTAAATGTTTTATAAATAAATGTAATTCATAAAAATAATATAAAATATGTCTATTTTTTTATCTATCCTCAACTTTTTATCTATCAGTCAACAACTGTGAACAACTGTTCACCCTCGCAGTGACAGTCGCTGAATGATATACGAATATAACACACAACGCGAAACGAGACAACATTATTATAGTCAACAATATCAATAACGGAGATAATAATCTATTCATGATTTTATTGTCGCGCTTTACATTATGTTATGTCACGAGTTTCTTACATATTTTATATAATCGAATAAAGCACCATTTTATTAATATTTTTTTATATATTTCAACACGATCTATTAAAGTTTTAATCGACGTAATAAAGATCATGTGTACAATAGGATTATGTATCCATTGTGTATATAAACAAACATGTGTACACATTGCACACATGACCGAGTCGGACACACGTTAGAGATAGACACTGATAAAACTTTTAAAAAATGAAAGAGCGTGTTTAAAAATATCATTATATACATTAATAAAATAGCCCACCGAGAGATAATAAAAAATATCGAAAAAATACGTACATAAAGTATAGGACTATATAGGACTCGACCCTAAGATTAGAAAAAAATTAATTATCATTGCTAATGATTAAAACGTAAAAAAATGAAAAAACGTGTTTAAAAATATCGAAATATATTAATGAAATAGTCCTCCGAGAAACAATAAAAATTACTAAAAAAAACACGTGACGTTACATAAGATTATATACTCGATGCTAAAATTAGGAAAAAATTAATATTATCGCCTTTTATTATTAAAATATACAAATAACAATACTCACCCTAAGGTTGCTCCGCTGATGCCCGATGTTTTCTCATCCTCTCAGGTTGTAAGAGTCGACAGCTCAACGCTGGAATTCTGTAACATACAAATAGAATCCAAATTGTAGCAACGCCAAAAATATTTAATTAATATTACAAAAAATTATGCATATTGCAAATTGTTTATACTTGATGCTTATATTAATGAGCAGATAAATAATGATATAACTATTTTTTAAATAGAAACTTTGACAGGACTTGCAAGAAAAGTTAATTGAAAAGATTGTTTCTCTAATTCTTCCTTGTTTAAATAATTTAAATAAACAATCGAATTAATGTGCGATTTATATAACAATTAATATACAAAATAATCAATATTTACCCTAGGGTTGCTCTGCCGGTGCCCGATGCCTCTCCAAGGCCTCCTCCTCCTCTCAGCGTGTCAAAGTGCACCGTTAATTAACACGCGCGACACTTTTAACGGCACTCCCGCACTTGTACGCACGATACTTTTAACGGCACTCTCGCACTTGAACGCGCGACACTTTTAACGGCACTCCCGAATTTTACAATTGAAGCCCGTTTTACTTTTAACGGTACTTCTGAAATTAAGAAATAGAACTATTACGCGAAACACGACACGAATGTCGAATCGCGCGCAGCATATCGGAATAAATCTTAAAGGATTAACCGTCCAAGTACTGAAGCCCTCCATCATGTCAAGGTGTACCTGTTGGGAGGAATTACTATATTATATAATTTTATATTATAATACAATACAATAATTCATATAGAATCACTAGATCAAAAGATTAAAATAATGAGAAATTGTGATATTAGATTATCAAATGAAATATATTTGCCCTCAAGAATTTCTCTACAACAAAAGAAAAATAATTATTATCCATAAAAATCGATAATCGAAAGATCATAATCGCTTTGACAATAATTTATCGTTACAATACAGTTTTATATCGATTATCAATTATAGTTTAATAATTATGAATGTATAATCATATCGTATTATTAATCAATATACTAATACTAATCGATCGCGTTTCGAAATAGAATTCGACAATATATGAAGCATTTTCCACTACAACTTTATTGCTCGAATGTCGGCACGTAAATGACAACAATAATTGACAATATTAAGATTGAATACCATATTACTGATAATGCATTGTTGCATAAAATTTATTTTTAAAAATATATTAATTATTTATTAAATAATTAATGTATATTACGGAGTCTATTATTATTTATATTACTCGGTAACTCCTCTCTCCTAAGATCGATACTGCGCTTTCAAATCTAAATTATATTTATTTATATTTGTCAAAAATCGAACGATAAAGCATCAGATAAAATACATTTGTCTTTAAATGTTGTCAAAATAGTTTACGCACTATGATAATATCTATACGTGAGATACAAAAGTTTTGCTAAAAATTTTCAATGTATAAATGAATTATTTATTAAGCAACCATAAAATTATAAAATATTTTTATTATTGTCACTATTATAATGATTAAAATTTTTTTTAAATGAAAACATGTGATCGAAAATATAAGATAAATAAATAAAAAAACATTGAAAAAACACGTGAATAACGTAACGTTATACTGTCTATTTGGCGACTATAAAATTATGAAAATTTTAATTATTGCTGCTAATGAACTCTTTAAAACTTTTTAAAAAATAAATATAATTCATCTGATAACTTGGCTTTGTCAATTAAAGTTTTATAAAAACATTTTTTAATTTTGTGGAAATAGACGGATGAGCTATAAAAAAATCGAATAAAATCAGTGTATGTTAAAAAAATAATTATTATTATATCATTATATCAGTATTATTATCATACAATTAATACAATCATTAATGCATTTCTTATTAAATAAATTACAAAAAATTTAGATATATATCAAATGAAAATAAAATTACTCCATTTTAAAAGTTCTACTTTAAAAATACTCAATTAAAAGTTATTATTAAAGTTATTCGACTTAATTTTTTAAATCAATCTAATTTGTTTTATTCTAATTTGTTCTAGCTCATCCATTTGTTTCAGCCTAACCCATTCATTTTAAGGCAACACATTTTTTTATTTACATAGAAAAAATTTTACAATACACAATACAATATAAAATGTAATTATAAATTTATAATTACATTTCCATGAGAAAATGTAAAAGGATTAACTAATAGCAACGATATTGTTAGGTAACATAATGTATAATGTATAATATATAATTTTAATAATCTTTATTTTTGAAAATATATTATATCGCCATATATAACATTTATATGCTTTATTTTGTATGCATTTTTTATTTGAAATAAATGCAATATTTAAGAATATATTTTGTGATATTCTTAAATTAATAATATAAAAAGAGAAAGATATAAAATCTAGTAAAATATTTATATATTTTTGTGAAACGTAGAACAAAAAAAATACATCCTTATAAAACTGAATCTCTATTTATCGAATTAATTATCGATGTAATGAAGTATAATAAAAATGTCATAGTAAATATATTGAAAAATAAGGCACCTGAAAAATGTTACATTGCCAGAAATTTTGCCAAAAACAAAATAAATAATAGTTAATATATTATGTATGGTATGTATGGTATGTATGTATACACGTACTGAATGAGTCATGGAATTTCGAAATTGTTTTATGCATATTTTAATATATATATATACTAGCATATGTATATGTATGCATTATGCTACATGATAAAACATAAACGCGTCAAAATATGCATAAAACAATTTCGAAATTCCATGACTAATACAGTAAGTGATAACATTAAACGATAGCACGATATATATATATATATATATATATATATATATATATATATATATATCGTGGTTCAAAAAAAAGTGTGTGTACTCTCTACAGTCGTGTGGTCAATAAGGTTGCGGCATTTTTTTTTTTTTAGTAAATTTATGAACACGCAATCAAATTAATTTTCATAAATTCACTAAAAGAAAAAGTGTCTCAATCTCTGTGTTAATTAATGTTAATAATTTAAAATTAATATTAACACCTCTGTGTTAAGTTACTGTTCATCAACAAAAAGTGTCGCAATTTCACTGACCATGACTGTACAAAATTTTGATACGACTTTGATCTTCGATTGATTTACTCACTCTAGGCGGATTATTTCGTCGGCGACTAATGCCTTTTCTAGATCTCTTCCCCTCTCAGTATGTTGGTGTCATTAGCTGTGTTGATCTGTAACATATAAATTAAATATAAATAATAGAATTAAATCTAAAATTATAGAATTAATATTCAGAATTAATATTCAGAGTTAATATTTCAGAAATTATTATTATGTATACAGATTTAAATTTTAGATATCAATGCATACAATAATAAAATAAATACATAATTAAGGAACTTTATAAATTTTGAAAAAATTATGACTTTATTTTTTAATTGAAATCTCTATCAGATTTTTGAATTCAGATGTAAAAATATTTTATTTCAAAATCTCTTTCATTTAAATTATTTAAATAAATAATGAACTTAATTAATTGCGTGTAGTAAAACTGTTTTTATTACATTTGCACACTTAATAATAAATAAATAATAAATTATTTAACCTTATATCAACTTCGCCATCATTTGATTGCAGTCCCAGACCTTCTCCTCTCTTATTCTTTCACTATTGTTATTATTTCTTGATGTCATTCACTATAACGAAAACAATTACAATTAAACGCACACTCGCAAAAACAATTAATGATGAATACGCGCGTCCGAATTAATCATACTCAAATATAACTAATAAAAACACAGGACACTTAACATGGCATTTCCAACTTTAATATGTCTACCGACGTGCACTTGATTATGGCGGGAAACACGCAGAAAAAGTGCGCGAAACTCGACACGCGCAGCCTCTTGCGACGTCTCTAGATACTAAAACTTTACATGCGCGCGCGCCAATACAGAGATCATCGATAATCACACAAACACTATATTTATTCGCTACGCGATCGAAAATTAATAAAATATGATTTCAAAATACATGCCAAATAATTATTATAAATTGCGTCTCAAAAATTAACATGATGTCGCTGTTAATGTACAAATAAATATTTGTTATAAATCGGTTATTCATATCCCAGCGAGAAATGATCGCGTCTAATCGTTATATCGATTCATCGTCGATTCGACCAATCGTTTCTCGCTGAGATGACGTAATGACATCGGCAACTTCACGTGTTGATATAGCACCAGTCGCATTAACCTAATGAACAATTGAAAAATATACAAACGAAATCGATTATAATACATTTCGAACAGATAAATTCTATGAATATTATTAAATATAGATATTCAAATTATAATTTTATTTTCTAGCGATATATTTTATTCGCATCATCATTATATATACATCATACGCGAAATATAAATTATTATCTCGCACTTATTAGGAGCTATTTAATCGTACAAATTTAATAATTGTGCGAGATAATACTCATTATTAAATAATTATTCATCAGAGGAAAATACTTTTATAATAACCGCTTTTCGAAAATTAATGAATAACTTACGGAGCTCGTTGCTTCGCTGCCTACCTGTTCGAGTGTTGCTGTGCAAATGATAAATAACGTAACCGCGCGAAAATAATATATATTTAAACTGAATGTATTTATATTTATTTCTATATATCGTAGAATATATCGCAAAATAAATGTATGCCGAATATTCTCTTTGATTTCGATGATTAATTTTGATGAAAATCTATTAAACGCTCAATCAAGAATTTTTAAGTATAGATTAATTAGTTATTAAATATATAATTATCACAGAGCATATTACTTATTTTATAACTGAGAATTGATTTTTCAACGTTGGTCATCCTGAATTTTTCGTTCGGACTCTCCTCGTCGTTCCAGGAACTTCCTTTGGCGCTAATGTCGCAGCACGTTGATATTTCTTCCAGCTTCCGTTTTTGAGAGCTTGTGTACGTTTTTACGAGGTTTTACAATTTTTTTATCCACACATCTGCACAAAAAAGACATGTTCAAGAAATTATATTTTTTCTATTAATTATAACATTAATTCTTTGTATTTTCCCATAATTAGTATGTATATATAAAGATCTATAGAGATAGTTTCTTTCACAATTTATCTAACCTCAACAGCTGATTTGTACAGTTTTCTTAAATAATTGATTTATATATTACAGATGAAATAAGCTAATCCAGAAAATGGCAAAGTCAAAGAATCATACAAATCACAATCAAAGTAAGTATGTTACAATTAATTATAATCTGCGCTAAATATAAAAAAATACTTTCCAAATTATTAAAATATTCTAATGATAATCTTTTTTTATTATATAATTTTTACTATTCTTGAGACGTCATTAAATACAATGAAATATATATTTTGCAAATTGAAGTTTTCACTAATTATTTATTGTATTTTTTTAGATCGCAAAGCTCATCGCAATGGCATCAAAAAGCCTAAGAGGTACAGACATGAATCCACACTTGGTGTAAGTTTTATATTGTAACATGTTATTGTGTGGGTGTGGCTTTATATATTTAAGCATTTTATATTTCCTATAATAATTAAATCAGATTTATCTAAAATATTGTGCAATGTACAAAACATTGTTTCGTAAAAAATTCAGATATTAACTCATGGATATTTAATGTAAATGTTTAGTCTTATGTGATATAATTTTGCTTTTAAAATTATACATGTATCTTTTGTGCTTATTTTTCAGATGGATTTGAAATTCCTGAGAAATCAACGCTTTGCCAAGAAACATAATTTGAAACCAAAAGCTCAATTAAAGAGGGCAGAGCAGCGAAAAGCTCTTCGTGAAGCTAAGAATAAGAAATAAATTCATTGTATACTAATGATTAAAATAAATTAAAAACTCGTTCATAAAAAAAGAATCTTATCCTACATCTCTATAACGTCAAGTTTTATATTTAATCTAGTCTAAGAAAATTTACATAGGAATATATTAGATAATTCAAAATATAAATTTTATAAATGTAGAGTAAAAATAGCTCGGAATATCGCAGATCTAGTACATTATTCATCATTTTACATATTTTGTGCTCTTAGCAACTGTACAAAATTATACAGTTATATCAATATGGCCGCAGAACAGGTTAAACAAGAGACAGATGCTCCACTTACAAAATTCGAAATAAATAATTCAACAAAACCGAAGAGAATTCTATTGTTTAGTGGCAAGAGAAAGTCTGGAAAGGACTATATCACTGATAATTTGCATAAAAGGTATTGTCCATCTACAGTATTTTCTAATTATCCATAATTAATGTAGACTACTTAATACAATTTTCACATTGAATTTTCACATGAAGCTATTAGAGCACATTAAGAAAATAATGATAAAAACAAATTATATACTAAAAGTATATTTTCTAGTTTTTAGTTACAGAATGTATTGTTTGCTGAGAGATATAAATATTTTAATATTTATATAATATTTTAAGTAATCTAATCATCAAATCTATATCAATTTCAGAATTGGTTCGCAAAGGAGTGTAATTATACGATTATCAGGACCTATCAAAACGCATTGGGCAAAATCTTTAAATCTTGATATCAATCAATTATTAGGACATGGAGAATACAAAGAAAAATACCGACTTGATATGGTTAAATGGGGAGAGGATATGCGTAAGAAAGATTATGGCTACTTTTGTCGTGCTGCTATTGATATGTATGACGGTACAGTGCAAAATCTTTATTAAAATAGAATATATATATATATATATATAATTTTATATATATAATTATGTTTATATATATTATATATGTTTATATATATATACTTATGAGATATACATTTACATAATTATATATATAAATAAACATATATAATATATATATAATACATTTTTATATAAGAATATTATATATGATACATTTTTATATAAGAATGTGTTTACATTCTTTACAGCATGGAATAAATCAGTATGGGTAATCAGTGATATCAGAAGAAAAACTGACATTAAATGGTTCATGGAAAATTTTGGAGATTTATGTAAAAATATACATATAGTTTGCTCTGAGGAAGTTAGACAAAAACGTGGCTGGATCTTTACACCAGGTAAAAAAACAATATACCGTAATAAAACAATTTCAATGAGACTTGTATAACTTTCTTGAAAAAAATTAATAATCATTTGTAATTATAGGTATAGATGATTCAGAAACAGAATGTGATTTGGATGATGTAAATAATTGGGATTTGTTGTTGGAAAATAATGATAATGTTGATACAGAAGTTTTACTGCAACAGTTATTAGAACTAACAGGACTTGACTAGCAGAAATACTTCAATTTTATCAAATGCACAATAAAAAGTATTTCATAACTTTATTAATCTTAAGTGAAGATAAAAAAACTATATTATTTCTGACAATCTAATTATAATAATTTGTTATGCAAAAATGTTTTTGCAATATAAAATATATATATGAAATAAACTCTTACTGGATTTATATTCGCTTTTTGCCTTTTCCACGTCTGCAAATCACAAATAAATAGAAAATACACGCAAAAACTTCATTGTATTGTATTATACGTATAGTATATATTGAAAGTAACATGGCTTCTTGTTATTAGTGCAGGCAAGGTTAGGATCATGTACGAACAAAGAAATTTAATGAAAAAGTTCGTTATTAGGATAAAATGAAATCTATAACAATTTAACATTTTTCTTGCAAGACAATCTTTGAAAAAGTGTATTCATCGCAATATCTGTTTTAAAGTAATTTTAATTACTTACAAGCTACATATCTGAGCGTACAACAACTGTCACGGACGATTCATGGTAATTATATATTAGTTATTTGATCTATTATAATAATTATTTATTATATATTCTTACGCCTAATTATATATTGTTATGTAAAATTTTAATATTTTTATGACATTTTTGCTATACATGAATTTTTTTGTTTTCAACATCATGTCTGTATTTGGTATCAATTTTTGTATAATAATGCACGATTTTTATTTTTAGCTCTGCACAATCGTATCCAAATATCCAAAATATCGACGTAAATTGATTGACGAATAAAATTCGTTGGAATAATGGAACACACAATTCCATCCGATATCCTTGATGATCTCAGTAGGTTAGTTCCTGTGGAATATCAACATGTAACAATAGTGATTCTTAGTGGAAAGAAACTTTAACATAATTGAATCACATTTTCTCATTAGATACAATCAGAATTTATGATATTCTTACATTTTATCTTTGCAGTCGATTTATTATCAATGTTCCTGAGGAGGAGAGGAAAGATTTGGTGCGAATTTGCTTTCAAATCGAATTGGCGCACTGGTTTTACCTTGACTTCTACTGCACAGAGGAGAATCCGAAGCTAAGGTCATGTAACATGAAGGAATTTTCCACCCATATATTCCAGCACATACCTTTTTTGAAGCCACATGTGCAGCACATTGATGCTGTGCTCGAACAATGGAGAGAATACAAGCAGAATGTGCCGACATTTGGAGCAATTGTGCTAAATGAAGACATGACCAAGGTGTTGCTGGTGCAAAGCTACTGGGCAAAGAACAGCTGGAGTTTTCCCAAAGGAAAAGTAAATGAGGATGAGGAGCCCTTTCTTTGCGCCATTCGAGAAGTGTTAGAAGAGACTGGCTTTGATATATCTAATTTAATAGATAAAAACGAATATATTGAATCTGTAATAAATGATCAAGTAGTGAGACTGTACATTATCTCGGGTGTGCAAAAGGATACAAAGTTCCAACCGAAAACGAGGAAAGAAATAAAAAATGTCGAATGGTTCTCCGTGGCAGATTTACCCAATACCAAGAAAGATATGACTCCTAAAATGAAGATCGGAGTTGGACCAAATGCATTTTTTATGGTTGTACCTTTTGTCAAGTAAGTAATTAATCTGTTTAATGTGTCATCTATAAAATTCATATATTTATTGAAAAATTGTGTTACATGTGTATTTTAATAAATCGCTTTTCAACCAGACGGATGAAGCGATGGATTCAAGAGAAACAACAACGTGAGAGACACGCTATGACTGTCCGAAGACAAAGGCATAAATCGTTGGGAGAGGTCGAGACTGTTCCGAAAAGCAAACGACAACAGATACTTTTCCATCATTTTTCTACTTGCCCACCACAAGTAGGCCTTCATCTGGTATCTTTGTTTCTCTTTTATGTTCTATAAACTAAGTGCTCAATTATATTCTCGCTTCATTTACAGAGTGAAGTTCCAGATTTTAAGATTAGCCGTCAATCGAACATCTCTCCAGCTCGCAATCGTCGTGGTACAAGCGACAATAAGAAAGACGCTCTATCGAAAGCAGCCTTTAAACGAAATCTATTTGGAGATCACGAAGAAACTCAATTGCAGGGTCTCACTAAATTAACAGATAGCCCTGCTCAGACTTGCTCATTTCTAATCGATCCTGCGATCCAGTCGATCAAGTCCAACGATTTCAATTACAAAGCACAATCTTGGGAAGAAGAAAAAGGTAAACTTTCTAGTTAATTAAATAATCTCTCTTCTATTTATAGTTTAAGATCCCGCTTAGAAGAATATATGTTATATAAATAATACATTTTAACGATATCTAAATTATATAAATAATATGCTTACCTTCTAAATATTTATCTATATATAATGTGCATATTTCATTAACAATCCCCGATATTAATACTGCATAATAATTATTTTTATCCAGATTGTCGCAAGAAAAGCCTACCAGAGGGAAATATTAAGGCGTTATTGTTTGGAGAAGCCGCATGCAAATTACAAAAAGATTTTAAAACCATTTCATCACTTCCTTTTGTAAATTCAGAACACGACGGTCAGTTTTTAAGGAAGAATTACATAGATTGTAAAGACCTTTCTTCTACTGATTTTTACTTAGAGAGTTGGCAGAATTTTAAATTTGATAGACAAGAAATATTGAAAAATTTGGAATCGCTATATATCTAATTCGGAAGAAATGGATTACCAAAATGAGAAGTGTAGATGTTAACCTCGGAGAGCAGGAATTTTCTATCTTTGCAGATTATGAAAAGTTTCACGTTCAAAACGTGTCATTATTTCTAATTATCGTTCATATTCATTATCTATAGTTGCTTTTCTTATCAATTTAAATTCAAGTTTTATTTCATGATTGTACTCTATTGTACATACTTTCGTTACTATATACATACTGTATATATATTATCTGGACATAAGCCTCTATCCTGTAACATGATGATAAATTTAGTGCAAATTCATACTTTGTTATATGAAAACCATAGGCATAGGAATATTCCTATGTCTATGCTGAAAACCATGAAAACTGATTACAGAGAAAAATCGCATGTTGCTTTTGTTCGTCAACCGCGCGCGTAATAAGATTTTTAAAAATTTTTATATAAAACATACTGATTTGAAACAAAAGAATTTGTTACTTTTTAATTAAATTTTGGTAATTCACTATTTTCGATATGATAAACTTTAAGAAACAGGTTGTTCTTAAATCATGTACAAATAATGGTATAATCCCATTTATAACTATAGAAAGGCAATTACAGCGCATAAATAATATATTGTACATTTTGGTTTTGATATCAACACTTTCTTGCTGAAGTTGTTAGTCTTTTTTTTTTAACGAATTGACGTTAAATTAGCGTTAATTAAGATAACATCTAACGTATAATATATTTGAAAAGAATATTGAGGACGATTATTAGGACACAGAGAATTAGCACAACTTGACCGATAAAATACAGTATTTTTTCAAAGACATGATTGCCGGTCTGCACACTTTTGATAATTTCGTTATTCAATTCAAAGACTATTTTACTTTCTTCGATAAGTTTATTTTTCGTGTCCTCGTCCAATGTCTCCGCAATTCTATTCATGGATTCGCGTAAGTCGCTCTTTAATTGAAATATACTGTTCTGTCCGAAGTCTGTGACATTGTTACCATCACTCGGCGGTGGCGCTTTAAAAGGCGAAATCTTTTGCATGAGCTGCCGCTTTTTGCGCAGAATAATACCACCGCTTAAAAGACCCATGTAAAGATGATAAATGTACGCCATTAGTAGAGTAGGATCCGTATCTTCTACTTCTCTTAAACGCATCAGATATTTAGCGACGCTATCTCTGAAACATTTGTAAAACAGTGTAATTTAAAATATTATTTTTACAATATTTAAACTATTACCAAGTTACTATTGTAAAAGACTGATATTTGTATTATTGTATTATAAATGAAAGGAAACAAAGTGATAGTTTTCATTGTACTATGACATGTGTATTCTATTACACATGATGTATACCTAGGACTATAGTTTTTCCTCCACCCTTTTCCCAAGTAATGATCAAGATCTCGCTCAAAAGCTTCTGTGCGTTGAAGTTCGCTGAGTGGAAGCAATCCAATTTTGGTGTTTCTTAATCTAATCATTGCACCTTCTAGATAACGAAAAACCTCGTAGAAAACCAGAAGCCCATCAGCCCACACAGAATCATCGAGAAACCCTAGTTGGAGTATACCAGATTACAGTACAAAGTTGAGATATACACAACCTAAAGAATCATTTCTTTGTTGTGAGAGATGCATGTGAACATAAATCTACATAATATTCAGTGCATTTATATAAACACTTAATGTTATCGTCAGTTATTATATACACACTATCAACATATTGGTCAAGTCATAAAACTTTTAGAAGTAATAAATGATAATTGCTAAAAGTTATAGCCAGTATACAGAAATAGAAGAGCTAAGATGACACATAAAACAAATATTTATCATTGTCATCTCATAAAAGAATCTTTGTTTCAGCAGTACACGGTCAAGTATGCACAACATGATGAACCAACATGCAAATTAGATTCCCAATTATTTACAATATTTCGAGAGATCCTCGCAGTTCTTACCAAATGCCAATTTCGCGTTCACCAGAGCATCGCTGATCGCGTGCACTCCTTTGAGGGCTTTTGCCATTTTCTTGCAAAAGTTCTCCTCTTCCTTGTTCGGCATTTTCGATAGCGCGATTATAACAATGGGTGGTCACGAGATAATGGCTTTTGTTGTGCTTTCGTTAGAATGTAGAACCGTTCACATCATCACGTCATTAACTTCCCGCGCGATTCTTCGGACTGTCACGTGAAAAATCTGTCGTGAAAACACTACGTTCATAACATCGACATCCATCATCCATCGGCCGCCCCTGCGCACTGACACGATCACGTGTTCGCGCCGCGATATTGACAATCGATTGCGAGATATCGATACTCACTGTCGACACTTTTTTGATTTTCACTTCCATAGAGTGGCGCAATCATCGTTTCATTATTGTTGTTTATAATCTTTATTTTTTCTATATATGTTTTCTTGTTCTTACTCTTTCTTTAATTCGATCTCTAGCTCTCTAATTTTCTAATAAATCTAATAATAATGCCTATCATTTTTTCAAATATTTAAACCATAAAAAGTGCGACAAAGTGCAACTAAACAATATTTAATAACGCAATAATTTCTATTTATTTTAATTACCTATGTTACATATGTATAATTATGTAACATTAATAAATTAAAAAATGCAGAATACTGATTAATTTCATATATTGCACACGATATAATTTGAAAAAGAAAGACACTCGATACCCAAACAAGATTCAATAAAAAATGCAAATTAATTTCGCTTTTGAATTGACGCAAGTTACAAAATACATAAACTGTAAATAATATGAGCATGACACTATTCGAGATAAAAAATGTGCGCTTTCAAAGTTAATTTAAAATAAAATAAAAAGAAACATTTATTTTACAATCAAATTCATTGCCTGATAATTATGTATAGGCCAAAATTAAATAATAAATTATTTTAATGATTTTTTATTACTTTTCACAAAAAAGTTAATGATATCTAAGAAACATATTGCAAAAAGTGCTACATTTCAGAACATTTCTAATGCAGATTTTATAGAAATAAACAAAATAACTTTATTATACTATCAATTTTGTTGTCTCCCAGTAACACGATCTACTATCGCTTGCGTTAGCACTTTCTGTGCCACGTTTCGTGCCAAGTTTGTCAGTTGTTCTCGAAAACCAGGACGTTTGGTGGTGGTCATATAATTTTGATCTGGATAATATCCGCCATCAGGACGTCTTCCTTGTGGATAATTTTGTGGATAACCGGATGGTTGACCTTGATTTGCGTATGGAGGACGTTGATTATTGTATGGATACCCTGAAGAGGGATATCCCGCATTTTGAGACGGATAGTTGCCAGGATATGACGGATTTCCTTGCGGATAGCCTGGATAGCCAGCATTTACCGTACTAGCGCCAGTTCGTCTAACGGTTTCTTCGTTATTAGAATTTCTAGAACTATCCGGATATCCAGATCCTGTCGGATAACCAGAACTACTTCTGGATGGATAACCGGATGATCCGCTAGATGGATAACCAGATGATCCACTGGACGGATAACCAGATGATCCACTGGATGGATAACCAGATGATCCACCAGACGGATAACCGGATGACCCTCTAGAGGGATAACCAGATGATCCACTAGAAGGGTAACCGGATGATCCACTAGAAGGGTAACCGGATGATCCACTTGAAGGATAACCAGATGATCCACTAGAGGGATAGCCAGCATTTACGGTACTAGCACCAGTTCGTCTAACAGTTTCTTCGTTATTAGAATTCTTAGAACTATCCGGATATCCAGATCCTGTCGGATAACCAGAACTACTTCTGGACGGATAACCGGAAGATCCACTAGAGGGATAACCGGATGATCCACTGGAAGGATAACCGGAAGATCCACTGGATGGATAACCGGAAGATCCGCTGGATGGATAACCGGAAGATCCGCTGGATGGATAACCGGATGATCCACTGGTTGGATAACCGGAAGATCCGCTGGATGGATAACCAGATGATCCACTGGTTGGATAACCGGATGATCCACTGGAGGGATAACGGGATCGAGGTTGATTTGTTGAATCGGAAGATCCAGAACTTGGGTAACCGCTACTACTGGGATATCCAGAACCAGATGGATATCCAGAAGATTTAGCAGGATTCAATTGGCCGTCCGAATTTCTAGATGTATCTGAAGATTCACGTATTTCGGCTTCTGTTTGATGACTATTCTCTCGTTTTTGAACTAATCGTGTCTCAACTTCGTCGCTCTCTGTGTACAGTAACAGTAATGATAATAATAATAATGATTATAGTAAAAACATTTAAAATTAAACGTTAAAAAATTATTTAATAAGTCATTTAATTAATATATTTTTGTAAAGAAATATCACTTTTATTGAGCTTCATATATATCATGCATATATGCAAATGATTTATATTAATCGCATGCATTGCGAACATATTTCCTAAGACATGTTAAATAAAATGCAATAATCATGTTATATTTGATTGTGATAGCTGAGTGATTGAAGAAGCAATTGCCTTACAAGTGTGAAACTCGGCTTCGATTTCGGGTCCTATCATTCTACATAAATAACTAAGAGATGTAAAATAGATTATACAAAGCGTGATAATGTGGAGATATTTTATAATAAAAATTTTTATCTTTATTTAGAGTCAAACGTATGTTACAAGCTGTATTAAATTGTTAAACAAAACTTCTTCGAGAAAACAAAAATGTTGAATAACTGATTATAACAATTTTTGTATGCACATATACGTACGCGGACTTATATGTTTGCATATTTATAATCAAATAGCTAAATTAAATTTTAGCAAAGGCTAAAATCGATATAATTCAATAAAATTAATTTTCTAACAGGATAATATAAACATACAGAAGAAAACTTACGTTGCATTTCAAAAATAAACATAAAAATAAAATTATTGTTAATATATCATTTATAAATGTACATATTTTAAGTATTCAAAATATATAACGTTATATCATCTTCAAATATATACTTCTAAAAATCTTCTAAAAATATACTTTGAAAATTCTTTAAAATATATCTAACTTATCTTATAAGTTTAACTTAATACAATATGCTTATTAGATATTAAATGAAACAGTTTATATAGAAACTAAAGTTAACCAGCAGATCAACACAATTTTAAAATTATATAAACATGCAAGAATATAGTTTATAAAACCAATATAAATGTATTTATTTCAATTATTCCAATTATACTTGTATAATTAGTACATTTAATTCCAATTAAAAAAAAAAGAATAATTATATATAATTATATCTTATAGTATATGTAAATGATATAAACATTAATTGGCACCCATTTTGTTAACATTTCACAGTTATCTATGAAACAGATAAAGGCTATATATATAAATTGACTCTCTTTTAGCCAGAAAACGTCCAGACTCTGTTTCCATGACTGTCCACGTGAGTGTGGCTCTGATAATAATTGTTTCTGTTTGTTGGCATAGGTCTTCTGGTAGTACTGGTGGTGGGTCGAGGATAACGATCACCCCCAAACAGGCGATTAAAGATGGAACCATCACCTACACTATTTCGGGAACCGGAATGACCGCTATATCTTCCTCCGAATGACGAAGATCTAGGTGGTGGCGATGGAGCTCTTGGTGTCGTTCGATATGATAGGATAGAACCATCATTTACATTGCTCCGGGAATCAGAATGACCGCTGTATCTTCCTCCGTATGACGAAGATCTAGGCGGTGGCGATGGAACTCTTGGTGTCGTTCGATATGATACTTGGTCTACTCCCGGAGGCAATGCTGTTGAATCATACGATGAGAAAAAGAACTAATACAAAAAGTAAAATCTTTTTGTGTTAAAATATCTGCTAGTCTATCTTTTCGTGTTAAAATCTCTGTTAGAAACTGACTGTTTCTTGTAATAAGAAAAGAGACATAAAAATATGTTATACAATTATATTATTTTTATCTTTATAATTGTTAATCTTTTACATATTTTTTTTATAAAATGATGGAACTCTACTACAACAAATTTACAAATATATAATTCATATACATATATATATATATATATATATATATATGTGTGTGTGTGTGTGTGTGTGTGTGTGTGTGTGTGTGAGCGCGTGTGTTTTGTAAGATATTACAAACAAATATAATTTTCACGTGTATTAATTTACACGAACAACGCTGTCTTTTACTACAATAATTTGTTATGTTAAATGATTTACATGCAAGATAATTGTAATTTGTGAAAATAGAGATGATGTCTGATTCTTTTATTAAAACATTGACATGCAAATCTCGATTTTAAAAGTAAACAATTTCATTATTAACATTCTTTCTCTTTTTTTCAATTTCAAAACATATAATTCATTGTGTGTGCATAATAATAAATTTTAATTTTTCATAAAATTAAAATAAAGTAAATTTTTCTACTTTATAATCCATTTTATATACAAATTGGTAACGCGCTTGTAAAGTCTTTATATCAAAAATTTGTTAATTGATAACGATTTTTTCAGGTTTTCCTGAAAAAAATTTACTTTATAGTAGTAATACAATTGCGCTTATAAAAATATAATGATGTAGATTGTAGATCAATAAAATATTTTTATAATTAAAATCGTTAAAAAATTATGAATACCAAAATAAAGATATAATAAATATGCTTTTTGTGTGTATGCATATACAATCATTTACTTTCAAATAAAAAAACAAGAAATGATACGATACAATAAGACGTAGTTGACTTATACTATATAGTGCATGAGATAACATGTGTCAAGGTTCAAACTGATAACCCCTTCATTTGCAAATGCCTCTATTACATATCTTGATTATAACTTATTCATAAAGCGTTTTAAACCATTAAAATGATGAAATGAAGAAATAGATAATTAAAAATCTTATTCTACAAGCATTTCTTATAAATCGTAAGCATGCATATAATTATATTTTCGTAGAGCACGAAATAAATTATATTTTCGTAGTTTTATTATTCGATTGATTTGCAAGCAGATTTCTTTTTTCATAAAATAACTTATTCAATAGGAATAAACTCCTATTCTCGTCAAACATTTTGAGATTATTTTATAATAATCAATATGCACGTGTGTATGTATATATGTATTTGTATATGTGTTCGGCTTATAATTAGTTTTAAATGTATATATAATGTAGTCATAAATATATATGGGACATAATATTTTATATAAAATTATACGTTTTACAAAATAATATGTTACAAAATATTATTCGCGTGTTTGATTTACATATATTATAAAATGCCTCTGTACAAAACTTTTTTATCTTCTACATAATACTTTCCTTAGTAAAATAGTCATGGACTTTTGAAAACAAGATCGATAATAGCACAACAATTATAACGATACAAATAAAACACGACACGAACTTTCAATATTGATGAATCACCACGATGTCACCACAAGAAAATGGAATAATGCGGAAAATCCGACGAGGATCATAGAGGCGATTATTCCTGACGCAGCACCTTTACGATAAATTGAATTTGGATGATTGTTGTACCCACGTTGATTCGGATAATTTTGAGAGGGATAATTTTGGTATCCCGGATATTGCTGCGGATAATTTCCCGAAGGATAACCGGAGTTTTGCGGATACGCCGGCTGTCCTGGTACGGGCATTCGGTTTTGAGTCGGATACGGCGGATATCCCAAGTCCGGATGATGACCAGCTTGATTGTTCGATTGAGGTGGATATCCGTTCGCGGAGGAACCGGGATATGGTGGATATCCTAAATTGCTACCGTAAGAGGCTCGATGATGATCACCGTTGTCGCCGGATGGATACGGCGGTGCTGGAGGAGCGTTAGCATTTGCATACGGATTCACGTTGGGATTCACGTTGGGATTCACGTTACTTCCGCTCACTCGTTCACCGTTCACGTAGGAAACACCAGCCGACTCGTATCCTGCAAGGATGCCCGTGTTGCTTCGTGTTTTGTGCATATTTTTTGTGCAAATTTGCGAATTTCAGTGCGATCACACGAGACATTGCAAGATGATAGTCGGACAAAGTTTTCAGCTTATCGTTATCGCTCAAATTATTTATTTTACTCATTTTGCTCTCAAGTTTGGATTGAGCAAGGATATAAAAAATATCTTCATTTAAAAGACTTATGTAAAATAATATAAGAATGCAGAAAATAAAATAATATTTAAGCTTATAAGCATGTAAACATATTTTAAACATAATTATGAAAAATTACATTTCAATATGAGATATCATTTCTTTCTTTAAAGAAAGAATTAAAACTGTATGTCTTCTTTGTATGTTATACATGACTATATAAGTTATAGCACAGACAGCAAACTCATATTATAATACACGTGAAGATTAATTAATTAAATTATCGTCACATCATTTTAGATATCATAATCTATCTACAACTCCTATACATATATCTATTAAATTCGATACATAATTAATTTCAAAAAAGATATTTTAAATTAATATCACATATACATTTTAAATCTGTTATAACTTTCATTTTACAAATTATTTTAGATAAAATAAGTAATATTCTATATATGTATATGTTACATTACGTTTTTTTGGAGTAATACAAATTGAATTAAAAATAAAGCGAATAATTATTAAAAATATAAATTTTAATAAGACTCAATAAATCTTAATAAAACCAAAATAACGTTTTTTATGGATAAAGTATTTGTTGATTTAATACAAAAGCAGCTACTATATTTATTAAATTTAATCTTTCCAACACAATAAATAACTTAGAAATAAAAAAGTGTTTTATAAGTATATAATATAATTATTCTGTTTATATATATCTATGTATTAATATAATCCCCAAGCATATACATATTTAATAATTGGAAATACTAAATTAATATATAATAGTTGATAATTATATAGTATATTTTTGTATATATAATAAAAATACTTAACTTGTAATTCTACAAATTTATTTTTCCATCAAAGACCTTGATATACCGAATATATTAGCAAAAGTTCAAATTAAAATTAAAAAAGTATTTTTTTATAATAAGAAATTAACAAAAGTTCTGCAATAAATAAATATAGAAAAGATATTTTTTTCTCCTTCTTTTCTTAGGGAATTATTTTTCTCATTCCAATTCTAAACATGCTATGAAATTCCGCAGTTATGAAGGCCAATCATTCTTTCATACAAAAAATTTGAGATACCATGATAAATTTATTTCTCCTTCATCAAACAAGTCGTAATTTCATCATGCATTTCATGCAAATTTCAGTTTACTTTACGGTTTTACATCTTCATGCTCGCAATGTATCGAGTATGGTGTATGTGCCAAATACAAAAAGCAAATAAGAAACTGCATGTAAAAACTCACCTAATCCTGTAGATTTTCTCACGCATTTTGGCGCACCATTTTCGGTCTTACAATATTCGTTCTCTCCACAAACCATAGTCGTACAACTTGCTCCTACAAATATTTTTTAAAAAATATTAGGATAATATAATGTAAATATTATTATAAATATTTAAACATGACATATATAAAAAATATGTATAAAATCATATATTGAAATATTGTATATGTATGCTGCAGTTATACTGACAATGAATGAAAAGCGAGCACGTACGCATCACACGTATCATATCACACGTGTGGTTTCAATTTATTCAAAATTGTCGAGATTAATCAAAGCTAATATATCGTCATTTCTCACCACTTGTCCTCCGGCAGGTCGGATATCGCCCGCACTTATCTGAATAGCCGGTACAAGGATCTTCAGCCATCACACACGTTTCATCACTACGGCAACCGATGTCCTGACAAGTTCTTCCATATTCTAAAAAAAAAGAAAAAATATAATATCGCTGTACTATTATAATAGAATTTATTATAATGTTTATTATATTATATTATTTATTAATATAATATATTTATTATAATGTTTATTATATTCTTATTCAAATAAAATACGACATCTTATATTATACTTTTTATTAAATATGTAATTTAATTTTTATTATATAATTATTATATCATATTCTCTTAATTAAATAAAAAAATACGATATTTTATAGTTTTTATTAAATATATAATTTAATATTTATTGTGTAATTTATTAGATTGTATTCTTATTAGATAAAAATATGACATTTATATTTATTAGATACTTACTATTGTAAGAAATCGCATTTGGAATAATGCCAATTATCAGCAACGTCCCGAAGAGGACACCAAGTATAGTTCGTGAAAACATTTTCTGAAAGTAAAATAAAAATAAAAATGTCAATATCATAATTAAATATATAATAATTCGTTGAGAAAAAAAATATTAGTACAATAATTAAGTAAATATATATTTTATAATCAGAATCTTTCATCAAAGTTTTCAATTCAATTTTGTATTATATCATTAAAAAACCGATAAATTGAAAACATGTATATTTATATATAACGTCAAACGTTTCCTATTGAAATTTTTTAAAGAGTCGGCAGGTGTGAGCAATATATATATATATATATGCGAGTAGAGGGGAGAGAATTGTCAGCAAGCAAGGAAATTTTGGAGATGAAGAAGCCACGCGTTTGTTCCGCATGGCTTTTTACATGTGGTGTGCATATAAATAACATTATGAAATCGATGTATTTTAGCTGTGTTGATGTTCCTGGTACACAGAAATGTTATAATAGTTCGAACATTCGCACTTGGCACTTGTCGGTATTCTCGTACCATCGCTATCCTTGGATCGAGCATGACGCGCAGTATATCGCTTTCGAAGGTGGAGACCCATAACACGCGATCTTTTATACTCCGGAGAAATCGCAGAAAATTGGAGATCGATGCGAGAAATATATCATGATGCGTTTTCATTTGCGAAGAACCGAATTTTAATTCGAAGCCATATTTTTGACAGGAAAAGTAGTTGAAAGAATAAATTGCACTACGAAAATTGTCTGATATCAATGTAACATTTCTTTAATTAATTATTTTGTTATGAATATAACAACATTCTCTTGTAACATATATACATATATCGCGATATTGAAAAATTATCGATCAGCTGATCTTATATCGGGAACGAATTTGTTTGCCTGTGGCTACACTCTTATTAGGTTTCTAATGCATACACAACTTGAAGAAGATAGAATATTTATATCTATATTCATATATACATATATATAGATACAGTGTATTACAGTAATAATTATGTGGATGTCGGTGACACATCTAATAAAACTTTCTTTTTGCGACAGAATGGAAGGACATTATTCGTCATAGCTTACCTGTTTGTTCCTGCACTTTCTGTGGAACTCGTTTACAACGTACAGTCCCCACAATAGTCGCCGCGATACTAAAATCTGGCTCAACCGACTCGGCAAAAAGGCTGCTCCTCTCTGACGCATTCGGGAGTTGAAGCGAGAGAAAACGATAGATCTCAGCAATAAGCGTAACGAAGATATTAAAGAACAAGGTCAAATAATCTGCAGGAGGGGGATAGCTACACTATGTGTGTATATACATATATATATACGATGCATGTTCGGAAAAATAATATTGCATGAGTGCGCGCATTGGTGGAATTTATGACATTGATACTGAAATTAATGAGAAAATACGTCAATTAATATTTAGTCATCAGTATATTTATACTCTTTGTTTTCCATCCACATATAAAAATTGTTTCCATATAGTTTTCTCACACCTAAATATATTATAAAATTACTTTATAAAAAGAAAATGTATATTTTAATCATTTTTTATATAAATAAATAATGTAATAATATATAATTTTTTCAAACTATATTTTATATATTTTTATTATAAAACATTCAAAATAAAGAACATATATATTTTAAAAATCGAGTTTATATAGATTATCATTTTCAAACTTTAATTTTTCCGGTTAGTAAAGACTCAAACCCAACTTAGCGAGGATTCAAACCTTCTTTTATCTCTAGGCGATATTGCAGAGATCTGCTGAGAAGAGATTCGTGGTTACGTAGTTTGACGTTGACGTTTCATAAACGTAGTTAGCGTGACCGGTTCCCCTGTGCAGTCAGTCACATCTGTTTTTAACATGTTTAACGTGATATTTCTGAAGTTATATCTTTGCGCGAGTACATTTCTTCGAATTTAGGAAAGGTGTCCAAAATGAATTCCAAAGACAAGGATAATAAGACATTGGATAAACTGAAACAATTTTTTCGCATAAATAAAGGTTAGCTGGTACTTTACACATATTTTGTGTCTTCTCGTACACGACATTTTTGTTGCGCCAAATATATTATAATAATCGCGTTGACATTGCAGGAAGTTACAAGAGTCGCGAAGATTTCACTTTGACTCATGATATCGAGAAGGAAATTAGTCCCGATAGTCCGGTGCATCACCGTACCAAGGCGATCAAGGAGCTTTCCGATGCAGTACTCAATCAACAATGGGAAGATGTATGTGCACGTATTAAAAAATTATGTTGCGTATACTTTATATTGGAATAGAGATATTAGACAAAATAATACTTTATGTCTAATTTCTTTTATTTATTTATTTATTTATAAATGGGAATTTTTATCTCTTTAGTTATAAAAGTATAATAATACAGGATAAAAGTATGACAAAGTAAATATAATTACAATGAACCAAAGTAAGAAAAAAAAAGAAAGATGGCTTATTGCACAGCAGAATTTTACTGTTTTATAATAGAGAGCGGCAGAACGTCTGTGGAACTTAGTCCAAGATTTGCTTGCAAAAGACGTCCCTCGTGAATACAGGCATTTAACGTTAAATTTTCTGAAATGCCTTGTACAAGGACAATATTCGAAACTTTCATCGTTGATGCGTGTAAAGTTTTTCACGGTGGTGAAGGAGTATGATATACCTGAAGACATTGGTCCTAGGTATTGTAATAAATTAAAATATCTACTAATACACAATTTTTAAATCCTTGCATCTAGTGTGTACTATTGCATTTAAATATTTCAGATTGGAATTGTTACAAACATTAACAGAACATGGGAAGGATATTTTACATTTGGAAGAAAGAATGGGACCTTTCCTGTTAGAATGGATGCCTACAGTAACAGCGGGAGATGGGAAAAGAGGAGCCGAGTTCTTATCCCTTCTTGTAAATGTTATCAAATTCAATTCGGCTTACATTGATGAGGATATTGTATCCGGTCTTGTTCAGTAAATATCTTACAAGTGACACAATTTTCTCTAGGTTAAATCATTCAGTGCAACAGATTATTATTATAATTGTGTCTCTTTCAGGTATATCTCCCATCTATGTTATTATAGTAATAATACAGAAGTTGTTTCCGGATGCTTGGAAGCCCTTGATGCAATTATGTGTTATAGTAATTTGCAATCAGACTCATTGCAAACGTTTATTATAGCCTTATGCAGAAGTGTAAATGTTGAGACTTATTGCCAAACGAGTTGGAAGGTATAAATAATGATATAAATATCTAAATTTATAAATGTAAAATTTTTTTCTATATTGAATTTATTGAAAATGAAGATACTATATATATTATACAAATTATATAATTACATATATAGTATGCTTACTGTATGTATATAAGTATATATACATATTTTTTATAGAATTATAAATTTTTTAATAACAATTTAATAGAATTTAATAAATTTCAAATTATTTATTTCTTATATATTAATTTGAGAATAAAATATAAAAAAAGGCATTATAATTTAACATATTTTTAACAGTTTTTTTTTATATTACAGATTATGCGGAATTTATTAGGGACACATATGGGTCATTGTGCTTTATATACTATGTGTCGATTGCTACAAGATGTAAACTTTCAGCGTGACGTTCGTTTACTTCGAGGAGCAGTATTTTATGTAAATATGGGTTTATGGGGTACACATAGAATACCAAAATTAGAATGTACACCAGCATCTGTTTTGCCTTCATTTTATCAGGTATGTAAATATAATTATATTGCTATATGGAATGAAGTGCAACAACTTATTTATATTTTCAGGCTCTACAATGCAATCATCCAATTGTTATGTATGAAGTTACCCTATCTATACAAAGATTGGTGAATAAATATGGTAATGAATTATGGGATCCTACATGGAGCATTATTCTTGATATTATAGAACAAATTATTACGCACACTGGTAAGATTTATTGAAATGTTATGTAAAGTTATTTTACAAAAAAACCGTTACAAGCTATTGTATAATAATTATTTTTTTACATTGTCCAGAAACCAGTAATCAGCCAGCTACTAAACAGGTTTCTATGAGTTTACATGAAACAATTACTAATATCGAAAGTTTACTTGATGCAAACAATTATAATGGTTGCATTCAACGCTTTTATGATCTTGTTGAACGTTGCAGCGATTCTCGACCTGTAAGTGCATAAATGTAAATTTAAAACATATTTGCATAATACTTAGTGATTATTTTTATCTTCAGGAAGGATCCATATTAAAATTAATTGAATACAGAGCGTCTATGATAGGTCCTACACATTATCAATGGCAGACCAAATTAGGATCCTTAATGGAACGTTATTACAAAAACGAAACACGTACAACAATTAGAATGAAAGTTCTTGATGTTCTAACCAACGTTATTCGTGTTAATAGGTATCGTATAAATTATTTTTGTATTACTTCCAATTTTAATTTAAAAACATCTTATATATAATTGCATACACTTGCACAAACAAACAGATATATATGTATTATAAATGTATATTTAATAGAGCCAGATACGAAGATGAACTTATCGAACGAATAGTTGTACCACATACACTACATGTGGATGCAGATCCAGATATTACAATACGTACTGTTACAGCAAATTTATTAATAGATCTTTGTTTGGAATGTGATACCAAGCGATGTATAGAACTTTTGGACATATTGGAAAAGGTATTAAAATTATTCATTATTTATCAGAAAAAATATACATATGTATTTTTATTATATAGGATATTTTGTGTTTAATTTTAGATAATCAACAAGCCTTTTACATCAGACGTTCCAATTTCTATGGATGCTGATATTAAAGACGTAAAAACTGCTGTTGTTGGAATTATAAAGATATTCACTTCTAAAATTTATCGCTTGCCGTCAAACCATGCGATTTACGCTTATAAAATTTTAGTGAATCATCTTGAACAACACTACAAAGAACCGTCCGTCTTCCATGATGTATCAACAACACGTTATTTGGTAATTATTTTGTTACTAAAATAAAAGCTTTATAGAATATATGAACATATGATGTACACATTACAGATTTTTGAGTGTTTCTTAAAAATCAGAGCAAATTCTTTGTATCATCTTGGTATATTAGACCCACCAAATGCAATTCGATTTAGTTCTTACCTTGTTTTGGAACATGGTACAACCGAGCGTATGAATAGTGCAGGTGGGGGTAGCAGTCCTCCACCAGCTAGTCCTGTACCATTACAGCATTTATCTTGTCATATTACATCAATGTCTTTAACTCATGGTTGTAAAACTATTATTTCATGCATTAAACAAGAAAAAGGTAAGATGTTTTTATTAAGAAAATTTTCATGCAACTTTATGCATAAAATCTTTATATTCATTATATTTTGACAGATTGGAAGGTTTTATATCTTATATTGAAGGAATTACCACAAGTCATGCAGAATAGGGCGCTGGTGTTATCTCGTCATAGTAATGATATCGATTTCTTTGCAGCAGCTTTATGTTCAATGGTCAGTTGTGCTTTATATTTTTTTTTCTTCTATTCATAAATATTATATTATTAATTACTTTTTACATAATTGATTAATTTCATTAAATTCAATCTTTAGGTAAGTGACAAAAGTCTACGTCTCCCCGAATCGCTTTACAACGTTCCACCCAAGTTTACTCTTTCCGAATTTCGAGTCTACGTTTTCCCAGTGCTAGCATCTTTAGCATCTTATCATACGCATTTGGAACCTAATCTACAACAACGTTTAATAAAATGCTTAGAGGTAGGACATGCATGATAGTTAATAAAAATCATAGAAATGAAAAACTTTTTGCTTCTTAACATGAATATGTTTGGAATGAACAAAATATTTTAATTCATCTTCAGGTTGGTCTTACAGCAAAATGTGCAAGCCAATGTGTGACCAGTCTTACAATCTGCACACTAGAAATGCGCGATGCAATGAATAAACTTTTAACAGAAGTGTTACTAAATTTATCAAAAATTTCCGCAACAGTATATATTGCTATACCTATTTTAGAATTTTTATCAAGTAAGTCTCGTATTGTCGTGAATAAATTTACTTAATTAAAATTAATTGTTTAGTAACTATTATATATTAATAAGAAATGACAAATGTGTGTGGAACACATTTCTGTTCCAGCTCTAACTAGACTACCAAAAGTTTTCGCCAGTTTTATTGGAGATCAATATATGTCTGTATTTGCAATCCTGTTGCCATACACAAATCCTTTTAAATACAATCATTATACAGTATCTTTGGCTCATCATGTAATTGCTGTGTGGTTTTTGAAATGCAGACTTCCTTTTCGGAGAGATTTTGTTAAATTTATTACTACAGTATGTATATATCTCAATGTTAATTACAAACTCTGACAATATTAAACAAAAGATTATCTTCTGGATTTTTCTTATTTGTGAAAAACAGGGATTAAAAGCAAATGTGATAGTTCCTTTTGAGGAAGGACATTTAATGAAATCTGACTTCAGTATCATCAACGAAGATTCCTCAAATAGAAAACGTAGTTCCAGTTTAACTGAACAAGTACGTATCAAAATCTGTGATAATTATATTTATAAAAGTGAATTCTAAAATTATTTAATATAAATCATGTAATGTATGTGTATTTATAGGGTAGTAGAGGTCGAAGAGAAAGACCGATAATGGCAAATCGAATGATAGGGGAAAGCAGAGCTTTAGACTTAAAACCTCCGATTGATGAAGCGTTAATGAATTTTCATATTGAACTCACTGAAACTTGTATCGACTTAATGGCTCGTTATACATTTTCGAATTATTCAGCGCGACCTAAACGGTAATCTCTTATGATCTTAAGTAGTCGAATCAAATAAAAGATTTGACAAAGTATATAATATATTATTTACAATAGGTTACCAGCTGCTGATTTCCTTCTTAAGGAGGGTCAATCAATGACTTGGATTCTTGGCAATAAACTTATCACTGTAACGACAAGTGGTTGCAGTAATAAAGCTATGCGCGGTGGACTTTGCGACAATTGTTGGGCGGCGTGTAAACCTGGCCTTCTATTACTGGATCATACAAGAACGTCTCAGTCGAATTTGCAACGTACTTCAAGTATTGAGGTACTTTATCTTTAGATATGCATATATATTTATGTATGATATGCTTTATTATATTATTTATTACTATTTTTTGCATACTAAAAATAATATGTCTATAATTGCATTGCATGTATTTAAGAAATGTATAAAAAATATATTTTCATATTGACAGACGTCAAAGGAAGACAAGTTATCCAGACAATCCTCTGGTGGTCATGGAAGTTCAAATGCAAATACTGCTACGAATTCTCCTACAGAAGAATCTAAAAAATCTACAGAAGACTCTGATAGCGTGAAAAAGGAATTTCTTATAGAGAAGACTGACAAGGATCAGATTGAATTGTCAAAATTGGGACAAATATTGAATAGTGATAAACAAGATGGACATGTACTTTGTGCTTGTTGGTGTCAAGGATGGGCTGAAATATACGTGCGCAGACCCACGGGTGATATGTCGTGGATTACGAGGATACAAAATTCGACACAATTTGAAACTCCTATGGATTTTCCTGTACATGACATTATGGCTCTGTATATGCTGAATCAAGATATAATACCAAACAAGCAACAAGAGGCTGCATCAGAATATTCTGATGATGAAGCAGAGGTATTTTTATAATTCATAATAATCAACTCGATATTCTATATAGTAAATTGTTCAAAAAATTTATGTAATGTACATCTTTTACATATCATTTTATATGATATATTTTTTCTTTTATTACAGGATATACCAAACAAAAATATTAATCAGTCACAGAGCGAATCCAGCGTCAAATCCGCGATATCTTCTGTATCATCAGGTCCCATTGCGATACCAGGTTCACCAGCTCGACCTAGTCCATCTCGACAAAGCTCAAGGGACAGTTTAGAAAGTTTAGAAGAAGGTGAAGAAGGTATGTGTTACAATTCTTTTACTCAAATAACTTTTTATAATATAAAAATTTTTTATAGATACACGGCGTTCTAGAAATCCAGTGCGCCGATCGAATTCCAGTCCAGAAATGAGTGCTAATTGGAAAAATCCGTTTTTAAATAAAGAAAAACTAAATGTGCAGCAACAACTTGATAAAGATTTTAATTGCTCAGATCTAGAAATTAAACTGGATGCAGAATTGAAGAAACACTCAAAAAATATTTATGCAAAAGACATGAGGTATATATTTCTAAATATTATTAAACTTGAAATTTTACAAGCATTATTAAATTTAATTATATTCTTGTTATTATTAAATTTTACTTTTTGATTATTATTATTATTATTAAAGAACATTATTTTTTATGATTACATCTGAAATTTTTTTATTTGTTAATTTTTATAGAGTTAGTTGTGAAGCTATACCGGAAGAAATGTTTGGTATGGGAACAACTCCACCTTCCTCGGAAAATACTGGAGAACATCCAGCCGCATTACGTTCGCAACGTTCCTATCCAGGAGCTACTCAAGTTACTCAAACTATTTCAGTAACCGTTAGCAATACTGTACCACCATCGCCGACAACTGTACAGGTAGATGATACTAATAAAATAACACAAAATTTATACCATAACATTGAAATTATTTTAGGCACCAGGAAATTATTTAGGAATACAAATACGCCCGACACAAATACAATCATCTACTGCAAAAGCGCCACAATCACCTACTCAAATTTACTCTCGATTATCTAGTCTTGATTATAGTCAAAAACAGATGTCTGTTGAAAATAAACCACCTATTGGGCGAAACTTTGGAGATAAAGTATACCAAAAACAATTAAAGTTTTTTAAAATACATTTTTTAAAATAAACATACATCATATTAATTATAATTGATCACTTTTCCAGCAAAAGGATGAGAGGCCAGATCCATCTATGTTACCTCCTTTACCTATACCTATACCTTTCCGCGACAGAGGCCACACGATTTCGGTTATGAGTCCAGTAAAGAAATCACGAGGAGAATGGGACATGCGACGAGGCAATTCACCTCGTGTAAAAGATCCGCCGCGAACAGGCATCAATCCAAGGTTGTGTATTGTTATATAGCTTTTCAATTAAATGTATTACACTTTAGAATCTTTTACTGCAATATGATATAACATGGTTTTCTGAAATATTATATTGTTGTGTTACAGTTTTGTATTCCTTCAACTTTATCATGCAGCGCACTTTGGCACCACCACAGAAAAGCCTTTGTTAGTTCCACAGACAACAGCTATACAACGCGCGGTGACAAATTTAGATAGAATACCACCATATGAGACTCACAAAATTGGAGTGCTGTATGTTGCGCCGGGACAAGCTTCGAATGAAACTGAGATTTTGGCTAATCAGCACGGTTCCCTTCGTTATACCGAGTTTTTGAAACGTTTAGGCACATTAATTCGACTGAAAAATGTCGATGAGAATGTATTCTTAGGCGGATTGGATCGTAATGGTGAGAATGGAGATTTTGCTTATATTTGGCAAGACGATGTTACACAGGTTTGTAATCGGTATTTTGTCTCGAATTAATTCAGTTTGCACTTTTGCAATTTTTTAAATTAATAATTCGAAAACCTTTTAGGTAGCTTTTCATGTTGCAACATTAATGCCCACAAAAGCGAGCGATCCAAAATGTACATCTAAAAAAACCCACATTGGAAATAATTATGTAACACTTGTTTACAATGAATCTGACGAACCATATAATATACAGACAGTTAAGGTGAGAGTGTGTGGATTAAACTATAAATTCTCTATAAATTCTATTGTGTAAAATGTTTTTGTGTTCAAAATTTTCTTCATTTTCTTAATTTTTCTTTCAGGGTCAATTTAATTATGCCTGTGTTGTGATACAACCTTTAGATCACGGTACTAATCAAGTCACGGTACAAGCTCGAGAAGACTTGGCCGAGCATATTGGTCACAGCGAGCCTAAAATCATTTCTGACCAGAATCTAGCGATTCTTTCACGACAACTCGCTCTGCATGCTAATGTAAATATCATATCAAAAGAATTGTTATCGTATAAAAAGAATTCTTTGTGTAGAAAAGAATAGATATATAATAGATATAATAATAATTATTATAATAGGTATAATATAAATATGATTTTTACAGCTCGCCTCAATGGTTTGTTCGTCTTTGAAGCAAAATAGTCATAATCCATACGCTTCTAATTGGTTGGAGCGTTTACGCCATATTAAGCGACTAAGAAATAGATTGCAAGAATCTGTGAACAGTAATCCGGATACCGCTGCAGATGAATTATCACCGAGAACGAACAAGCGTGTCTACATGGACGACTTTACAGAATACACAACATAGTTTTATTGTACAAGATAATTATATGCTATGAAATATAAAATGTACAATGAACATGAAAATGATGAGAATGACTGAATCTGATTAAATACATTTAAAGTTAACACCTTAAATGTATTATCAAACTATTTAGAAATTGAAAATATTTTCAATTTGAAAATAGGAATTTTATTATATTAGATATATAATTGTGTTAGATATATAATCGATGTTCTTTTGGCTTGCACTATATATAAATTTAAAAAATACGAATTGTATCATTTTTTGCATTATATACATAGACCTTTTCACTCAAGATATAATAAAATAATAAATATTAAAGTATAAAACGTACATATAATTTTATTCAATTTCTTAATTTAAGATTTAAAAAATTCGTTAAAATATATAATCAATAGCATCTTAAGTTGCATTTATTGCTAATAATAGTTTAAAGCTATTTATGATGCAAGATATTTAAAAATTACAATCTCAATAATTTTATCTTTATCTCATACATTTATTATCTTCTAAAATATTACAAAATAAATGTTTTCCATGAATCTTTAATTGCTAATAAAAATATTTCTTTTACAAATGTATACATTTATAACATGATGGTATATCATATAATATTATGGTATATTGTAAAGCAATGCGTTTGGATTAATAATGATAAAATAGTTGCAACCATTCTATATAAAATGGTTGAATGAAAGATATGAAAGAGAACTTGAATTTGTACGATCTTAATAAAATTAAAATATTTATTATATACAAGATATATAAACTAAATGTAAAAGCTATAGAGGTGTGGAAAGTGTTATCATTGCACTTTTAATTTCATCGTACAGATCTTTATAATCTTGATGTTCTTTTACGAGCACCATAAGACTGCCACGCTTTACACCCATTGCAGTACCAATATCCAATCTTGAGGGAGTAAAGCAATAAGGAATACTTTTGTCCTCGCATACAACTGGCAAGTGACACATAATTTCAATGGGATATACATCTCCCGCAAAGACAACCAAACTAAAATAAGAAATATTTGTAATACTTAATTAATGAATGCGCAAATCACTATTTATTTAAGAAAACTGTAGCTTACCCTGTTTCACCCTTACGAAGATGTTTCTGAACATCCTTTAAGCCATTGCGCAGGTACGTCTTGTGCTTGGATGCTATATTAGAAAAATAATTGCTCACTTATAATCAACATATATTTTGAATAAAAATATTATATGTTATACATAAAATGCAAGAACAATTGAAACAGCTTACCCTTCTTTATACATTTATAGATCTTTTTGGTTAACTTTTTAGGCGCCATAGGTTTGGCAATAGCATTCACAAGCTGCAGCTTTTCCTCGTAGCTCAACCCCTCGGGAGCATCGACGTTTTCTTCTTTCACTATACTTTCGTCAACTTCCATTTTCACTTCCTCCATTTTACGCGAATATTTCCGACTTTTATAACGAAATCTCTGCACGTGTCTCCGAACACGTTATTTACCTTCAAATTGTGTCTTCCTCTACCATTGGAATTTCTAACCTATAAGACCATCATCTGCGCCTGCGCAAAGTGGCATCATTTATAGGTTATAGTGGCATCATTTATAGGTTATGGTTATAGTGCTTTTCTTGATAAAATTATGTCGCACAACCATTTATTTCTCCCGTCTGGATTTCCACGAGCACCTCTCGGTCTTGGAATTGGACGTTACGTCTGTCAACTGCAGAGGATAACTTTGAAATTCTGCAAAAGCCATGGCACAAGCCGAGGAATTAGGTAACTTACACCTAACCTATAAATGTTTATTTTTGTGGGTATTTTATTTATATTTTATAATATAAAAAAATTACATTTATACTGTATTACTATATTATCTGTACATTGTACAATAAACTTTGTGTGATAAAACTACTACTTTTTTTATTGTGTATACTCTATTCTATTGGTTATACATTTATAACATAATATATAATAATATAGAATAATATAATGTATATATTATATTTAATATATATTATATATAATAGTGAAGAATTATTAAAACAGTATTTAATTTTGTGTGTTATAGAGGTTTTATAGAACACGATCTAGTACAATATGCGAAAGATAATCCAGGAATCGTTGTGTATGTTAAACCAAGAAGACACAAGCATCCAGTTCTAGTCGCTGAATATTGTACGCATCTAACAATAAGAAATAAGTTGATTGTGTTAAATCAGTGTGAAATTGACATATATATATATATATTTTTTATGTCTAGTAAATGGCGGTAGACAATGGATGGACATTGCTAATTACAGTCGAGATGATATTATAAAGTGGATGGAGTTGTTTCGCACTCAGATTCACAACAGTGCTGCATTGAGACTGCGTAAGCTGTGGCATACAGATTTCCCATCAATCCAAGGCCCCTGGACACCATTTACCTTTAAAGATCCAGAATTAAACCTGGCAAAATTTCCTAATGTAATTACACCTTATTATTTACGTATATTGTACTTATAACACATGTTAAAAATCATATTTATTGAAATGAAATATGTATTCTGATTTTATACACACATTTTACATACAAACATATATATATATATATTTTTTCCTTTTTGCAGAAGGAACTTGGTAAAGCTGTTAAATATCATCCTACAGCAACAGAAGAACTCATCAAATTATTCGAAGCTCAGCAGTTGGCTGATGATAACAAGACAGATGAATCTATAGCAACTCAAGATGCCGAACAAATTCAAAGAGCATGATTTGTAATAGTTTTTCTTATTTTTAATCTTTATAATGTATATAATATTAAATATACAGTACAGAAAGTAGAATCATATTATGTTATAAATGTATAACCAGTATACACAACATAAAAAGTAGTAATTCGATTATCATACAAAGGTTATTGTACAATGTATAGTTTATAATATAGTAAATGTTAATTTTTTTTTTTTATATTATAAAATATAAAATCTTATACTAATTTTTCTCGATTTTATCACTACAATTTATCAATAGACATTTTTAAATATAAAATGAAATACAGTGTCTCCTGGTTATAATTATTTTTCGTTTCAATTGCAAGATCGTGAATTATACATATTATTTTTTTACATCTAGATAAAAGAACATCAAATTTCTAAATATCGCTCTTGTTCTTATCTCACTTACGTCTAAATAAGCCGACCAAATTTAAAAGATCGTTTTTGAAAAATGAACACGTTCATATCCCGATTATAAGATAACGGTTCTGTGTAACAATCATATAACTGGGAGACTAACAGAAATTGTTACTATTTGCTACCATTCTACAAAATACATCCATAAAACAATTAACTGAAAGATTAAAAGATTTAAGACAGTACACAACTATCTTGGTCAACTTTCTTCTTTTGATTATATCTAAATGGTGCGTTTTGCGGTGTGTATACTCTTTGTGTTAAAACACTTTGGAAATTATTATTTGGCGTTGACATTATTTGAGAAGAGCCTGCTTGTATTTTCTGTAAAAGAAAAAAATTATATGAACATTTTATATGATATCACAGATCCACATTTAATTATTAAGAATTAATGCATGCATACTGATTGGATCTTTTATGTATTTATATATGTTAGGTACATCAAAAATTACCGTTGGTGCAGCTTCCTTCATACGTGAATCATTATATTCTATAATAAATATAATTGTTATATTGTATTGCACATTAACGTTGTTTAAAAATTATTCTTTTAGATTTCTTAAATTTATTATATATGAACATGACTAATACTGAGATACGCACGTGTATTCTTAGAAATATATGTCGGTTGACTTGTGGTATTATTAAAACGTAAACTTGGACCTGGATATGCATTCAGCATTACAAAATCTGTATCATTGTTGGAAGCTGAATTTGTAGTACTACAAGGTACTGTCGGAATATCTGGAAAACTAATCTAAAAAATGTTTTTTCTTGATAAAAACATACATCTCTTTATCATTTGCCTTTCACTTATTAATTAAAATTACGGCATAAATTAATTATAATTACTAAATATAGAAATATACTTTATGAAAATCTAATTTATTAATGCCTTAATAGAGTATGTGAATACCATTTTATTCATTGGATCCATATCTTTAGCTGCAGAATTTGTCTGATTCCTCCCGTGATTGTTATTCTACAACAAAATTATCTTTATAATATTCAATAATTTTGAAACTTTAACTTTCATTTTTTAACATTTTTAATTCATTTTTATAATACTTAAAAATTCCTCAAAAAATTATTTTTATTTGCCTATATTTTTTAAATCAAAAACTCAATTAATCTGAATACTAAAATAACCATCTTTTTTGAAATTTTATCATAGTATGAATATTTATATCGAATAATATATAAAAAGATATACATATTCGTGTATATGTGTGTGTGTGTGTGTGTGTGTTATTAGGAATATATTATCATCATATGAAAATAGAATACAATTATACTTCATACAATGACATAATTTTTATTAAGTAACTAATATACATACAGATCATTATCTTTCAAATTAGAATGCATACATACCATATTATATATTATTTATGATAAAAGAATTATTGTAGATATAAATCATATATATGTATAGAAGAAAATATGAATGGCACTGCCATTTACCATTAATTTTTTTTTACATTTTCTAAGTTTTTTTTTATCTTATTTACCTTTGAAACAGTTTCTTGCATTAACATGTTTACTTGTTCCATTGGATCCAATAAATTGTTTATCTGTAATATTAAAGAATTAATAATCAAGATAAATCATATAAAAAATATATAAAAATTTGAATAATAAAGTTATATATTTCTAACTTCAAACAAATGTATTATTTCAATCTTTGAACACTAATTACATTACAGAATCTTAGTTAATCATCATTATAATTACCTTTACATTCGGTTTTGCTTTAGGTTTAGGACCTTGGCAACATTGTGTAAAATGATTTACATCACCACATTTTGTACATTTAGACCCCCAAGCAGGACATTTTCCTTGTGGATGTTGAGTATTACATCTCCAACATTTTTTCTTTGCAATATTATTAATTGGCAGCTTCTGTGTGGAGCTTGTAGTGTCAACCTTGTATGGAGCTTTTGTAGATTCTGTAGTTTCTTTAGTAACTTGTTTCATCTTTTCTATATTAATATTATAATCATTATAAATTGCTACCAGTTGCTGCAAATTTAACTTGTTTGCTTCAAAAAATTTTTTGCGAAGTATCTTGTCTTGAGTATTAAGAATGATTTTGTCTCGTATAATACTATCCGTCAATTCATTGAAATTGCAGGTTTTGGCTTTATCCTACAAACAACAGAAATCTCAATATCAAACAAAATATTACAACAAAACAAGCATTAAATTTATAACATACTTTTAAGATATTTATGTACTGTTCAATGGTTTCGTTTTGTTTTTTGTCTCTTGTAAAGAATTGGTATCGTTCGTATGCCTCATTTTTTGGTGGATTAAAGAATTCTTCCAGTTTTGCGATTAATATATCCATGTCATCTTTATCTTCTGGCTTGTCAAAGGACATTTTTTGAATTGCGTCAATACCAATTTTTCCAATCCGATTTTTCAAGAGATTTGCACGAATATCATTGGGTTTATTGATATATCCAGTCACTTTCATAAATATAATAAAATCTTCTTTCCAACTATGCCAATTACTGACCATGTCATCAGCTATTGTTAAAGGATCTGGGGCACGTGCGTATGCTTCCATGATAAATACCAAGTTTACTAAAAAAAAAAAAAAATAATTAAACTTTCTTTTAAATTATATTTTTAATTTTATTTTCTAATTTATGTTAATATACGATGTAAATAAAAAAATCTCTATTGTGTTATGCTGTATTTTCACTTAAAAAAATGTATAAATAATAAAATATATTCTAGAAAATTGTTTAGTAACAAAATATTATTTTTTATATGCATCTTTTTAGTACAAAAGAATAAAAATTACACAACAAAATTAATGAGGAAAGCAAAGTTTATATTGAAGTTCTAGAAATACAGCCTCAATAAAGATTACAATATATTGCAGGAAATATCTTTTCCAAGATAAGATTAACATATTTTTACTGATATAAAAAGAAGTCCTTGAAAACAATCAATATCTAAATTTAATAAATGTGTATATACATTTTGTATAATTCTAAAATATATATATATATATATATATATATATATATATATATATATATATAATAATTCTGATTTTGAAGAGTATCAATTATGTCTATTCTTTTTTTAAATTTAATATTAATATAATTTGAGTAATAATATATATTTTCATAATCTTGTCAATTAAAACCTCCATTACATAAATTAAATAAAATTGAACTTTATATCTACAAAACATGATAAAATAAGTAGCATATGTCTATTTAATAGCTGTGCCAAGTTTCCTTATTTATTTATATACAATCATCAATCATCAATATACAGGGTGTTATAAAGTACCGGAACAGCAGAATGACTCGAAAAATATGAGTCTTAGAAAAAACCCAGTTCCGCTACTTTTTGTATGCATAAATGAGTAATTGGAAATTTACGACGCCATCATCCTTGAAAGACGTGTATCGGATCGGTATTAATGCAATCGCAGCAATTATTTGCAATTTTTACAACCGATCTTTATAAATTATATTATACCGATTATACCGATCTTTATAAATAATGCACTTACCTGTTAAAGATGCAGTCTTAAAAAAATAAAAATATCGTACACTTTTTTTCGACGCAAAGTATTTAACTCACGCTTCGCAAATAACTTGGATGCGTAATACTCTGTTGATCCAAGGCGAATGAAGAATCAGAATGGTTATAGTATACATATACGTACTATAGTTACTGTGCTATAGTATATAGCAGCACGTAGCGTAATCATCATCTCTTTTGTATGGGTACACCGGGTATTCCCCAAAGTGTAAATATATATATTTTGTATAACGAAGGTCCTTTCAAGAAATCACGTATCACGTCAGCCAATTAATCTTTCATCCTTGTGTCAAACTGCAAGCTGATAGGCTGGCCGCGAACAAATCGACCAATCACAGTCGAGCGTTCCATCTGTCAAAGATAAAAATTGCCCAATGGAACGAGAGAAACCTAAAATCTCTCTTTTCTGATTGGTCGAACTTCAGTCATCCAACTAACGCAGGTTTCACCATCTGGCCTTCCTATCTACATACACTTGACAGATCTCTGAAGCGGGATCTACAATGGCAGCAGGAGTATAAAGTACAGGAACAAGAATAAGCAGTAAGTAGTACGAAATGGGATTTGTTTATTTCGTACAAACATTATATATATATATATATATATATTTTTTTTTTCTTTTTCAGGAGAAACTTGGTAATGTTGTTAAATATCATACTACAGCAACAGAAAAACTCGTCAAATTATTCAAAGCTCAGTAGGTAGTTGATGATAACAAAACAGACGAATCTATAACCACTCAAGACCCCGAACAAATTCAAAGAGCATAATTTGTAATAGTTTTTCTTATTTTCAATCTTCATAATATGTATATAGTATTTAATATACAGTACAAAAGTAGAATCATATTGTTATAAATGTATAACCAGTAGTATACCAACAGAAAAAGTAGTGGTTTTATCATACAAAGTTTATTGTACAATGTACAGTTTATAATATAGTATATATAAATGTTAATTTTTTTTATATTATAAAATACAAAATCTTATACTAGATTTTTCTCGATTTTATCACTACACGATTTATCAATACAAATTTTTAAATATAAAATGAAATACAGTGTCTCCTGGTTATAACTTTTTTGTTTTAATTGCAAGATCACGAATTATATACATTATCTTTTTATATTTAGATAAAATAACATCAAATTTCTAAAATATCGCTCTTGTTCTTATCTCATTTACATCCAGATAAGCCGACAAAATTTAAAAGATCGTTTTTGAAAAATGAACACGTTCATGTCCTGATTATAAGATAATGGTTCTGTGTAACAATCATATAACTGGGAGACTAACAGAAATTGTTACTATTTGCTACAATTCTACAAAATACATCCATAAAACATTTAACTGAAAAATTGAAATATTTAAGACAGTATGCAACAATCTTTTTTCTTCTTTTGGTTATATCTAAATTGTGCACTTTGCGGTGTGTATGCTCTATGTGTTAAAATATTTTGGAAATTATTATTTGATGTTGACATTATTTGAGAAGAGCTTGCTTGTGTTTTCTGTAAAAGAAAAAAATTGTATGGATATTTTATATATCACAGATCCACATTTAATTATTAAGAATTAATGCATCCATACTGATCGGATCTTTTATGTATTTATCAGGGTTGAGTAATAACTTAATTACTTGAAAATTAAAAAAAGTTAAAAGGTTAATAACTTTTAACTTAGCTTAGAGTTAATTTAAAACGAATTAATTTTTAACTTAAACTAGTTATTTTTTATCTCTAATTTATGAATCTTTTTTTCTAAGTTAAAATTTTTTTTATTGTGAGAAAATGATAAACTCTTGATTGAATAATAACTTATTGACTAATTTACTTGTCAATTGTAATTACCAAAATATACATATATTTCTATATGTAAGAAACAAAATTTCTTTATTTGTTATTATAAATTTTAAAAGAATTAACAAATAAAATTATAATTTAATAGAAATATTTTAAAAAATTAACTTTTATTTAACTTCAGTTACTTTCATTTTAACCTAACTTAGTTTTCTTCAGTTAATTTCATTTTTACTTTAACTTAGTTTTCTGCTTATGCAACTTTTAACTTAACTAAATTAATTTTATAAGCAATTAACTTTATATAACGTAATTCAGTTTTAAAATATGATTAACTTACCCAGCCCGTGGAGTACATGCACATGTCAGGTACATCAAAAATTACCTTTGGTGTAGTTCCCTTAATATGTGAATCATATTGTGAATTATATTCTGTAATAAATATAATTGTTATATTTTATTGTATTGCACATTAACGTTGTTTAAAAATTATTCTTTTAGATTTCTTAAATTTATTATATATGAACATGATTAATACTGAGATACGCACGTGTACTCTTAGAAATATATGTCGGTTGACTTGTGGTATTATTAAAACTTAAACTTGAACTTGGATTATGTGCACTCAGCATTACAAAATCTGTATCATTGTTGGAAGCTGAATTTGTAGTACTACAAGGTACTGTCGGAATATCTGGAAAACTAATCTAAAAAATGTTTTTTCTTGATAAAAACATACATCTCTTTATCATTTGCCTTTCACTTATTAATTAAAATTACGGCATAAATTAATTATAATTACTAAATATAGAAATATACTTTATAAAAATCTAATTTATTAATGCTTTAATAGAGTATGTGAATACCATTTTATTCATTGGATCCATATCCTTAGCTACAGAATTTGTCTGATTCCTCCCTTGGTTGTTATTCTACAACAAAATTATCTTTATAATATTCAATAATTTTGAAACTTTAACTTTCATTTTTCAACATTATACTTATAATTAGTAAATATAGAAATATATTTTATGAAAATCTAATTTATTAATTCTTTAATGGAGTGTGTGAATACCATCTTATTCATTGGATCCATATCTTTAGCTGCAGAATTTGTCTGATTCCTCCCTTGATTATTATTCTACAACAAAATTATCTTTATAATATTCAATAATTTTGAAACTTTAACTTTCATTTTTTAACATTTTTAATTTATTTTTGTAATACTTATACTAAAAAAAAATTTACTTTTATTTGCCTATATTTTTTTACACAACTTTCAATATATCTGAATACTAAAATAACTATCTTTTTTTGAAATGTTATAATATGAATATTTATATCGAATAACATATAAAAAGATATACACATTCGTGTGTGTATAATATATATATATAAAATGGTATAATATATATATATATATATATATATATATATATATATATATATATTATTAGGAATATATAATCATCACATATGAAAATAGAATACAATTATACTTCATACAAAGACATAATTTTTATTATGTAGCTATATAATATATACATACAGAATATCTTTCAAATTAGAATGCATACATACGATATATTATATATTATTCATCATAAAAGAATTATTATAGATATAAATCATATATATGAAAGAAAATATGAATGGCACTGCCTTTTACCATTACTTTTTTTACATTAAAAAAAATTTTTTAATCTTATTTACTTTTGAAACAGTTTCTTGCATTAGCATATTTACTTGTTCCATTGGATCCAATAAATTGTTTGTGCGTAATATTAAAGAATAAATAATATAAATAAGATATCATATAAAAGAAATCATATAAAAAATATGATAAAAATTTGAATAAAGTTATATATTTCTAACTTCAAACAAATATTATTTCAATCTTCGTACAATAATTACATTATAGAATCTTATAGATAATCATAATTATAATTACCTTCTCATTTGGTTTTGCTTTAGATTTAGGACCTTGGCAACATTGAGTAAAATGATTTACATCACCACATTTTGTACATTTAGATTCCCAAGCAGGACATTTTCCTTGTGGATGTTGAGTATTACATCTCCAACATTTTTTCTTTGCATTATTATTAATTAGCAGCCTCTCTGTGGAGCTTTTAGTGTCAACCTTGTGTGGAACTCTTTTGGATTCTGTAGTTTTTTTAGTAACTTGTTTCATCTTTACTGTATTAATATTATGATAGTTATAAATTGCTACCAGTTGCTGCAAATTTAACTTGTTTACTTCGAAAAATTTTTTGCGAAGTATCTTGTCTTGAGTATTAAGAATGATTTTATCTCGTATAATACTATCCGTTAATTCGTTGAAATTGCAGGTTTTGGCTTTATCCTACAAACAACAGAAATCTCAATATCAAACAAAATATTACAACAAAACAAGCATTATATTTATAATATACTTTTAAGATATTTATATACTGTTCAATGGTTTCGTTTCGTTTTTTGCCTGTTGTAAAAAATTTGTATCGTTCGTATGCCTCATTTTTTGGATTAAAGATGTCTTCTAGCTTTGCAATTAATATATCTATGTCATCTTTATCTTCTGGTTTGTCAAAAGACATTTTTTTAATTGCATCAATACCAATTTTTCCAATCCGAGTTTTTAAGAGATTTGCACGAATATCTTTGGATTTATTGATATATCCAGTCACTTGCATAAATATAATAAAATGTTCTTTCCAACTATGCCAATTACTGGCCATGTCATCGGTTTTCGTTAAAGGATCTGGGGCACGTGCATATACTTCCATGATGAATTACCAAGTTTACTAAAAAAGATGAAATTTTCTTTAAAATTATATTTATAATTTTATTTTCTAATTTATGTTAATACATTGTAAATAAAAAAAATCTCTATTGTATTACACTGTATTTTCACTTTTAAAAAATGTATATACAGGGTGTTCCAGAACTGGACAAAAAAGATTTTAATGGCAGATTCCTGATATCATTCGTAGACGATTTTTCCTCAGCGAAACCACCAATAATTTTCGAATTATAAACAGTTGAAAATAATGATTTTTTTGGAAACTAATTGTAAGCCTTTCAAAAATAAAATATTAACAAAACTATATACATTCTTCAGTTAATTTTAGGTAGAGATTGGTTTAATAGAATTTTAATATAAGACTTACAATAAAGATACATAATAACGAAAATTGGGAACATGCTAGAAATAATGGTCTCCTTCAACATTTTCACAAAGGAAAAATCGTCTCCAAATGATACCAGGGTTCTGCTATTAAAAACTTTTCCACCAGTTCTGGGACACCCTGTATAATAAAACATTCTAGAAAATTATTTAGTAACATAATAGTATTTTATATCTGTATCTTTTTAGTACAAAAGAATAAAAGCTACACAATAAAATTAATGAGAAATGCAATAAAGATTACAAATATATAGCAGGAAACATTATCTTTTCTAAGATAAGATTAACATGTTTTTACTGATAAAAAGAGAAGAAGACCTTGCAAACAATCAATATCAAAACTATATATTATATATTAATAGAATATAGATATACATTTAGTAAATATGTATACATTTTGCATAATTCTAAAATATATATACAACAATTCTGATTTGAATATATCAATTATGTCTATTCCTTTTTAAATTTAATTTTAATATAATTTTAGTGCTAATATATATTATAATAATCTTGTCAATATATTATTATTAAAACCTCTATTACATAAATAAAATAAAATAAAATTTTATAACTACAAAATATGATAAAAATAAATAGCATATATGTCTATTTCATAGCTTCATAGCTTTCAATGTGCAATTTATTTTTCTTATTTATTCATATACAAAAATTTACGATTTATATATGAAGACGTAAAAATCGAAAAATATTAAAAATTTGCAAAAAAACTGATAAATTATCAATATATGTACAAATAATGAGTAATTGGAAATTTTCGATGCCATCATCTTTACATAACGTGTATCGCTATTAAGCTATCACAGCAATTATAACTTGCAACGATTATACAACGATTATACCGATCTTTATAAGTAATGCACTTACCTGCGAAAAATGCATTTAAAAAATAAAAATATCGTACACTTTTTCTCAACGCAAAAGTATTTAGCTTACAAATAACTTGGGTGCGTGTAGTTCTCTGTTTCATCCAAGGATATGCGAATGGTTGCAATACACGTTATACGTACGATAATAAAATAGTAGCACGTAGCACAATCATCGGATTTGTTTTCTATTTCTGCACTAGTTCATTAGTGCAGGAACAAAAAAAAATAAGCTATTATCTATTATCTCTTTCGGGCCGCGTTCGGAAACATCCCCGAGTGCATTCTCTCTCTTTCTATATCACCTCCATGTCAGTGATATAGAAAGAAAGAAAATGTATTCGAAATGTACGTCTCCGAACGCAGCCTTCTACACCGGGTATTCCCCAAAGTGTAGATATATATTTTGTTTAAGGGCTCCAAAAAGCCATCACGTCAGCCAATCAATCTTTCGTCCCTGTGTCAAACTGCAAGCTGATAGGCTGGCCGCGAACAAATCGACCAATCACAGTCGAGCGTTCCATCTGTCAAATATAAAAATTGCCCAATGGAACGAGAGAAGCCTAAAATCCCTCCCTTCTGATTGGTCGAACTCAGAGTCTTCGATCCAACGCGGGTTTCGCCATCCGGCCTTCCCATCTACGTACACTTGACAGATCTCTGACGTAAGACTGACGTTCGGCAACTGGCGACACGTTCGGAGCGGAAGAGAAACGACGCGACGTTAGTCCCGTACGTGTCGCGCTCGTTCGTGGTTCATTCGCGTGGTTTTAGAGCAACGCGAGCAACGTGATCGTCGACGTGATGACGTCAGATCTCGTAGCATAGAGGCCCGAAGGAGAACGCGAGTTTAAAGCCGAGTAGGGCGTGAAATCGTGCGTACGTACCTTCATCATCGGATGGAAAGTGTGTGCGAATAACGGCGTGCGCGTGTATGTGTGTGCGCGTGTCTCTCCGTTCCGTTTTTTTATTATTTATCCGCGGGACTCAATTATGTACGGTGCTGTTTTAACGTGATAACGACGGTGTGAAATATATCTAGGTGTTACCATGTTCCGCTGCATTCCGATTTTTAAAGGGTGTAACAGACAGGTGGAATACGTCGACAAACGTCACTGCTCGCTGCCGTGCGTCCCGGATGATATCCTCCGATACTCCAGGAGCTTGGAGGAGCTTCTGCTGGACGCGAATCACATCCGCGATCTGCCGAAGGTACGCTCTGAAATATCCCATTAATTTAATCCTCGTGTCTTGTGTGCTATAATATACGATACGAGGATAATAAATTTATCATTAATTTTCTTTTAATGCATTTCAGAATTTCTTCCGACTACAGAGGCTACGGAAGCTCGGCCTGAGCGACAATGAAATACATCGTTTGCCGCCAGACATCCAGAATTTTGAGAATCTCGTGGAGCTGGATGTGTCCAGGAACGGTGAGAAAGAGCACATTTTCCAATAATATACATATTTATGGGAGTTGAAAAAAGATCCATGAAGACGGTTTCGTTCGCACGCGAGATAACGATATTGGTGCGTGGACGGCCGTATCTAGGAATTCAAGCAATTAATCGTAATTAATCTCATTAGGCTAGAGCTTGTTGATTTCTCACTCCCGGCATTACATCCCTCCCTAGCATCGCATTTTTTCCCCTGATTATTATCGATTCCCGAGGATTCCGCTCGATTTTTCTACGCGATGCGAGACAGAGAGGTTTGGGTGTCCGCTGAGAAGAGAGAGAGAAAGGCGCGTCGTGCAATAACAAAAGGGCGACGGCGGAAGCCGAGGCGAGGCCGAAACGCCTCGAATGGTGCCCATTTTTTCCGGAGTAAGGAAGGAAACGAGCTCGTTCGAGAACGATGTATCTCGTCGACGCGAAGCTCGACGCAAGGGCGACCATTAATTCTCTCCGTCTCCTTCTAACGAAACATGCATAACGGTGTATTTTCTTTTGCTCGTGCCTCGCTTCTCGTCTCCGGTCGCAGCGCGTCACCGCATCGCGCTGCGCCGAATCCGCCCGAGCGACGCCGAGTCGAGCCGAGCCGAGCCGCCCCGCCTGTCACTGGCGCCTGTCATAAATATTTCTTCGCCTGGGAGCGCATCGCTTTTCCTTTTTCTCGCGTCCTACCTGTTGCAATCTCGCAATTGTCGAAAAAACAGAGTGTTCCCTATCCCGGGAAGAGGATTCGGGATTTCGAAACGTTTCTTAATTACTCGGGAATATCGAGTAACTGCTGCATTGGGAAATTTCGAGAAACTTGTTTTTCAGTTATTTACTGGTATTTTGCAATCAGCTGATTGGCCAACTTGTGAATTTTTGTGTTTAAAATATATTATGTACTTGTATGTATATTTATAAAAATGTCTTGGCAAAATACTGAAGATGCAATACACTTGTCCTATTAGAATTTTTAGTGGTGAAAAATGAAAACGTCATACGAGTAAAAATGCTTATTTTATGAAAAATTTTGCAATACATTTTGAAAATATATTTAATATCTAAAATTCAAAACTAAACGATTTTATTTGTATAAATAAAAAGTATTAAAAAGTAAACATTTTAAAAAGCTGTATCTAAAAATTTTCCAATTTTATTTAGAACTCTGAACAAAATCAGAAAACTGTCAGAGAATTGTTTTCAAAATTTGAATAGAGAAATAATTAGATGAAAAGAAAATAGCTTGGGGGGGGGGGGGTATATATTAAAAATTTTTGAGTCAGGAAGAAATATGTTAGAGAAGGAAAATGAAAGGAAAGCGAAATTAAAAGATTCATCGTTGCAATATCAAGAAATTAAATGTAGTTTATTATATTTAGAAAGTTTTGTGTTTTCCATTTTTTTGAACATTTGTTATAAATGTATTGCAATTAATAAATTGCAAGTAGAAAACGTGTCTCTCTATTTCGTACACAATTATTGGTTGCAGGATTAAAAAGATATTTATGTAGTTTTTATATAGGGAATATACAGGTGAACTCGATGGATTCTAAAGGAAGATTTTCATATTAGATTAGTTCTGTCGATGATTGGTTGACCGAGAAAACACAACACACTTTATTGACAGAAACTACGGTCGATTATGCAATCAATGTTACGTGTCCTTATATTACTCAAAATACGTCTGACATTATTTCAAATATCGGTATTTTCATTTTTATCGAAGGAACGAAGCGGATGAAAGGAGAAAAATATGTGTGTGAAGTAAAACTAACAGACGATTGTATTTTTAGGTTTTACTCCGCAGTTAAATGTTAAAGGTAAAAAATTTACACGCGTAGGTACACACACATATTCATAGATATCTACATTTACTAAAAATTCCATTAAATTATACCGCAATTTTGATAATATTGTTTCCAAGCTTTTTGTTTGCAGTGTAAATAGACCTTTTTAAAAAGCAAATTAAAATTGAGATCTGAAATATAAATTTATTCACGACCCGATATGCAAAATTACAACAAATAGTAAAAATGATATTAAAAAATTTTTAAATGGAACAGATATATAATATAGAACGCGATATTAAAAAGAAATTAAAATGCGATGTATAATATATGACGGAAAAAAAAGTTTCAAACGAGGAAGAAAAATTTCCGACATAAGCCGATTTAATGAACGATAAATGCGGAAAATACGTATTCATAACGAATGTTTATTCTAATTATGCGGCGATACATTTTTGCGTGTCAGCTATGATAATAAACACATTATTTAACCGCAGAAGAAATAGAAGTACGTCGATTCTCTGATAGTTTGCGCAATTTAACATTTTCGTTTGATCTTAAGATCTTAAAATCCGAATGAACCGTAAACTTTTCAAGCGAAATAAAAAACTATCTCGGAATAAATTCATATATGAAAGAGACATCGTTACATCAATAAATAAATTTAAGTATATGAAAGAGACATCGATATTTTCTATATTGTGAACAGTATTGTACTTACAATTAAATAATTTTAATATTATTTATTGTTAGATAAAAATGAGATGAAAATATGTAAATTTATCTTACAATTAGATAGGAGGAAGGTGATTTTGAATTCAAATACAATATATCTAGATAAAAAGAAAATTATATATTGATTCATCTAGATAATTTCCAGATATTATTTTTAAAATCGCTTATCTAAACACAGTTATAAAAAAATTTAAATTATAAAAGAGGGATATAAAAATATATTCATACTTTTATTTGTAAATATTTATCGCTTACTGCTACTGAAGTATTTTTGTGCTATGACTCTAAAGTAAATAATGTGAACATTATTCTAAATTTAAAGAGTAAAGTAAAGATAACATTTTTTCTAAGATGCAGATATAGATAATATATATTTTTATCATTTATATAAAGTTAAGATAACGTGAAAATTTCATCTAGACGATCTCATTTATATATAATTTAATTAGTTATCTAGTTATATATAGTTATCGCTCGTTTTTCATGAAAATTATACCGTTATGTACGTGCAATTATCGCATACTGCAGTATTGTTCATAATGCATTGTTTCCCTTTATAATGGGGCTCGCGATCGCGTCCAAGAGTGAGAGAGACGAGCTGTGCTCTGGCTCTCGCTATCGGCAAAGTATTTACGATCTATTATGCACATTGAAATATGTGTTACGTATTTGTTTCCGTTTACGACATATATATCCTCGCCGCATTCGCTCGACACATCACTGACTCATCAAGCGAGAGATTGCTCGCGCTGAAAAACAAAAAAATGAACGCGCGTGCATGATTGTAAATTGTAAACGTGTATGTACGTACATATTGTACACGCGATAGAAACTCTACGTCGCTCGAATGCGTAAAAGATGAATAGATTGCGCAACCGCAACAGGTTTTCTCACAGAGATCGGAGGAAGGCGGCTGCCGCTTGATTGAGATATAGAGACTGCCTCACATCTATAGCTCATCAAGCTCGACTTCTCTTTTTCCTTTACGCATGTTAGTCTTCCTTATACGATGACCATTTTTCGAAGGAAAAATAAAGGACAAACCGAAAAATTTATTGTTTCAACATGTTTCCAAACAGCGGCATAGCCAGAGAGGACGGGGCAGGCTTCGTCTACTATTATAGCTTTTTGGCCTGCTCTTGAAAAATCTGGTTTCTAGTTTAAATCATTTTATTTATTTTCTATTAATTTAATTTAACTTTATTAAATTTTATTAAATTAAATATTAAATATACTTATTTAATAATTAAGTAACCCCACTTACTGCAACCCTATATAATTATTTATATTTGAGGATTTAAAAATATATATTTCAAAATTTGTTATCGTTAATAATAATACTTATTCGAAATTTATTATTTAAGAGTTTTAAAATAAGTACCATCTTTGTTTATATATTTGTTTATATAACAAAGTACCATTTATTTGGCGTTTGTGTATACTTTTGTCTGTTTATTATTTTTTAGTTATTTAACCCAAAATATAGTTTCAACTTAAATGATGGATTGAACAATTTTTGAATTTTAAATTAAAAAATTAATCTGACTGTGCCCCTGTTTCCAAGTAAATTTGCGATCAAAGTTATCACTTTTCTTCTTCTCAAAGTTTAATGGTCTCAGCTGACCAATAATGGTCTTATCTCGCCGGTCATAAAAATTATTCTTTTATTTTCATTAAAAATTTAAACTCGTCCAGAGATTGAGAAAAAAAAGATAACTGATTCTATTGTATTATATGTATCCTTTTAATTTGAAATTCAGTACAAAAACTGTCGCTCTTGCAAGAAACTACATTTGTCGATTGTTTTCGTAAAAATTCTCACAATAGCATGACATTTAAAATGTTAACATACGTAAATAATAAAGGACAAAATTGAGTTATGAGAACATCAATAAATCAAGGACAGCTAGTCGAAAAAAAATTGTCCTCTGAAATAAAGGACGAATGGTCATCATATGTGTACTTTAATAATGTAAGGGTCAGGGAAAGCTATAGAAAATCGGAATTAAGGGATTTCATAAATCTGGAAATGTCAGAAAAAGGTCAGGGAAAGTTATATTAGATTAAAGTTAGTTCAATTTATCTGCATTTTTCACATTGTTCTACATTTTTTCTCAATAATTTAAAATTTTTTAAAAATGAATATGAACTTTTCCCTGACTCTTACAATTAGTATGCTAATTTTCTAATTTGTTAAAAATAAAAATCGATTTATCTACAAGCGTGTTCGGTAATTTATATCCTCGTCGTGTTATTTCAATGTGTGTAACAGAGACCAAACTATGAAAGGATGAGTGCCAATACTAAATAACTTTGTATAATTGCTTAAAATTTTTACTTTTTCAAATTCTGAACTTTTTCAAAATTCTATTTATTGACAAAAATAAGGATTTCGTAATTTAACATTTAATTGACTTATGCAGATGTACGCAAATTATATAAAAGTCAGGAAAGAAATTAATTTCTGATCTTGAAAAACCTTAAAAAACCAGGGAATTTTTTTTATTGAATCTGCTGGATTCTGTTAAAGTTTTCACTACCTGTTTGCGAATTATTTTACTTTTTTTTACATTTGATCGAGTTGCAATTATTTCTCATACGAAATCTCGAACTTTTGAGAAGAGACGACTTTGCGAATTTTCACGCAGAGATTTATTCGTGTCTCTTCTTCTTTTTTTTTAATATCCATTTACGACCGACCCCGGAAACTGATCGCTATCGGGCCTAGAATGAAATGGGACTCGCGTATATGTATAAATGTAGCTTTAATCAGAATCACACGGACTCGCTTCTCCGTCGTGTTTTTATGTCCATTCTCTCTCGGCTCGTGCAAACACGCAATAGAGTAACGATCTCCCGTCACCTCCTCCGAGGTAAATTACAAAGGCCGAGGGTGGAACGTTTCGTGCTATTTATAATGTTTATTGCGGTTGCATCAAAAGGGGCCGTCGACTAACCGCGATGCCGTGCGCGGCATCTGAAAATTGACGGTGTGTGCTTGTATGAAAAAAGGAATGCAATATATATGTATGCACATGCATGTATATGCATACAAAGAGAGAGAGAGAGGCTGTCTGGATCGTCGCGCATCTCCATCCGACCGTAGATTCTTTTTCGTCCACATCCATAGAATCGACCCCTCGGTCTCTTTTAGCGTAAATTCACACCCGCCCGATGCAAAATCCTCCGCCGCATTTGACGATTCTTTATTCGCGTCGCATCTGTCCTTACCTCTAATCAAAAAATATCGCGTACATATTCTGACAAATTTTCATAATTAAAAGCACTTTAACCATGCTCAATTTAGCCAGCGTGCGATTGCACTTAACGATAATTTGCTCCCGCTTCAAGTTATTCGATTAAAACTATGATAATTTATAAGGACATGTATATAAATATATGTACAAGGTCTTGTAATTGACGATGATACGACCGGGAAGGTAATAATTCTATATATGTAAAAAAAATAAGAAAAAAATAAAAATGTGAAATAAATGTTTGTTCTTCTTGCAAAGTTCCAAAAAATTGATTTGAAACTTGAAAAATGAGTAACACGTTTATGCGATTTTTTAGAGTTTAATCATTTTCAGTGACTGTGTTGTATGTCTTCGAATATATCTCGATAATGCAAAAACGTAACATTTTATTTAATGAAACATATTTTACAACGATTTAAATCACCGGAAGAAATTTTGTATAAAATAGATAAACTTTGCTTTTTTCAATAAAGAAAATGTATGTTTTTTATACATATCTTAATAGCCACTATCGAGATAAATCCGATATGTAACACAAGATCATTAAAGGTCACTTAAGAGAGAGAGAGAGCTTGCTGTACTAATAAACAAAGTTTAATATCAAGTTCTGAATTTCTAACACTAATTTTCTCGAAAATAAGATCCTGTATTAAAATTTTAATTTACATTTTTGATTAATGTTTTTCATGTAGAATCATTGTTATATACCTTCATGAATTATGGACCTAATTCTATGATGACACGATGACACCTTCTTACACGAAACGTCATTCCGTTGCAGTCATTAATGTGCGTTTGCGTGACGAAAAGTCAACGAGTGAGAGAAGCGAATTTTTTCCTGGCGGAATCACGCTTTGTTGTAATTTCCTCTCGTCGGTGTCGCGATGCGTCTGACTCCCGTTTTACTCGGGATGTCCGTGAAGCGAGACACGTGGAGTAGCCTTCGCAATTTTTTTTCTCACCGGCGATATATATTAAATATTACAGAGCTATCGGAAAAAAGGAGCACATGTCATCGCCGAGTTAGTTACACGGCCGTATCTTTCCGAAAATATCCCGAAGCTGCTCTTTATTTTTCATTCAAGTACATATATTTGCAACGAAAATGTAATTTCGGATCTTGTTGTTCTCGTAATAACGATTAATTAATGCATGATACAACGCTTTCACTCCAGCGATATCGGAAAAGAGTTTAAGGTATAATTGATGATTATCGGATAACGTTTATCTTTACAGATATACCGGACATTCCTGAGAACATCAAGAATTTACAGGCGCTACAGGTGGCGGACTTCAGCAGTAATCCTATTCCAAGGTTAGTCAATTATTCTTATCTTCTTTCTGCGTGTAAAATAATAATACGCAATATTTATATGAAATATTTGGCATTATCTCTTTTTCTTTTTTTTTTCTCTTAACAATTTGCTGTTGGATATTCTCACTGATTAAAAGACAATTTTAAGCAATAGATCCTCATCTGTTATTATATTTTTCAGGCTTCCAGCAGGATTTGTACAGCTGAGGAATTTAACCGTACTTGGACTTAATGATATGTCCCTTACAAACTTGCCGCCTGATTTTGGAAGGTAATATCGCATTAAACAACTCAAAGCTATCAATATTCAGACATATATCGTTGCATACATAGAGAGAATCTTTTGTATTATATTTTACTGCAAAATTCACTACAAATTTTATCATGTTTGGTAATAAGCCGAAAATTATCATGCTGCATGTTACAATTTTCATGAGCGATTAAGCTAGATTGAAAATATGTTGCATTTTAAAATTTATATAAAATATTTTATATACGTTTATCACATGATGTTTTTGTCATCTATTCTATTTAAAATACTTAAAGAATTATGAGTGTTTAATATAGTTTTTAATATATTTAAAAATTATTGAAATTTTACTATATATTTTAATAAAATTAATCAAACATATTTTATATTTTACTGTGGTAAATATTTTATCAGAGAAACTCTTCCAATATTATATTATCCCACGATTACCATGATTTTCAGGATAAATTCTAAGAAAAAATTCTCTCTATGTATTTCTATTCGTTATTTTGTAAATTATTGAAAGAATATATTTCTCTTGCAGTTTGGAGGCATTGCAGTCGCTGGAATTAAGGGAGAATTTGCTCAAATCCTTGCCCGAATCGCTCTCACAGCTCCTCAAACTCGAACGACTGGATCTCGGTGATAATGAGATCGAAGAATTGGTAAGTTTGACAATCTTATCACGAAATCGCTAAACGAAGACAAAAGCAAAAAAAAACAATTAAATTTTTACGCAAAGAATCTTTATTATTATCTTTTTTTATACAGGCCCTTTTATTTTTATTATCCTTGTAATAAAAATATAATGGTTCTTCTAATAAAGTTAAGATTTTTATCCGTGAGATTATAAGTTTTACTTTAACATCTATAAAGCTTTATAAATTTGCATGCTATCTATATTTATTATCCTTTTGGCGATCTGATATTTTTATATCGATCAATTGAACTCTCTCTGCGGCTTCAGATATAATCCTCAACTAATTATAGGAACGAGCCATTTTTATTATATGTTTTTTTCTAGCCTGCGCATATAGGAAAATTACCAGCGCTACAAGAATTATGGCTCGATCATAATCAGTTGCAACACTTGCCGCCTGAGATAGGCGAACTGAAAACACTAGCGTGTTTAGACGTTTCGGAAAATCGTTTGGAGGATCTTCCTGACGAAATCGGCGGTCTCGAATCATTAACGGACTTGCATTTATCGCAGAATGTTATCGAGAAATTACCCGATGGACTTGGCGAACTGAAGAAATTAACGATCCTCAAAATAGATCAAAATAGACTCTCTACACTAAATTCAAGTATAGGAAGGTATGTGCGCGAAAAATCGAAAACTCTATTAATTGTGTGAAGAAACAAGGGACTAATTATTTATTAAATATGAAAAGTTTACTTACACTTTATTTTATTTGTGTTTCAGGTGCGAGAATTTGCAGGAACTAATTCTTACAGAGAATTTTCTTTTAGAGTTACCGGTATCGATAGGCAAACTTCACAATTTAAATAATTTGAATGTTGACAGAAATAGCCTGCAATTTCTACCCGTAGAAATTGGTAAGATAATAGAATATAAAAGACTTTTTATATGATACATTATACATACCAAAGCAAATTTTATTTGTAACAGAATAATTGCAACTACTTTATTTTTCTTTTTATTTTTTAGGAAATTTGAAAAAGTTGGGTGTATTGTCTTTAAGAGACAATAAATTACAATATCTTCCTGCTGAAGTGGGACAATGCAGTGCTCTTCACGTTTTAGATGTATCTGGCAACAGGTACACAGCTTATATAATTTCTTATTATAGTATTATTGTAATCGCTAGTATTATTATAATAACCATAAAAATGGCATAAAAAGAAATTTTGATACGTTGTGAAAATCAAATTAGTAATTATACACATATTTTTATTACACAGATTACATTATTTACCATACTCCTTGATCAATCTAAATCTGAAAGCGGTATGGTTAAGTGAAAATCAGGCACAACCAATGTTAACGTTCCAGACTGATGTTGACGAGGAAACGGGGCAAGAAGTATTAACGTGTTTTCTTTTACCTCAACTGGAATTCCATGCTGATGGTTAGTAATTTTTATTTTGTTTATTATTTATTTGTACATTTCATAAAAAAACTATCTTATCAAATTTGTCTGATCATATTTTAAATTTTGTTGCATACATAATATGAATCGGCTTTAGCTAGAAAATATAAAAAATTTACATGAATATAAAATATGCTAATTCGCATAATGCAAAGTAAATAATATATCTTTTTATTTTTTATTTTGTTTTGTTTTATTTGAAAGTTTAATACGTGAATTAGTAGTTCTCGGATACATGTAGCTAAAAGTAGAAGATTATATTAAACTGAAAAAGATAACGATTTTTTTGGTGATTTATGAGATATAATTCAAATATTTTGATTTTTATATATTTACTATAATACATAATATTAACAACCTCATTTTTTAGATTCAGGTAGATTGGGAATGTTGGTTGGTATGAGAAATGTTCAAGGTTGTGAAATGCGTGAATTGACAAGCAGTGATGACGAAGGCTGGCAAGAAAGAGAAGCCTCAAGAACGCATTCAGTGAAATTTACTGATGAGCCACCAGAAGCTGACAAAGAGGTATATGTTTAGTTTTATCCTTTTTATATGTTATTTTGTAATATTTTTGTTTTTCACTTTTCTTTTTATTTATCTTTACAAATAGACTCCATTTGTACGTCAAAATACACCACATCCAAAAGAGTTGAAAGCTAAAGCACACAAGTTATTCAGCAAAGGAAGAAGTGAAAGTCGATCTGAATCAACAGATGAACAAGTAAGTCTCATGACTTATTTTTTTCAAACTGATAAACTAAGAAAAATTTAATTTATTAACTTTGATAATATTCTTAATGGACTTCGTTTTGAATAATTTTGTAAAATAATTAATTTGTAATTTTATTAGGATGTTTCTCAAACATTTGGATTAGATAAAACCGAATCGGATACATTGGCCAATGCTGTAGACATGCCACAATGCGTTTCTGAGCAAGAAGAACACGTGGAATGTGATACTGTACAAAGTAATCATAAATTACCAACACCTGGTGCCGAATCAGATAACACAGATGTTCAAATCAATAAAGAGACAGACGATTTTCCTGTTCAATATGCTACAGAAACTAATTCAGTAAGTAAAATTCAAAGAAATGTTTTAATTCATATAATGATTACATGGACAATTGTCTTTTCCAATGTGTCGATTTTATAAAAACTATTATTGATTAAGTAAAGTCTTCATAAGCATTAATATAATATGATATATATAATCATATGTGTTGATGTATGTATTAATTATCAATTCTTTTGTTTTATTTACAATATACGCACATACATATATTTAAGTATTTCTCTACCGTTTACTATTAAATAAATGATAAATGTTTATTTTTGCAGAATGCAAAAGCTGAAAATTCCATCCCAGAATCAAAAGAAAAAGAGGAATGTGAAGATGAATCTGAAAACGAAGATGTGCAAAGACATGTCGAATTTAGTATTGCAGAAGACGCAAATAATGAAGATATTTGTGATTCAAATAAGCCCAATAAACTTCAACGTAGAGATACTCCGCATCATCTGAAAAATAAACGCATTCATACTACAATTGACAAGGAAAAAGTTGCTTCTATTATAGCACAGGTTAATGTTTTATGTGTTTCTTGATGAGTAGACAATATATTTATTTGCAACACGAACATAGAAATACTTAATATTAACAATTAATTTGTAAAAGATATATGCAATGTTTATTTTTTATTTGCTAATATGTTTAATCAACAACTTATATTTATAGGCACTTCAGAAAAAAGCCGACGAGCCTCCTGCATCTTTACCTTCACAAGTAGAGTCCACAGAAACATTTGATGCGCATAATCAAGGTAATTTACAGGAATTAAGCTGAAAAATATTTACAATTATTTACTTTTAATTGAAGTTTAACTAAAATTTCAATTAAAATATAATTCAAATTTAATTTAATTTAAATTTAATTATTTTGTATTCAGTTATTTATATTTATGTGTATTAGAGAAGCTGAACTTTATATAAATATCTATTCAATTTTATCAGTACTATGACTATTATCTTATAGTAATAAATTACTCATATGTATCGATAACATTTTCATTGAAAGGTGATGATAGAAAATTAAAAAAAAATTTTTATACATGATTCATTCGAATTTATCGCGTAAAAGAGAAGGGGAAACATGATAAGATATATCTCGTACTCTACCTACCTGCCATCTTATCTCTAATCTAGTTATCAGTATGTCTCTCGCTGGTTAGGAAGCATTAGAGAACAATTATATAGAATATTTGCGCGTGAATATGCATGCAAAATAATATCTTTTATACAAATTAAGTAGAAATAAATTATTTAATATAATGCCTAAAAGATATAAGTGTTTTATTAAAAATAAAAGAATTAAAAGAGAGAGAGGTAAACCTTGACATTTTGTGATAAATATAAATATTAACTGTATTGAGACAACGCATACGCAAAATCAATTTGTAATTAAAAATTTATTATTTTAGATACAACGTCCGACATTGAACCAGCACTGGAAATACGAGAAGAGCAATATGAGATTCATATCGAAAGAACGACAGGCGGACTAGGTTTGTCAATAGCTGGTGGTATTGGATCGACACCGTTCAAAGGTGAAGACGAAGGCATTTTTATTTCAAAAGTTACTGAAGGTAAATATTTATTTATAGATGAATAACTTTAGCAAAAATAGAAATCTGTTTGATGACAGGTCTATTTGTCTATTGTGTTAGTTTGTGTGTATATTTAATGTCTTTTCGATCTATTTATATCTCGATTTGCAATCATATACATAATTCAATCATTTTTTTCACTTTTTATAAAAGAACTTGTTGCATTGTTTACATGTTGTATGAACATTTCTTATTAGAGATGAGAAGTTGTTATTTTATGGGCGCAAAGTATTTGTTTTTTCTTATTTATAATGATAATTGTACTCATTTTCAGGTGGACCTGCGGACTTGGCTGGTTTGAGAGTAGGTGATAAAGTAATATCTGTAAATGGAGTATCTGTAGTGAATGTGGATCATTATGATGCCGTAGAAGTATTAAAAGCATGTGGACGTGTCCTTATATTGAATATTATAAGGGAAGTCACGAGGATAATTCCTCCCTATGAACAGGTATTAAATAATTACATTGTCATTTTATTAATATTATTGTCATTATCATATCATTGTTATTTGATTGCTATTTTAAATATAAGCACAATTAATATTTTTGATGATAATGTTTGGTTTGTTTGTGTCTAGGGACCGACGAGAAAGGATTCCGTGTGTTCTAGTTTAAGCACAAGTAGAGCACCAAGTGCGACGTCTTACGTCTCATCCACAGCATTATCTCATACTTTAGAAAATGGCGACACATCCGTGACTCATGAAACTGCGAAGGTAACACGTTCGTGTCTAAATATTTTTGATATACTTAATGATAGTTTGTCGATGACAATATATAACATAAATGGATTTATACCACAGACGAAAAAAATTCCCGAGCCTATAACTTCTCTGAAAGGAAGCAGTGAACCTATGGTATCCGTGCTTTTTCATACAACATTAATACGAGACCAAAATGGACTTGGATTTAGTATTGCTGGTGGAGAAGGTTCACCACCATTTAAAGATAATAGTGATGTAAGTATCTTCGCAATAGAATTTTTCATTATCTTCTAATATAATTTTAATAACGAGATTATTACTGTATCATTAATCGGTTCTAGGCAATATTTATCTCGAGAATAACGGACGGCGGAGTGGCCCAAAAAGATGGCAAATTATTAGTTGGGGACAAAGTAATATCTGTAAGTATGTTTTCTAGTCAAGTCTAGTAAATTTATATTACTAGATGATAAAATGTACAAATAAAATTAATTAAAAATTAAATTATTAAAAAAAATTGCAGATTAATGGGGTAGACATGAGAGGAGCTAAACACGAACAAGCGGTGGCTTTACTTACTGGCTTGGAAAGATTTGTTCGATTAGTGGTCGAACGAGAAATACCCCTTTCTCAAGCAAATCCCGCCACCGTTGTAACTCCATCGGAAAAATCGCCGCGTGTTATAGGTGCACCGAAACCTTACACAGGTCTGTACAATGCCAACAGTTATATGGCAAATAGACCAGGATACGGTGGATATCGTCGCTCCATGGATGCCGATAAGGCATTGTCACCGAGTCCCACCTCGAAAACGCCACCGCCACCGCCTTTGCCGACAACGTTGTCCGCAAAGTCCGACACCGTGAATGAAACGCCTAAGATGAACGGCGTAAGCGAGTCGGGAAAAAATGTTTCGCCAACATCTTTCAGCCCGACGATTAATCAGGCGTCATATCCGCAGCCGGCTCCGAGGCATAGCGTCTTGCAGACGACGACACCTACAAATAATACCACTGGTTCCGCGACTACGACCCCTCACGTAGAGCCTAGACCGGATGAAACTGCACAAGAGGACATACAGGTACCGAAGCCAATCACCAGCGAGGAATTTCAAGCTATGATCCCCGTTCATTTCCTCCGCCCTCCAACATCCTCGCCTTCACCAGACTCCCATCAGGGCCCCATTGTGACAGTGACGATAAAGCAGCCTGATACATTGCCTGGGGACGTTAGCTTCCCTCCAGCTCCCACTACACTCGGTAAAGTTACTGAGAGCATCACAAAGAGTACACTCACCGAGACCGTCGTAACTAGGGTGACTGACAACCAATTGATGCAACCTCTTATTATCGAGGTATGTGCATGCTAGTTAGATCAAGGCATCGAATGGATTGCACGTGTAGTGTAGCTGCCAATGTAGTCTCACATTTATGTAGAAACTCATTTCTTTATTTCGCTTATTTTATATGTCGTTTGATCAGTTTTGCTTTAAATTTATTTTTTCTTTAATTTGGGTATATTTTTTATTTTCACTTTTACTCTATACTCTTTTGTACAATCATGTACGTAATTATATTATATAATAAATAATTACAGAATTTTAGAACTATAGATACAGATTTAATTGAACAGAACTTACGAAAAGATATAATAAAGTCTTAATAAACATAGATAAGATAAATATAGATACGCACTCGTTTTTTAAAGATTTATTTTGTTTGCCAATGATGTTTTACATACATTCTTTATATGTAAAAGAATCATTAAGCAATATAAAAAAATTCAAATAATAAATCTGAAGTTAACTTGGAGGTAACTTTCGAATTATTATGGATTAGTTTTGTTTATGTTTACAATATTATAGAATGAATTATTCCGGATAATTGAGTGACATTTCCAAGAAAGCGTGAATTGAGATCATTTATTATTTCATTTCTCATGCTTTTTAATTGAAAATAGTTGTGCATGTGTGTTTATTGCTTTTTTAAATTTATAAATGACAAATATCTATTTTATGGCCCTATAAATAACGCAAAATTGGCAATTTAAATGATTATCGAAAGGTTTTAAAAATTTTAAGAATCTTCATGTTTATCTGCAAGAAATCGCGTTGAATCATATATTGAAATGAGTGGTTAACACTTGTTTATAGCGTATCTATTCCAAGGTCATTTCTCGTTTATTGACATTCTGAATTTTTTCGAGATATTAGGTAATCTGTAATAATTGTCAAAAAAATTATCGACTTATATTGACTAAAAATGTATGAATACCTTTAAAAAAATTATTAATTTAGGTTTGTGATTTTTTTTGTAAGTTTTATTATACACACATTTTAAATTTGTACCTATAGTTCTGGAAAAAAAAAAAAAAAACATTTTGTTAGGTGTGTATGCACACACATGTACACATTCGGAAATAGGTCTAATGATCATTAATAACTCATTTTTTATATTTGTTAAATAATATTTTAATTTTTAACATGAAGCTTATTTCCATGCTATGATGATAATTATGATTTAAAAATATGCAACATTTACATTATTTGCTTCGATTATGATAAAATTTGTAAGGAATGTCTATATATTTGTAAATTATATAAGTTATATGACATATAATTAAAATGTTTAATATATAATTCAAGTTGACTAATATATTGAATTAACTTACGATTTAAAGCATGATTACATGTTCTTAAACGATAATTAATTTTATCTAATTAATTTTAAATAATATTTTAATATTTTAATGTTTTTGAATATTTTTTTTCTAACATTTTAAGTTTAATTGACTTTAAGTACAGAAAATGCAAGAAATTATAACTTAAAGAAAAGAATGGGCCTTTTCATTGCTTCTATACATCATCATCTTGTCTTGCAATCTTGTCCAATTCATATATATATATATATATATAGCCTTTTCTTTTATAAAATCAAATACATAATTGTGATATAATTCAGCAAACATTCACGCAAAAGTGATCTAAAAGAATGATTGTGAAGAAATAGAATTGTTATATCAGTACATAAATTATTGTAGATTGTATTGTTTATGCATTTGGATATATGTAAATTTTTTTAGCTAATCTTTTGTACGTGAAATTTTGCTCGATTATATTTCTCTTATGTTCAATTTTATATATATTTTTCATAAAATTATTAAAGAAATATGTTAATGGTGACCTTAGAATCAATTTTGGTAACTAACGATGGACTATAATAAACAGAGAGTTTATCTTCTGGCATGGAAATAGGTAAGTAGTGTAGGTTTGTTTTCCTCGCATATCATCGCTCTTAATAAAGGGATAAGTAGAAAAGCACATCTTTTTGTCACAATTTTATTTCCATAAAATATATCAAAATCCATAACTTAGTTTATATCTCTCACGTTCTAAACTCTATAAGTTTTAAGCTTTTATTTTAATTTGACATCGATCATTATAAAATAAAAATTTCTCTATTTTAATATATAACTAATTTAATAATCACATTGTTCAGGACGTTGTCCTTGTGAAAGAAGGCTCGCTGGGCTTTAGTATCATAGGAGGAACCGATCATTCCTGTACGCCATTTGGTGCAAAAGAACCAGGAATTTTTATATCTCATGTAAGTTTCTCATTCTTATGTTTTTTTTTAAATATATTTAAAATTTATTTTTACACACATACATGTTATATCTATATATTATATATACATTTATTTATATATATATATATATATATATATATATATATATATATATATTATTTTTATATACTTATATAAATATGTATTAGGTTGTTCCCGGTGGCATAGCAGCCAAATCGGGTAAACTAAGAATGGGTGACAGGATATTGAAGGTGAATGGTACAGATGTAACAAAGGCCACGCATCAAGAAGCGGTAATGGAACTTTTAAGACCTGGAGACCAGATTGTGCTTACCATTCAACACGATCCACTCCCGGAAAGTTATCAGGTAAATTGTCAGCGGGTGCACTTTGCAGTGGCACAATATACGCGATGTTTTTTTTAAATAATTGTTTAGATTAGCGATGCTTATAGAGCTATATAAATAAATCTACGGATTATAAGTATAACTTTACGTAATTGTATATCACAAAATTACAATTGTGCGTGTTCTTCACGTCACTTTTGACTAATTGACTGAATGCAACACGTGATTGAAATGAAATGCGTGTGACTTCTTACAAAATCTCTAGATCATTAACCACAGTTATTTTGTAAATTAGATATGCACCTTTAAGAGACTTTTTTTTTTTTTTTTTTTTTTTTTTTTTTTTCAAAAAAGAATCACACTTTATATATCTTTTTATGCTTACAATTAGAATTACACAAGCACTCTATTTAATAAGTGAAATAGCTTTTTGAAAACTTTTTTTTTCACTTTCGGTTTTTATTAACACTTTCAAGGAATGCTTGTTAGTTGCAAACGGCACTTGCGGTGCTTGAATATGCAATTATTTCCTCACTTAATGCAACTTTTTTTTATAATTTGCCCCACAAGCTGGTCGAAATAGAGTACATCCCTGTGACAGTAAGTACTCGATGCGTTTTGACCCGTATAACTTTATGCCCTTATTTATGCTTAGTCACGAAAAGGCTGCAAATTTCACTACTATGAATGACTTGCTTCTGCTTATGCTATTATTTACACGAAAATTTATTATTTTATATTTCAGTGCTTTTTTGTGCTTTGCATCACGTAATTACATTAGTGCATATTCTAAAACGCTAATCAAAATAAAAATGGTGTTTACTCTACGAAAATTTAGTCAATTTTTTCTTAAAAATGTTAATACTCAAGTCATCTCATTTTTTATTTTAATTTTTTCAATTTTTAATATTAAAAATTTCTCTCTCTACATCTCGTCCATTTAAATTTGTAAATGCCACTAAAGTGCAAAAATAGGTATCAATCATGATTACAATTTAATTTATCATATCGATAATATATTTTGAACTGATAATTATTTATAGTTAAAGTAATTTATATGTAGTTCTATGTAATACAATCTTTTATTTTTATATTTCTATACAATAATTTGAAATAAAAAGAAATAATCTGTATTTTTTTCTAAAATGAATTAATATATTTGTTTTAGGAATTAGTGATAACGAAGGAAGCAGGTGAAAAGCTTGGTATGCACATTAAGGGAGGTCGAAGAGGGCAGAAAGGCAATCCTCTCGATCATAGCGACGAAGGCGTTTTTATATCAAAAATTAATTCGGGTGGTGCAGCGAAAAGAGATGGACGCTTAAAGGCAAGTATATTTTGTATATTTATTGTACTATTTTTTTTAACTATCTTTAATTATTAGATTAATATTTAAGCTCATATATCATTTGACGATAGGTTGGAATGAGACTGCTGGAAGTCAATGGCACATCGTTATTAGGTGCGACTCATCAAGAGGCTGTCAACATTCTTCGGTGCTCAGGGAATACGATCACATTGGTTGTGTGTAAGGGTTACGACAAAAGTGATATTGAACCGATATTAACATTAGCCGATAATGGAGAACCTAAGGAAGCTAAAGTGTCTAACGAATCGAGGGATACAACCGCGGATGGTACTAAATCGTTGTCGCAAAGTGTGTCCAGTTTAGATCGAGATGATGAGGAAGCTGCGATTCTTAGGCAAGAACAAGAAATGAAGGCTGAACTCGTCGCTTGGGAACAAGAAGAACGAGAACGAGCGCTTGTAGAACAGAGGGAGAAATCTACTCCCGAAAAGGTAAAACGATACGTTTCTAAATTATAAGTCCTTAAAATTTTTAAATAAAAAAATCTCTTGGGATATTTTAATTTAAATAATTTAAATTTTAAAAAATATAAAAGGAAACCATTTGTCTTTTATAATTTTTGCTAGAGAGATTATGTAATTTACAAATATTTACTATCATATTTCCTGGATATATAATTCAATTTGTATACAATAATTCAATATCTATTTACACTTTCTGATTTTGACAGGTACTAGATGTTGTACGAGCGGCAGAATCACTAGTAAGCAAATCGAATAGTCCTGTCGACATGGTACCACCAAAGTCACCGGGGGGTACTAAAGATCTCAAAACTACGACGATTGTTATGAGTAAACACACATTAGCACCTCAGAATCCTAATAATGTAAGTAATACAATGCTTTAATATATAATTTATTTTTCTTTTTTATTATTCGTCATATTTTACATTTTTCAAATTTTAACATAAATGTGAACATATACATGTGTAGCATCTTATACATGTAGAATATTTAAAAAATAAACCCTCTGATTATATTTACTCTTACATTTTTATTAATTTATTGTATTATTCAAAGAGGGAAAAGTATCTTAATTTAATAGATGAACAATCATTATTCTACTCTGTGGGCACATATAAATTAGAAATATATTCGTAATAATATATTTATTTTATAAAAATCTTGCATGGCCCCATATTTTAATAACATGTTAATAATTTAATAATATCATGCATTCTTACTATCGACATTGTCCTCTTTTTATTTGCTTGGCATGGCTTTTTTCGCAGCATGGAAAATATTATATATTTTGTACATTGCCTTCAAATAGCTTTATTCAATATTGTTAAAATATCTACGAAGGAAAATATAAATATATATTTACTCGTCATTAGATTAAAATTTTAAAGCTTCTCAAAAAGGGGGGAATATAAATTAATAGTGTAGAAAATTTGTACTGTTACGATTATTTACCTGATCAAAAATTTTTAATTGGAGATAATATATATATATATATATATATATATATATATATATAACAACTAATTTTTTATATCAGATAATCCGACTAAATTTAATCAATACAAAACACATCTATACTACTCTACACAATACAACTATATATGTACTGCATGAAATGTGAAGATCCAAAATGAGAGAATGAGAGAAAGAATGTATATATGTGATATTTGAAATAGATAAATATTACTTATTATTTAAAAGAATATATTATAATACTTATACTTTTTTTGATAAAATTATCTAAATTATTTCTTTTAATAAGAGAAATGGTGCTTTTCCACAGTAAAAAGTAATATCAATTCTTCTCTTGAAATAGTAGCATTCTATATAGGTATTTCAATATTTTTAATTAAAAACTTTCAATATGAAATTGAATTACTTTTTCACTTTGGTTTTATCAAAATCGATCTGTACTCTAATCCCTCTTTAAATCAGATTTATTATCGATAGAGTTATCTATATTTTTTATATTTACATTTTTTTCGCAATAAGAAATCTAAGTATTTTCATGGAATTATTCGTCATCATGTATAGGATTTATTACATGATTTCATTAGGTGGAACCCACTAAATGGCGCATGAAATGTACAGTTGTCTCGGTGTCTTTAGCGTCGCATGCTCTCCTGAGCGACAAAAAAGAGAGAGATATTTCACATGTTTACAGACAGTGGAAGATGATAGTGCTACTTTGGCTGCCCTCTAACAGGAGTGAGTCGTTCGTCTTTCTACTCATTTTCCCCGTGTGTCTGCGTCCATGCCTCCGATGCCGCAGGATTGCGTGCCATAATAACAAAAAAAAACGTTCACTAAGAATTTTCATTACAACACACCACAAAAGAATGGCATTGTAACTTGCGTATAACATTCACGATGGTTTATCATTGCGTTTTTCTATATGTCCACCAAATGTTATACGGCACTTGTTACTCCATTTATTACTGATACTGCCATTAACGACATTAAGTATCGATGAGAAACACGCTGAATATACGGTTGGATTGAGTCTGTAATTAAGTTTTTGCTTCGACAAAATATAGCGGGATAGGAATTTCGAATTATGACACATAATTGTGATATCTTACCCGACTAGAAATTGTCATCTATACATACACATATACACAAACATACATACATACACACAATACGAATATATATATATATATATATATATATATATATATATGTATATATATATATATAATATATGTATATAACATATATAATATATGTTATATACATATACGAATTTTATATATATACATAATATTATATATATAATATTAATATATATTATATAATTTTATATATATATATATTAATATATATATATATTTAAAATTTATTCGCGATTATATAAATGTCGGATAAAACAAGGGAAAATATTTCTGTGATAGATAGAGACGCAAGTTGTAGTTAAAGAATTTCTCTTACATATATATAATTAACAGAATCTTTTAATAAGATTTGTATATTAATTTTTAGACTTGTTTGCGTATATAATATGAATTTGGTATGTACGATACACATAAAATATGATCGCGATAGTTAATTTTGATTAACTGCGTTGCGTGATTCTTTTTTTCTCTATTGTCGAATGAATGATCACTATAAAAATAGGAAGTGATTTGTGATATATAACATATACGATGAATTGATAATTTTCTGTTTATATATAAATTTCTAAAAAGCTTCGTTAATCAATCGTAAATGAAATTTGATCATTTAAATCATATTTAATTACATATTTTAAGCGTTACATATCTCTATACGCATTTACGTTTCTCTTAATCGTATATAACGGAGCATTGAAGGAAAATAGTTAGGATTTATTTAAGGAATGTCATCCTTTTATTGCAAGAAAGGAACATCATGAATGTTCTAGTTAAAACATAGAGTATTGTTCTGTACTTACATTTTACTAAATGATTTGAAAGAGCACACAATATTTTCTACGCGAGATTCTATTAATGTCGTGTTTGTAAAAAAAAAAAAAAAATAATAATCTGACTATTTTATAACCAGATATAAATGATATTCTTTACGATACATCTATAAAAGAAATTGTCGGTAATTGTTTTATACCTCGCTGTTAAAATGTGAGCAGATATTAAATTGAATCTAGCAATGCGTTGTATTATATCGCGTTTAAAAATATATATAGAATATAATTCCAAAAATAGAATATAGATATGAAATATATATATTTCCTGGTTGAAAATTTTATATATATAATCTACATAGTATTGTTAATTTTATAGAAGCGCGTAATGCGTCTTGTTACTTATTCGTTTGCATACAATTTCATTAACAACGTAGTTTAACAAAAAGAACTTTTCGACATAAGAAAAAAGACGATTATTTTCCGCAATATTAAATATTATGCTGAATACTATTTCACTTTAAATTGTTCTGTCACAAAATCACAATTTTGAGAAATTACAGATAATTATACAAAAAAAGCACTATTTTTAATGTATTTTAAATATAACTATGTGACGTAACAGAGATTGATTTTTATTAACAGAGATTATTTTTATTCAAATCAAAATTAAGCATGTTGTTAAGCTGTTGAGGATCTTACAATATTGTTCAATATTTAAATTTAAACAAAATTAATAAGTGATCTGACAATTTTCGTAATTTTGGCAACCGCTATATTAATTTTGCCATTTTAGATTCGTCAATTTTAATTAGATTCAAACAACAAAATTTCTTCAACATATTATTTATCGTAATTATAATTCAGTAAAATTAAAATAGCTCTTTTGTGCAAAACATTAATGTCTCAAAAATGTAATGGAACAATTATGAGCTTAAAATTAAATTTAGCGTAAAAATATTGCAGACAATAATCATCTTTCTTATATGTTTTGTTGAACTGTGTAATTTATTTATAATTACGCATGTATATAGCGAACGTTATATATAGTATTTCGCATTTCTTTCAGATTTTTTTATCGAAATCCCGACGCGTCTTTTATATCAAAATTTTTATGAACACCTATTTTTCGACACAGATAATCTACTCGAAAAATGTTAATGTCATAATAATCAAATCTCTCTTAATTTGATCTTTAGCATTTTGGAGAGAGATAATGCGATGTCGTTTTCGTAAACAGGTTATATTCTAATACTTGAATTTTTTTTAACGAAAATCTCTTCGAATTTTGTTGTTTCGCGCAATTTTTTAATTATCGATATTGAGCTAATTTTTTTTAGAAACAAACTTGCATTTTCTTAATTGAATAATTTCTGAGTTGTTCATTTATGTCATTTAAGTCAGAAGCGTATAGAAGCTTCTTTATTCGAACTTATTTGCGATTAATAATTACGTTCGTAATTTCTAGTCAGTCAATCAATTACATTTATGATTAATTAGTATACATAATAATTGACTATACATATTAAAAATTATTAATTAAGATTGCTTAGGAGAAATATTGACAAGATATAATTAAAATGTTATATCACTAATTACTACCGTTCCTATATAGGGCATATACCGATTCTTTTAGAAAAATAACGTGTACGAGGAATGATTTTATTTTATAAAACGCTGTTTTTATTCCGTCTTGATTGCTCTTACAAGAGAAACATAATATTTTATCTGTTAAGAATTATAACTTTGCGCGTTGTGAGCGTATTTTGAATATTGGCCTTTGTCTCTCAGTTAGATCTATTAATACGGTCTTAACATTTGGTACATTCAGTACTACAATTGAGTCATATCATTATTGAAATTCAAATGAATGTATCTATATATTTTCTATAATAATTATATGTTCGCGTAACTCTAATGGACCAGATGTTTATATATTACTACACAGAATATCGAACATAAAAGCTATATAATATGATATTTAAGTATCTGAAAGAGATGTTAATGTTTTAAAATTGCAGTTAAATAATCGATAGAATAGGAATGAAATTTGGACGTTTTTAAGATAATCTGCCTATGCGCACAGAGGTTTTCTGAAAGTGGTTAATAGTTATCCCTGTTGTGAGATGTATATTAAGATAAAGATACTTTTTCATAATCGTGTTTAGATAAGAGAAATATATATATATATATATATATATATATATATATATAATTACAAGATATTATTTTATCGTGACACACACGTAGTCTCATTTACAAATCAATTTATTATGTTGTTTCATATAATATCCTACAAAGTAGAGGAGACTGTTCACCGTAAAATAATTTTCATGAAACCAAATCTCTCTCGTTTTCCTTTTTAAATTCAATAAATAAAAAAAATAACGAAATAAAAAATTCTATATAAACTTATTTTGTGAACAAGATTATAATGTGCACAATAATTCTTTCTTATTATTTGCTATAGTTCTTGTCGTAGCTTTTCATGAAGACCTTTTCTCAAATACTGAAAATTATTTCCGAGAAAAATACCCTGTGCTTATTTAGATTCACTTAAATCTTGTCCAAGTGTGTTGATGTGTGGATGTAAAGCAATAAGAGTATATCAATAAAACATTCAAAATTGTTTATGTCACAAATATTGAGTAAATATTTTTTTTACTGTGAAATATTCCAAGTAGCAAACTGACGTCATTGGATATCAAAATGACGTGTGCTTGCTACCTGGGATGCAATTCGCGAAAATGAGATACATCTGTACTGAATTATTCTACAGGGTAATATATACAGTCCAGGGTAGAGAGCACAGAAACGAGACTAAGTACTCCAAAAACTTACCCAAGGGGTTACTTCTCGTGGTGCATGCACAGTCTCCGCTACTACATCAATATACGATGGATAGGGTACAAACAATGTAGGATAGCTTTATAAAATGAGCGAACGTGTTTAACGTGTACCGATGATCACATATGTTTACACAGATTAAATTATGCGCAACGCGTTGCATGATTTATTGCAATAATAGTACAATTGAGAGATACATATATACATACGCTATCGAACGATCGTGCAGAGAATCGGGAGAGACGATTGGACAAAGAAGTTTGAAAAATTCTTCTTTAAATCCTAACATATAGATTTTGTATGACATGTAGCACTCAGCGGAAATAAATCTGTTTTAAAGTACGATTATCAAATTTTCAGCAGATATTTAATATTCAGTTATCCAATTAGCGGTATATTTTATTGTTTATAAATCTTTGTTTGTAATAATTCTTTTATTACAATCTATCGTATCATTATCTTTAAATATCACGGAATACCTGTGTCATCTATTGAACATTAATAATGCATTATTTAAAATTGTTATTTTTATAGATTTTTACAGAGATAGTTATAGTTTTAAAAATTATATAATTAATATACATATTGTATATATTATTATATATATAAATTATACAAATTATATATATAATATATATTCATATTTTTTTAAATATATATATATATATATATATATATATATATTTTAGTTACGATTTATATCGATTAAATCGTTGTAAGCTTCGCATGTGATTGACTACTTATATGATTGACAACTTTATGTAATGAATTTTACTTCTATTATTTATGATTTATCTCTCTCACTTTATATCGCGTGTTTCGCACGTATTAACAAAATAATTAATACAGTTTTCTATATTATTTATCCAGTCAAGAACAAATGAGAGCTCTGGAACGTCAAGGAACTTTTCTTCGTCAAAGTCAGCTACTCTTCCTAAGGCAGCGAGTTTCGAACACTCTACCTCTATGCACACTTTACCCTCTCCGACGAAAAAGAAATCTTTGCCTAAACGCAGTATCACATTTGCCGAGCTTCCGCCAATCTCGAAAAAAAGCTCGGATAAATCCCATCCGTCCACTATCAAGCCTACGTTATCCGCAACCATCGAACAACCGATTCGACATCCACCGCAAGAAGCATCCGCTTTTCCTCCGCAAACCGTCGTATCTTACGAAACACCTTCCTTACAACATGCACGTTTCCGACTACCCCCGACACCTCTTACTGCCTCCGAATATTGGAAAAATCTTGACACTTTGGCTTCCCTTAGCAAGCGACAGATAGCACGTTCTGTTGATGGGAATTTTCAGGTTGAGGTGGGTTTCAGAAGCATGTGTCTAACTTTTAATTTAACGTACTAACATCTTCTAGAAAAAAAAAACGTTACGCTTTTTTATACTAAAATTATATCATAATGATCAACTTGAAATTATACACGATGTGCATATGCTTATTACTTATTTAAGTGAATTTAAAAAAAATTTAATAATAATGATAGATTATTTATATGTTTACATATATATATATATTTTATTTATACAGAAAAAGGATATGACATGCTTTCGTGTATATTTCAATTTATTATTATGTAACGCAATTTTCTATGAAAGTTGTGCAAACCAATGGTTTTTTATATGTATAAATGTTATAAATATAGCAATCTCCAACTTCTTCTCCGACGCCGCCAATGACAAAACTGTCAGTCAGCGATAGAAAGAAGCTTTTTGAAAGTGCCATGGAAGAACATTTGAAACCATCGCCTAAACCAGGTGAGAATTTGTATGTTTCTCGCGGCTATATTGTATTTGTTGTGCATTACAATTTATAATTATAAAATATATCGCTTTTAAATTACTAATACACACATGCAAAATATATACATATAATCGTGTGTATACATGTTACAGATAAAATATTCAGCTTTTTAAGTCAGGATGAGGTAGAAAAAATGAGACAAGAAGAAGGTAAGCTATTAATCGTTTTTTACAGTTTTATTATATAATTTGTTTTAATGCAATTGAAATTAAATCGTATATATTTTCGGTTTTTGTAGAGAAAAAGATTGCAACTTTGACGCGAGACGAGTTGAAATCATGGGCACAGCTTGATGAAAACGAAGGTCTCGAAGATCTGGATAATCTTACAATGGATAATCAGGATAATGGACGACCTAAGTAAGCTTTAACTACGTTTCACGTTTAAATTATATCTTATTTTGAAAATAATACATTTATAACGTTTAATGTGAAGTACTGAATCACGAGTATTATAAGGACATAGGGCGAAGAACGATTCAATAATTTGCATACATGAAACGTACTATGCAGGCAGCTTTTAAAGTAAAGAAACAAATTTATTGTTACGTTAATATATTATATTTATATTTTGACCATTATATATTGACTAAAATTTACAATCTATATATACGTATATAATGTTTTTGGATATACAATACGTTTAGTAATTAGTACATTTTTAACAGTTGTGTTCTAACTGTATGATAATATAATTTCTTTGCGATTATGCGTATGTTTTTGCAATACTGGGTATCTTTGCAATATTCATGTGTTTTATCATTTGAATACGATATGCATCATTTCTCCATTTCTCACTCAACATTTGAATTTATTTAATAATTGAATTATTTTACTTGAATTTAATGCTTGAATATTTTAATCATTTAATTATTATTGAATACTGTGCAGTATTGCTATACTAAAAATAAATGTGATTTTTAGTAACATAATTTTCGAGGGTTGCACTATCAGTCGTGGACAACTGTTCCATGTATGACAATTGATTTTTAGAGCACCAGATTATTAAAATCCGGTAGCTTTCGTATTTAAATGTACTTACTAATTACTAATTACGATTACGATGTGGAGATTGGTGAGATTTTCAAATTATTTTCTTAAAAGAACCAAATCTCAAATCTTTCCGATGACCGTTACTTATAATTATTATATAATTATGTTTTATATAAATATGCCATACATTTATTTCCATTTTTATCTTTTGACAATTATAAATCCGAATTCGCAGAACCGCTTACACATGTTCCTATTCATTGTATATTGTATCTATATTATGTCTAAGTATTGTGATTATATGATAAATCTCTCTTTTTCTTAATTGTATATAGAAACAAAAAAGATCTCATTATATGTGATCTCTGTGATAGATTCGATAATATGCAATAATGGTGCCGATAATAGTATAATTTCTTTTTGATAAGTTTTATTTTTATTAGAATTTTAAAACTTTTTCCAGAAGATTAATAAAATAATGATGAATTATTTTGCATCTAAATGATTAATAATTAAAAATGATGAACACATATTGCTTATGCTGAAAATATGGAAAAATCTCACTATATCTCAGTAATCATGATCCGTCCTATTCGAATAAAAAATGCATTTACATTTACATTCATATTATAAGTCCAATAATGTGAACGATCTGACTAGCATTAATTATAATGCATTGTTTCTGTATTTTTTTTAATAAACACGATATTTGTAACATATGTATGTATATCATTCGTCAGTATGCATGCTCGTTACCTTCCAGTAGCCGACTCAGCTCGCGAACTTCGATCCCTCTTATCCAGAATGTTCCCAGCAGCGTGAGGACAGCAAAAGCAGAACGTCGTTTGAAAGAACGATTAATACAAGAGGTATTTAGTATTTATATTTTCCACGATAAACATTTATCTTATTTTATATTATTATTTTACAAATACTTATATTATTTTATATTATTATTTTTCAAATAATATTGTTATTATAGCTATTATATTTTTTATTAAAATATTTTGATTAAAATAAAAGAGAAAAATAATATTAATAAATAAATATATATATATATATTTGCGAAGAGGAGAGAGTCAGAGCGCTCTGAATCTACTAGATTTTGCATAGATTTCTATCATTATTCTGTTTGCACAAAATATCCATTCTAATCGGAATTTTATTCTCTTTCACTAGGGCCTTATTTCGGACGAGGACGAGGAACAGTTTCTGAGCCCCGCGGAACAACGAGCACTCAGAGCAGAGAAACGCGCCGCTTGGCGACAAGCTCGTCTTAAATCCCTCGAGCAGGTAAAATTGCAAACTCGTGTGCACAAGTATATATTATATCTATTAAGGAGTTATAATAACTGATCTTTGTTTTTATCTTATCAAGATACTGAGCACTTTTTTATATTTATAGGATGCGCTTCAAGCACAGATGGTGATCAAAAAGATGAGCGAGATAATGGACACCTCTAATAAAAGCGAAGCGCGCGACGCGGCAGATACGATCGAGCCTGTTGTCTCCGATCAAGAGAAGACGGTCGAAGTAAGCATCTTTTGCAAAGAGTCTTTCTCCCTCTCCCGCCTCTTGCAAGAGGATATTAATTTTTTTAATAATCTAATCATAAATAATAAATATGTATAACAAGCAAGCTTGAGATCGTTTCAGAGTTGTGTGTTTTAACCGATCGCGTATACTAATCGCTAATCCTTGCTCGCCTTAAATTAACAACATTCATCGAGTAAGAGAAAATTCATTGTTACTACAACGGTTCCCATTTGTCTGTCTTTTTACCACCTTAGTTCGCTACGTTACGGCCTTCTAGCGCGGATTTCCCTAAACTCGCCGTTCGCAGTAAAGTGGGCCCCCCTAAAGAGATACGCGAATCTGAGAAAGTAGTGGACGAGAAGGTCACTCGGCGTACCGAGGAATACCTAGACGAGGTGACGGGCGAACGTCGTGTACGAACTGTCGAATACGTCGAAAAGCTCATTGAGCGTCAGGTATTATACCCTGTAAAGACTTCGATTAAAGTACATACACGTATTTCAATGGAGAAAAAAGAAAGGGAGAGAGAAAGCACAAATCATCACTATTGCAACGATTTCTAAAGCGCACCGCATTTACTCGAAAATTACGTATTCCTTGTTTCTTTTTTCTTTCTTTTTTTTTAATTTATTGTACAAAATTGTGAATTATTCTATGCCACATCTTGGTAAGCTTATTGTGAGCTTGATATATTAACTCCTTGTCGTACACCCGGATTGATTAAAAATTATTATCGGCAATATTAACATGGGAAGTGAGTCGTTGATCGCAGTGTTAGAAAGCAACATTACAACAAGCGATTAAATTCAGTTTATTTAGGCTTCACACAAAGATATACATTTTACCATTAAACATTCTTATAAAAAACTTTTTATTATTTTTTTTATTTGTGCTTCATGCATCTATATAAACGTCATGTCTGCCATTTGTTGAGTCATTATTGTGTTTATTGTATTGTTTCAAGAGTCCATCGCTTACATCGATGGTACGTTATGCACCACCTTGAACTACGAATGTCATTTCTACTGATCTAACTAACAACCTTTTCCTGGCTTTATCGGTAATTTGGTTTTATAACTTATGCGCATAAATATTTTAAGCTTTTGGCTACACATCTGTATGTATTATGTGCACAGATTAACTCTACTCGCATGCCTTAGATGTGCTTTTCATAGCATGTAGAAATGCAACAGTTTATTATCCTTAAAAAATCAGAAAGCATAGAATACTAATAATGTATTTTCTTTGTTAAAGTTTCGTATTGTTTCGTAAATATCCCAAAAATAACTTATTTGTGGATCTATGTTTATTAAAACTTTAACTTATTTTGAGACATACTAAATCCTCTTAAAATATTTTATCTTTTTGTCAACAGCCTATACATTTTAGAATGCCTATGATATAAAAATTATATTTATCCTATGTATCCTATTTTAATGTATGCTTTTAGATATCGCAATTTTTTTGTTTAGATTATCGCCATTGTAAGACTTGTAAAAGAAAACTTTGATCGCACTGTTATAAATATAATGCCATGACACAAGGTGAAAATTTAAATAGAACCGTATTAATTACAATGTGCGCATTTTCATGATTAGGTGGAGACTCTGAGGGAGAAGATTATATCGTTGGAATTAAGTAACGCGGAAGACGACGTGGAAAGTGTGACCGGTGCGAGCGACGCCGGGAGCGAGAGCGAAGATACCGCGGGACAAAATACTGCTATAAGCACCGCGGAAGAGAAAACAGAAGATTCTCATACAATCTCGACCGACGCGACCGACGAAGTCACTAGTGCTAAAACGGACGCGAGCATCACCGTCGTCTCAACCAAGAAGAAAAACGAAAGCGATCGAAGAAAGGTCGTCACTGACAAAAATGTGCATTTTTAACGAATAGGTGTGAAACATTGATGTTAAATATTTGAATAACTTGAGCGAGAGATCTTTATTACTTCAATATTCGACTATTACACGCGCGAATTGTGTGTAATAATTATTGTTCTATAATTAAATAGATTTATACTACATAAATGAATTGCATATATGCATATATGAGTGCACATATGTGTATATTTGAAAACGAAATCGATCACTTTTCAGTTTTCCAATACGTGGGTACGTATTATCATATCTGCGCGCATTTTATCTTTCCTTTTTTCAGATAAATATAAGTTATATATAAACAAAAAATAGCGGTCAGACTTTTTACATATTAGACGTATTCGATGAAAAATGTAGATGTTTACATATAAAACTTTATGATTGGTTTAGTAAATATTTCTACTTTCATCATCTGTACAGATTTATAATTAGCATCCTCATTTATCCTGTATATGTATACGACATAGTTTTACAAATCTAATGTGTGTAATGCAAATTGGTATATTTTAATATCGAACACTGCATTTTTGTTATATTATTATCCATATATTTTTCAAGTAATTTATATATATCTCATGTTTAATACATTAAAAGTAATTTTAGATTCATGAGGTGTAAAATAAAAATAAAGTTTAAAGAAAAAAATGTAAATTTATAAAAATGAAAAGATAATTAATATCCTAGTAACAAACAATGGAAAATTCCATGACATGTTATGTCTCTTTATCATTATTTCTTGAATAATTTTTTGGATATAATCTAATTTTATTTTAATATACAGGATATGTTCAAAAACATGATTTTTGCTATTTCTGCGTTAAAGATACGCGATACTGTTTAAGCAAAAAAAACAGAAAAATTTGTATTGACAAGGAATTATTGAACATAATTGCATTTTTATACACAGTGAAAATCAGACACTTCCGTTTCCTCTCGTCTAATTTTCCTTGAGAATATTTATAATTTTTTTTAAAGAATTATAAGAATGATGTGATAAAACTATGCAATTATAATATTATATACATAAGGCTCTGTTTTATATGATTGCGTGCATTATAATATCTGATAACGTCCATTTTCTTAGAACAATTATTTATATTCAGTGCAACGCGTGCTAAAGAAAATATTAATTTTAAAATTGTAATTTCTATAATTACTTCGCTAATATCGTGTAAAATATGAAGACAATATTATAGGCTTTAAGTTGATCGAGGATCTACCTTGCGTTTGTAAAATATCTTATTTTATTATTTAATTATTTTATTTATTTGACTTTAATATATGTTTTATGAAGATATTTTGATTTGTATTAGATATTGTAAGAAAAAGTAAATCCGTATCATTCAATAGTAAAAACAAAATCAAATTTGACTTGCTTTAATACGAATTATCAACGTTGAAGACTTACTATAACATCAAAAGCAAATATAGATTTTTTAAATTATTTGTTTGATGGTTTCAAGGTGTAGTCGGAACAATTTTGCATATATGTGGTACACATATTTTTATTTTACCTTAAATATATTATTATTTACAATAGTATACATATATACGAAATTCTATGAAGACTTTAAGACACATCACATTTAACATATATAATTTCATTCATATAATGTATTTGTAATATTAATATCACTTTAGATTTAAGAATATTATTTTATACTAAATATTTACATTATTTTTTAATTATAAGAAAAAGATGCGATTAAAAATACATTTTTATTAATAAGTAAAGCGAATGGATTTTTTCCAATAAATGTAAATAAGAGCGAAACTAAATAAAATTGCGATTATTCGCGGTTTAAAGTGCGATTAAGAATGAGGGACCAATAAGTGAAATTTAAGTGGGTTCATCATAACTTTGCTATTCACAGCAAAGGCACTTCAAAGATACAATATTATCGATAAAGTTTGGATGTTGGAGATGGAGATGAAAATTTCCTTTATTAATGCGGTATCAATGAAGATGTCACATACAAACAAAGAGAAAAAATTCGGACTCTGTTTCGCTAATTTCCTTGATCAAAGATTGTCTTATCGCTTCAACCCAGCATTCAAGCTTATTAATATCAATAACAATATTCAATGTTATCGATGTATGAAAATATTTTAAAAGTGCCAACGTTAATATTGTCTCACATAAGAATTATGTATCTCGTTAAAATATCTATTATACAAAATGAATAACATACATTTCGTCTTCTATTTCGCTGTTTCTTTCTTTAACTTGGTTTTGCATCAAAATTGCGAAAACTGTAAAACATTCAGGAAGCTTCGAATACTTAATTTGTATAGTTTATTTACAATTGTGCGAATACAATGCTTAATCTGTCAAAGTTTAAAAGCATTAGAGAAATTTTAATATTGAAATATTTCTTTAAAAATTTAAACAAAATAGAAATAATTATGTATAAAAATTTTTCTTAGTTATTTTTATATACATATAATTAGCTTTTTTAATTATCTATTTGGAGGTCTATTAAAAAATGAAATTTTTTTGTCATGAATAAAGTATTACGACTTGCTTGTTTAGCTTTTTTATAATTATTATATATGTGATCTTGTAATTACATTATATATGTATTACATTATATTTGTATGTCTATATTTTGCATGTCTATACTTTGTATTAATTTTCTGCATCACTGAAATTTTATAAATCTAAGTGCGGTAAGGAACAATAATTATTTTTAAGACTTTGCCAATTTTTAGGTAAAAAAAATAAGAATATGTAAAAAATAAAACAATTTATGTCTACCTGCAATAAATCATTATTAGTTTATTCACAAATGTAAAGTATACATTTATTAGAATTTCATATAAAATCAGTCCTGTTTAAATATATAGCTACATTTTACACACGTTCTCAATGTCATTTTTTTACATTTTAATTTTTATTTTTTTGGTGCTATAATACCTTCCAATTGAGTCTGAAAATTACAATTTTGCTACATAGTAACATTCGAATATTCTTAAAAATAATAGGCTTGATAGTTTAATATAAATTTATATAAATAACAAGTAAAGGCTTTCTCTTATCGCGATTGAATTTAAAAATAAAAACATACATGCGCATTCTTACCTTTAATTGCATATTTGTCTTTTTAAGGAATTGCACTTCTTCCATGTGTTTCTTTTCCTCCGCTTCCCTTAATTCGGCGGATCTTTTTTCAGCTTGATCGAATTTGAGCCTCAATTCCGCAATCATTTTTTCCAATTCGATTTTTTGCGATTGTAATTCCTCGGCTGTATTAATCAAATTTTCTTTGCCTTGTTCGGCCTACATAAAAACCCCAAGTTTTTTTACTAATTCATACATATTAAACTTCACAATACCATCAAAATTGATAAAATGTTTGTCCTTATTTGACAATTTTTACATAAAGAGGATACATACTTGCAGTGCTTTTCGCATTCCGAAAGCAATGCTACTTTGATATAGTGTCTGATATGCGGCCAATGTCATTTTAATTTCATCTCTTACTCTCAATAAAAGTAATCCACGTTCGGCGCAATTTACAGTTACTTGTCTTATTAATTCATCTGAAACGCGATTAGTAGTACGTAGAAAATACATTTCAACATTTATCTTATAACGTCAAACTATGATCAATGAAGTCAAATATCCTGAAATCTAAATTATGTTCAGTATTTTCGTTATATTTTATAGTTTTGTGAGAAAATAATTAAATATGTGACAAGATTAAAAGTCATCTCTTTTCTTTTTATTTTTAGATCAACTTAATTTCATTTTGTTCATAAAAGTATTAAAATAAAATCAATTAAAAAATATTTTTATGAAATATTCCATATACTTTGTTTTATAAATGTATAAAAATAAATTTTCATGATAAAAATTGAAGTAAAATCTCAGAAATTATTATTATTATTAATTAATTTTCTGATAATCTATTATACTTTCATAGATGACTAGAAGAAAAGAAATGCATACAAGAATTTATATAAAAGGAATGATCCTATTTACAAAATAAAAAATAATCTCTCTAGATAACACCTTAACATTTCTATTAAAACAAAAATTATTAAAATAAAAGTACTCTATTGATCATAATTGAATTTTATAGTAAAGAATTCATTAAGAAAATTGAATTTTGTTATCATATAATTAAATCTTGTGTATATGTACCAAAACATTGTGTATAGAGTTGTCTACGAATAGGACAAATGCCAGTTTCTCGAGCCTGTCTTTGTTGTAATCGCATATCAAGCTGCTCTTGTAAATTTATCACGTCCAATCTTGTTGAAGGAGTACTCGAAACCTAAATAATGTAGTATGCCTCTTATAGATTATCTGTATTAAAAATATATAAATTCGATTTTGTTTTAATTTTTAATCCTTTACACGTTGTGTCCATATTTGGCCATCCTCTTCCCATTCCTTCGGTGGCAAGATCCTATTTAAGATTTCCATAGTTTCTCGTCGTGCATCAGCCGAGGTTGAAGTCGTTTGAATTTTACAAACTGCAGCACCAATTTTCGGTATCGAGGTATCTTTACGTACCTGTTATTACATAAATATATCATTTATATTAATTTACATATATTATATAAAAATTAATATATAAATTTTATATACACATATATGTATATATATCACAATGTAATTGTATAATGTATAATATATTCTGACACACAATAACGTATAAGTAATCTTTTTCCAGGATTGCAATTTAAAAATAGATAAAAATAATTAAACTGCTATTCACCTTCTCTGGATGAGTCGTAATCAAGACTGGAGTATCGTATTTAACTAGTGTATCCATGGCAGGAATTGTGCGTTCTTTAATTGCTGTTGCCATATTTTTTTAAATTTACGATTTAAATAAGTGTAATACGTATTTAAATGATAATCGCACGCGTTGAATACTATATTTATTATATACGAGTACTAATAATAATTCTAAGAGATTGAAACACACGGAGATCTTTGCACATGACGGTGAAAAAGCGTCACCATGGATACATCGCTTGATCGTTTTATAGTATTTTACGCAGCGGTTTCAGCTATAAATTTCTAATTAAAATCGTAAAGTATATATTATCTATCTACAGAGGTATAATACAAGATTAAAAGAAACGCTGATCCCGGAGATGATAGATATATTATCTCTTGCTTGTGCAGAATGCAAAATATGAAATTAAAGTAGACACATATATAGTATGTACATATACACGAAGGCTTTGTTGACTAACATAATTTAATATCAGAATTTACCGTTGAGACATGAAGTGGAACTTTATATTACAAGTATAATTGGTAAAAAAAATATGTATGTGAGTGTATGTGTATATATTATGTATGTATATTCGGGGAGTTATATAAGATTCATATATAATCAAATATAAATATATTCATGTTTTAATTATCCTATCTTTGTACGTAAAACAAAGAAAATAATAAAAGTAATACAAATTTTCATACTTTTTTCAGAAAAAGTAAAATTTAAAATGAGAAAAAATTATATCATGACCATGCATAATTTTATACTTATATATGTAATTATTTATAAATTATTGTATAATCTAATCAATATTTTAGTTTTTGAAGAAAAACTAAAATCATTTTTCTTTCATAAACAGATAGAGAATATATTAGAGAAAAAAATGTATGGACATGTTTTAAATATAGATATTTAATTATATATAATCTTTTTCCCCCAAGTACGTATGTACGTATATACAATATGATTAAAAACCATTTCTGAAACAAGATTCAGAATCGACGATGTGCGATATACAAATTTTATGATTATTTTGTACAATGATATAATAAAATCATAAATTCGAGATGTTAATTAAAAGATATTAATTATAGATATCGTAATTCTATAATAGAAATAGACGTGATTAATCCACGGCTACATAACTTCGTTCAATTGTAACAAAAAATGTTCTCTTAGTTCATTTGTACTGAAATCATCGACATCGTTATTCTCCTCAAAGATATCTTGAACCGTCCCCGTCACCGTTTCCGTATTGTCAGTCATATCGATTTCCTCACAAACTGATTCTGGGATTTGATTGCTTGCATCAGGTTCCGTGCCATCCTCTCTCGCGCCACTCTCTTCATTTATGTCATTACTATGAGTTTGTAGAGTTGCATTGCCACTTTCGTAAGAATCCGAAGAATTGTCCCGGGGAGGGGTTCGCAGAGCCGTCAACGACGGAAGCGGAAATCCGAAGTTCAATAGCTTGTCGTAACCGCCCAAGCCGCAGATCGCTTTAATATCCTTCGCCATCGCTACAGCTTTCTCGGTATATCCTTCCTTTACGTTGTCAATCAGCATCTCGTTAAATCTGCTCATCTTCTCGTCCAGGAGCTTCTTTCTTCTCATAAAAGTTTGCATGTTCAACATTTTTCTTCTGTACGTATTTGTATTCTTCTCCGCGCGTTCAAGGAACTTAGAAGCCTTCTCCAGTTTCCAATTAAGCTCCTTTATTCGATTGTCCCTTTGCTTGATCTGCCCCTCCAGCTTCCTCTTATATTGACTCTCTATAGTTATGGTCTTCATTAATTTCTTATTTGCCTCTTCCAAATAATTCACTCTGTTCGTTAAATCGTCGATCAATTTGTGCTTTAGATCCATGCCTTTTTTATAACTCATCGGAAATCCTGTCGTCCTGTCTGTTTTCGTGCTAAAATCGTACATCACGTTTTCCATCTTTTTCGTCTTCACTTCGAGCGCTGAATTTTTACTCTGCAGATTCTTCTCCAAGTTTTTGTACAAAATGAGCTGATTACTTAACTTCTTGATAACGTCCTCTTGTATTTTCACTTTTTGTCGCAATTTCGAATGTTCTTCGGTAACGTTGTTGATGTTTGATATTAAATAGCTATTTACATCAAAATCGGTGTCCTCATCAAAATGTGACATTAGTCTCGTACTTGAACATTCGTCATTTTTTAAAGTTGACAAATTGAGTGAAACCTCATTGTCTCTTGACATAGTATCGTCGTGTTCCTCTTTAATATATGTCTCTAATGGAGAATCGTCTATTGTTATGACAGATGTAACAAATGAATTTCCTTGACGCACAGAAGTATCATTGCATTCTTGGATAGTAAAATCCTTTGTATCCTTGGAGAAATCTTGCATAATTTCAAATATATCTTCAGGATCGCCGGACACTTTGACCGTAAACTTTGCTTTAGGCGACATCAATTCCTTTTTTATCTCATTTGCTGCTTCTATGTTATCCGAAATATCGCTATTGCTCATCGAATTTGTATCTCGGGAGGATGCATTTCGAATTGATTTTTTTATAGATTCCATCATTTCTTCACGAGTTCTCCGTTTGCGTTTTATGGCGGCCCTCATGTTCGGTGTCACACTTACATTCTCTCCTCGAAAAGCTACATCTTCGGGAAAAATTTTATCAATTTTAGTGATATTTGTATATCGATCCGTTTTGTCTAACTCGTTACTTCCATTATTATCGTAAGACGTATATTTGGGAACGCGCGCACATTCCTCTCCGCTCTCACTACCAAAAATGATTTCAATATTCTCCGTACCATTGGTAAGTAGACTTCCAATTTCATTTCTTGATGAATATTTATAATTTATACTTTTGTGTGATAGAGGAATTGGTATTGTCGATCTTCCCTCTTGATTATTAGAAGTTGAGTTTGATCTCTCCTTATTCGATTTGCTTTCTTCACGATCACCATCACAAATTTGCTTCAATTTCGCCTCTATTTCATCGTAACTATCGAACGAGGTTTGATCAATTTCTTGCTTCATCTCTTCTGTTTTTATAATAATCTCATTCTGGTTACCAGTTAAATTCTCATCCACTATACAATTATTAATAGATACTTTACTTTCCACATTTGCTTGCTTTTCATTGTCGCATTCTTGATTATTTTCTATCTCTATATTATCATCCGAGAGTAGAATAATACTTTCTTGAAGATTACTCACAATATTTCTATATTGTCTGTGAGATACTTGTTTATCCTCCATTGCTTTTGGAGAATGATTCATTTGCTGATATACAAATGACTTCATAGCTGAATCATCAATATCCTGTGAATCAGAATCCTTTTCTTCCAAAAAACCGATCGATGAATGTTCAGTGTCATTTTCTAAATATTCTATTGTATCGTCAATGTCACATTCATTTTGATTTTTGGAACTGTCCGACTTTCCACGTTTCTTAGGGGATTTTCTTGTTGACGTTACAGTAAAAATAGATGGTATAGCATTTTTTTTCAATCTAATTCTGCCATTTGGCAGTACAGACCACTCTTCAGGGTTAAAGTGTACATGGCAAAGGAAGGAGTTATTGGATGGTTCCCAATCGGCTCTAGCAACACGTTCTTTCCATATCTTTCTTAGATTCGGATCACGAGGGAAACATTTCATAATGTATCCCTTCTCACTACGATTGTTGCAACCAATAGCTGCACAACCTGGCATCTTAATTTAGCCAAATATACAGAGCAATCTGCAAATTTAAAATAAAAACAAAGTTATATTGTCATGTACAAAAAAAATGATAGATGCATTTCAAAAAGTGATATAAATATATTTAAAAAAATATATACCGTGTTCTCTTAAAATGAATGACTTCTACTAAATCTATCCCTTTTAACTTTTCACTATTTACTTTCTCCTCCCTTCTCTCTCTATCTCTCTAAAGCAAAAATAAATAAATAAATTTATTTTATCTTAAATGTAAAAAAGTGTAGGTAAAACGAACGGACGTGTAATTACAAGCTTTTAACATATTTTCTTCAAGATGAACCTGAATTGATATTTACGCCGTTCGACAAAATTGTAGAAAAGAAGATCCAAGTCCTGCTTACCTCTTCTTTTATCTTAGCTTCATTCCCGGACGGGAGAAAACGCGCCGTTAGTTATTATTAGATTTATTAAATACTGACAATATCATTCGTAGACCTTCGCGCTATTAAATTTCCAACGCTGCGCAAAGGTTAGAAGAGAAAGAGATATAATTTTTGTATTGTCAAAAGTCTACTTTTATACTTCACCAGTGTTTGGGATAGCTTTTGGGACAGATTCTACTCGTACGCCGCAACATGGCTGCGACTTCGTGGTTATGTATTTAAACCAATCAGGATTTCGAGTTTCGAGCGCGGTTTATTTGATTTTCGTCAAAATTCACGAAATTGCAAATAATAAATATCAGGGTTGGGTAATAACTAGTTATAATTAATTAAAAGTTAAAAAAGGTTAATAACTTTTAACTTGGTTTAGATAATTAAAAATGTATTAATTTTTAACTTTAATTAGTTATTAACTTTTTTCCTAAATTATTTTTTATTTCTGTGAATACTATTATATTCTTTTTTTTTAAGTTATAAACTTAATATTTTTTATAAGTTATAAGGTATTATTTTTAAATTAAAGTATTATTAATTTTTGTGTTCATTTGTTTCTTGTATAATTACCAAAAATATATTTTTATATAAAAATCAAACTTTCTTGTTATTATTATAAATTTTAAAAAAATTAACAAATAAAATTCTAATTTGATATAAATAATGTTTTTAAAAATTAATTTTTGATTTAACTTTAGTTAATTTAATTTTAACTTAACTAACAAGTTAATTACAATTTTAATTATGATTATATTTTCGATTTTTTATCAATTAATCATTTAGAAGTTTTTTATTCGATAAAAATGAAGAATGAATAGACCAATCAGGACAAAGAAAATTTTATTCCTTCCATCTTGATTGTGTTTAGGGATCGATTTTCTTCTTTCTTGGGTGTCTCTAGGTATATAAATTCTATGGACAAAACCGAAGCAAAATATAAGTGTTATGTTATTCATATATAATATTTAGATATTTAGATAAAAAATTTAGATGCAAATGTTTGGTGAATACAGAATATTATTGTAGATGAATTTAGAAAAGATAGAATATGAGTAATAAAAATGCTCGCGAAACGCCAGGCGATGGTTTGCGATCGTTGCGAAGCACTTCGTTATTCCGTGCCGTCAATTTCGAGTTATATGTGAAACCGGTAAGATTATCATATTAATTATTTATCTGCATGGATCATTATGATTAAAGAAAAATTTGTACTTAATTCTTTTTGCAGAACAAAGCTGTTATGATTTTTGGTATTATAGCAATGTTGGGTTGTTCAGGATATATATTTTACATGAATTCTGGTGAAAGGAAAAATGATTACCAAGCTATGATGAAAGCAGATGATACAGTGGTATTAGTAAGAAAAACCTCCAAATGGACCGATTGAATGATATATCATATATGATATTTTGTAGTCTATAATTTATTCAATTTTTAACAATATATATCAACTGTACATACATGTTTATATAGGCTCATAAAGATTTCAGAGCAGTAGCATATTGCTTTATTGAAGATTTTATGTTACTACCTCTGATTTGTAACATTATTATGATATACTATTATAAATATTCTAGTATAATTTATATATATTAATATATATATTTAATATATTTATTATCAACAATTATATTACAATTACATCAATAAAAAATTTGATTCAATTTTTATATTCTAAAAATATTGTAACTATAAATGCATTCTATTGTTTTTTTTTTTTTTTCAAAATATACTATTAATCTGTAATTATATAACGATTTTTACATAAAATTTTTATATAATATTTGTATGCATAATTTGTATTTACTGAGATGTGTTTCAATAACAATTTTTGTAATGAAAACAATTGCAATTATACATTATATTATTTGCACTCTATATAACAATGTCATCGAGATTCTATTGATAGCAACTACAGATTAACGTCTTTAATTTTAACTTTATATAATATACAAGAGACATCTACAAAATAAAATTCAGTCAACAATTTAAAAAGAATAAGAGGAAAAAAATTTAGTAGTAATAATATATTACTCATTTGTAAATGCCTCTTATATAATCCTAGATTTTGTTTTTACAAGATATCAATCTCTATAGCTGTTTTTTTATATAAATTTATATAAATTCTGCTGCAAATATATTGGCATAGTTGGCAGTACAGAATATTTCTTTTCATATTTATATCATGTGTCTGTCTTCTATGATTATTGATTGGGTTTAATATAGAAGTTGGTCCTGATTTTTGTGAATAAAATAATTACCACAAAAATATATTCATATTAACTGTTCTGCCATACATATAATGCTTTTACACACATGTGCAAGTTGCTCTTACTATTCGACATATATTTATCAACATATTTGTGATAAAACTTAATATGATGTTTTATAATTCTAATTTATATATATATTCTCAACAGACAAGGAAGCCCATTCTGTGTTGGAGAGCAGAGTATTACTAATTCACAGCAAAGTTATTTCACATTCTATCTAGCATCAACAAAATCTAATATCTTTAAACTAACTTTCTTCTCTCCATCTTTTTTCTTTAAAACTCAATAATAACAGAAAGCAAAGAGTAATTTTCTCCACGCGTACATAAAGAAAAATTGAAAATATCAATTGAAATTAATTACTTGAATTAATTGTAATATCAATTAAAATAATATTACGTGAAATTGTAATGCTATCCTTCTTGTAGCAATATTATGTTATTGCCATTATGAGAAAATTTCATTAAAAATCTAAATAAGTCTTTTGTAGATGATGTAACTGTTAAAATGAATCAAAATTATTATCGCTCAAATATGAAGTGTAGTATACATCTTATATTTTGCCTATGATGACGAACATTTTTTTTCTACAAAAGCTATCTCTAAATTCTTTTTATACTATTTAACAATTTCAATGAAATCATGCTATAAAAATATATAATAAATTAAAATAGAAAATCCCTGACTAACTTTCTAATACCAAATAAGTTATACCTACATTTAATGTTACCAATTTAAAGGACTCAACAGTTCACATTGTCCTAAACTACTAGGTAACTTTTAGTTTTAATAATATATGTTATATATGTATAAAAAAGAAGTCTCATGACACATGACAGAATTAATACACATACAAAATTTGGCATTATGTAATACTTCGTAATCTTTTGTGTTTTGTACTTTTGTCTAGTAAAATTTTAAAAAATAAAAGGGGAAAAAAGGTAAAACAGAAAAAAAAAGAAAAATAATTTACCACAGGAAGGATAACTGTTTCAAATAGTTCGGTCTCAAAATGGAATATGAAGATAGAATGCATAATTATGCATATAATAAATTTCGATATTACTCGAAAATAATAATTTCTCTGAATTAACTGGGCTGAATTTCGTTAGGTACAAATTATTGCCATATTCTGAAATTTGACTGTTAATAATTTGTACTTATAAAGTCTTAGTTTAACACGTACAATCGTTCTGTCCATCTGGGAAGAGCTTTATCGTTTCATTGATAGCGTTTGCTACATAATCCAGATTGGATTCGTTGAGTCCGCACATATTTATACGACCGCTGCGTAACATATAGATGTGATAATGATCTCTCAGATGTTGCACATGTTTCTCTAAAAAACAAAAAAAAAGAAATTTAACGGAAACATTTTACATATGTATTTTTATTAAACTATGTTATACAACTAGAAATATAATTTTTGCAACTAACCGGTAAGTCCTGTATATGAGAACATTCCAATTTGTTGGACAATATGTTCCCAAGTACCTGGAGTGCCTAATTTGAGCAATCTGTGATGCAAGCCTGTTCTCATCTCTTTAATTCTATTGGACATTGTTCTAATATGGTCTTTCCTAGATAAGATGAAATTACATTACTTAAGTAATTGATATATAATTATATTTCAGTTATTTTATAGAGATACATATGTATGGAATGATTAATATTACCATTCTTCAAAGAGTTCTGGATTCTTCAGTACTGTCGCGACAATTCGACCGCCATGATTAGGAGGATTGCTGTACATCCCTCGGACAATTAACGTCAATTGCGATTTAGCTTCGACTAGCTCCTTGGTATCGGCCAACACAAAAGTTATGTTGCCAACTCTTTCGTTGTACAATCCAAAATTTTTTGCAAAACTTTGCGTGCATATGAATTCGATTCCACGTTCGGCGAATAATCGTACGGCGTGCGCATCCTTATCTAAATCTCCACTTGCAAAACCCTATTAAGAGATCAAGAGATAAATTATATTATATAGCACATTATAAAGATAATTAAGATTATGTTATCTATTGATTTAATATTGACCTGATAGGCACTGTCGAATAACGGAAAGAGTCGTTTTTCCTGTATCACATCAGCTATTTTAATCCATTGTTCTGCAGTTGGATCACATCCAGTAGGATTATGCGCGCACGAATGTAGAATGATTACGGCGTTTTCTGGAGCATCTCTTAAATCATTAAGCATTCCTTCGAGATTGATACTACGAGTCTTCTCGTCCCAATATGTATATTCGCGAGCGTGTTTAAATCCTCCATTCATAAATACCAGTTTGTGATTTTCTGCAAGTATATAATTTTACAATATACAAATATACATTTTTAAGTATCAGAATGATTAATATCTTTAAATTTGCTTACCCCAGGAAGGTATGCTGTAGTAAAAGGTGTCGTAATGCAAAATACGACTCAAAAATTCAGCAGCAACGCGCAATGCCCCTGTACCAGAGAGTGACTGAACACCGAAGGCACGGCCTTGGGCAATAGCAGGAGAATTTGCACCCAGTAACATGCTCGTAGCAGCTTGACTAAATGCATCTAAGCCAAGAACCGGTAAATATTCATGATTTTGTAAATCATCTGCAGCAAGTAACTTTTCCACCTTCCTTACAACTGGTAAGACCCATGGTTTGCCCTCACTAGTGCGATAAGCTGAAAAGAATTTGTGTATGTGTGTGAATATAAATTACTTTAAGATAAGTTTAAGATAAGTTTTAATTATGTTAAAATAAACTTCAAAAACAATTATGATGCAATTAGTTGTTTATGTCGAGCTGTACAATGTTACATAAAGAGGAATAATTAATTTAAAATTTTTTATTTTATTAGTAGAGTTCAAAAGTTGCATTTCTAAAAATAATATATAATGTATATAATATCTATATATCTACTTAAAAGTTAGTTTGATTAATATCTGCATAAGATATGAATGTAAAAAATAATTTTAGTAGATTTAAGATGAAGAGGCATATTTGTGAAAACAGATAAATTTTTATCTCTATCCACTGTCTTAACAAAATAATCAAGTGATTAAATTTATCTGTATTATTCTCTCTTCTCTCTCTCTCTCTCTCTCTATATATATATATATATATATATGTATATATGTATATACATATAATGTATGTATAGATAGCAGAATAGTATATCATCTTATATAATTCTTCTGGAGGTGACCCTACAGCACAAAGTATAGAGATGCAGGGATTATACTACGCTCATGTCATGGTTCATATTTATTATTAAAATATGCTAATCTACAAAAGTAAAAAGATGCAACATTTTTCAAAGCACGAGCTATACATATATTATTGTAAAACATTTATATATCCATAAAATTAGTTGTATCAAACGAAAAAAAAAGAAACAAGATTGAGTAGTTTCGCTTATATATAATCAATAAGCGCTAGTTTAAAAAATGATCGCAGATTAATAAAAACAATAAGAATATAAAGAAGAAAGATAGTGACGTACCTCCTATAGACAGATTCACTTTATTGTCGTGAGAATCGTCGACGAACGCCTTTTGCAGCGCGAAAACCTCGATGGGAGGTCCCAGTTTGATTCCTGTAAATCTGGTAGTCATCTTGCAAGCGGTGACAGCTGCAAGGTGCAACGGGTACCGGTGAGAGCGTGAATGAATAAGGAGTGTCGTAGGCGCGGAAATTAAAATCCACGTTCAAGTTCGAGGCCGGGACGTGCGAATAGGGAGTAGGTATACGCGAAGGGAGAGTGGTCTTGCAAATGTGTCGGGAAACGTAGCCGCGCAAGCGCAAGAATGCTCGTATTCCCGTGATTTGCGCCGATTAGACACAGTGCTCTACTACAATGTACGGTCTCCCTATATATATACACCCGGATTTTTTACACCATCGTACCGATTGACGTAAGAGGACAAGTGGCAATTTCGCAAGGAGATCATACGTTTTGTTTTTCACCTTGCGCAGTGATTCTCAAACGCTTTATTTTTTATTTTCAAGTTATTGCTTTTCTCTTTTTTAAGCTAAATACATATGTATTTGTTTGATTTCGTGCATAAATATTCACGTAGTTGCATAATGCGCGGAAGTTTATCGACGCAACTGTCAAGTAACAGCTGACAGCTCAAAAATGTGTGAAAATTAGTCCGCTATCCGAACAGACTTAAGGTTTATTCAGCATAAGGAAAATCAACCAATCACGCAACTGGAAGCCGAAGGGTGTTTCATTCTGTTCCGTGATTGGCTCTCGAGGTATTCACTCCCGTTAACAACAATCCGCTTCTATCTACTTTACGAAAATATAACGTAGTACATATTCGAGCGGATCGGATTTTTTTTACCTCGTATCATGATTCCGAAGGATCGACGCGCGAAGACGTTTGTTTGATGGATAATTATTTCTTTAAGTCTTAAGTACGTGTACTGATATTCGCTGACTTCAGCACCTTTGTGAATGCTGGACGACGAGAGACAACTCTGTGCCAATAAATGAGCTTGCAGGACAGTCTGTTTTCCGAGGATGTCGAATACGACGTAACCGTCTTCGCGAGGGACAAGACACGCAAAAGGTGTGTACATAAAAAAAAAAAAAAATTGTTATGAGACAAGTTGCACGAAACGGTATATCGACGGCGAGGCCGATGCATCTTTGAAGGTTAGCTCCTTGTCTGCGAGATTCGTCGACTGCTACAAGAGATCTAACACCCAAGTCTTAATTCGATCTTGATTCTATTTTTGTTACTTTATTTAGACATATATACATATGTGTATGTATAAATAAAGTATACCGGAAGTTTTAAATGGATTCATACGTATGTATATGGTGCTCTCGAAGCGAAATTATTCGTGAGTGGTTTAAATATAGATTTTATAAATATAGATTTTATAAGCGTAAGCAACACTGATACATTATCGATATCATTATAGAACTACAAAAGTTAAAGTATGCAATTCTCTTTATATACATATGTATATATTTTTCATATATATGACCATATTATATATATATTTATATATATAACTTTATATATATATATATATATATATTTTCTATATTTAATTTAAAATTTTTGTGTTATATGAATTATTAATTAATTAATGTTGATGTTTTCATCATTACAGATCATATTGCAAAAAATTATTACCTAACTTTATATATATTTTTTTTATTTAATGTAAAAAATTGTAAATAATATACATATATATATACATATATATAAGGAGAGAGGGAGGAAGAGAGAGTTGTAATAAATCCATTAAAATGATTTTTCACAAGTTTTCTATTTACATTATTCATATTAATAAAAAAAGGCAAATATAAAAAAACAGCAATTATGAAATATCAGACACATTAACAAGAATATTAATAACATAAATGCAAATTGTAAACACAAAGTCAAAAGATTGTATATGATCTGATAAGAAAAAATATATATATCCATATTAATATCGCAAAATATTCAACATATTGTTTCAACATATAGAGATGATTTGAAAGATAATTTCAACTGTTGTATTGTAATAATAATTTTATTCTTCAAATTTTATTATTAAAACTATGAAATACATAGGTATATATATTTTGTACGAGTGCAAAGTCAAATAAGATTTAAGAGTAGCTTTTACAGAGACACTGGACTATATTTTCTCTTTAAAATTATATATACATGTATGTGAATGCAATTTTTCAATATTGCTAATCTGTAAAGACAACACCAGTTTATTGCAGTTTATTGCATCTAGTCGTACATTTGTCAATTGCTACAAGAGATCTAAGACCCAAGTCTTAATTTGATCTTGATTATATTTTTATCACTTTATTTAGGCATATATACATATGTGTATGTATAAATAAAGTATATCGGAAGTTAAATGGATATATACATATGTATATGGTTTTCTCGAAACAAAAGGAGTGGTGTTCAAAATTCGATAATTGCGTAATCACATGTTTATACATACATATATTACACAACAAAGCATCATATATTTTATTTTTATTTTTTTAGGTCAAGGTACAATAGCGTGACCAAAATTACTTTCTCACGAATATTTTACGCATTTAATTAATTAACAATACAGAAATACATTATGAACCATAATATTCGTTATAAGTGTAAAAAAAAAGAAAAAGATGTAATCGATGAAAGAAAGATGCCTTTAATACGACTGCGACTGATGTATACATGTTACATGAGTCGTCGAATGACAGAGAAAGTGAACGCGCGGGTTAGTCCGGGTTACGTAAAAGTTAGCCGGCTTTTATACCTCATGCATATTCCCCTCCACTTTTCATCCTTTCTCTCTCTCTCTTTCTCGCGTAAGACGTTACGTTCACCAAACGGAGCTGCCTCAGTCTTTCGATCTCACTTTCATATATGCAGCGAGAGGCAACAAGCGGTATAGTATAATATATCTTTTCACTTTTGCAGAGCGCTCGTCTTCCCACCCGTCAACAACTATCGTCGTTTCATAATACACCAGCTGGTGCAGGATCGTTTCCCGGACTTGTTGCACACCTTCTCCATCGGCCAGGGCTCGGCTAGACGTACCGTGGTATGCTACAAGAGCGACGTAAGAAGGTACTCGAAGAGATCATTCTGAATCCACTCTTCCCGTCATCTCTGTCACGAGTCTTCCCGAAATATACGTATAAATGATTGATGATCGTCGATACTACTAAATGATGTACAAAAGCCGTGAACGAAAGTGAAACCGATTCACTCCACTGACAATGAGATCATTCTTCTACATCGTCGTAGTGTAAAAATAAGGATTATGATCGTGATTGTAATCACGAATATTTTCCTGTAATACAGGATGTCTCATAGGAAATTACTGAAATTAATCTGTCATTTTTTACTGCATGCAGTTATTGAGAAAACAAAAATTGGAAAGACGAAAGTCTGCAGTTTTTAATGGATATAAATAAAATGTTTGTATACCAGTTTATTTTATTGAAAAGTAATGAAAAAAAGTGCTAATATATAATAATCACATATGTAAACTAATAATTATAAATATTTTCGAAGTGCGCACCATTGAATTTGTACAAAATTCTGTTCTTTTACGAAAATTCATAAAAACTTTTTGTAACATGTCATTTTGAGTGTTATTGACGATCCTTTTTATAGCTGCTATAAAATCTGGTACTATTGCAAATATTTATTTTTTATTAGTTTATGTGATTATTAGTGCTTTTTTCATTACTTTTTATTAATAAAATATACCGGTATACAAACATGTTATTTATATTCATTAAAAACTGCAGACTTTTCACTTTCCAACATAATGTTTATTTTCTCAATAACTGCATTAAAAAGTGACAGCTGATTAGTTTCAGCAATTTCCTATGGGATACCCTGTATATGATTTTATATAAAGAAAATTGAATGTAACATGGTGTTTTCTTTGTAAAGGGATTGGGAGCCAAAGCCGAATGCTCCTGAGTGCAAAACGAGCCTTGGAACAAAACGAAAGGACAGGACTCGCGAGATGGAAGACCGACAATCGCCCTCCATGTCTCCAGAATGCAAGCAGTTGCAGCGACAAGGTGATTGATTATAAGAAGAAATAATTGACAAGCGTACCTTGAAATATACAATAAACAATATGAGGTGTTCATTTATACATGTACATGTATATTTTTAGCTAAATCAGCACCAACGATCGAGATTTATCGGCCACCGGCAGCTAGGAGAGCTAACAATTGCTCCCAAATAAATGGGACACAGACGCAGTCGCCGTCAAATAGTGCAGATACTTCTTCTGTCAAGTAGGATTTGTTAGATTATTAAATTCGCACGCAATTACGTATAGTTTTAATCACTAGCGGATCCTGAAGTCGAGGGGTTTTTACAAAATTATTTGGTCTAATAGTGAAAATATTTCTATAAATCGAATTACAATTATTTCTTTTAATTTGAAAGGAGGTTTTAATTCTGAAACCCCAGGATCCGCCAGTGGTTTTAATCTTAATATTCACGAATAATGTTTTTTCGTCGTTTTATTAGCGTCGCGATTCTTACACGACAGTGCTAACAAATGCTAAATACATTGCGTTTATAGGAATGTGCGACAGAGACGACCCGATCGAGCGGTTTACGTACCTAGACATCGAAGAAGCCTGGAGGAGAGGATATCGCGAAATTCTAAAGATTCTCCCGCAGATCAGACGACGTTAAACGAAGATCCGAATACAAATAATAATTCTAGACTGCAAAATACATGTTGTGTTCGACAAGGTATAAGCGGTGATCCGAATTTAGACAATCGAATCTTCAGCAGTGGTGATATGGAAATCGCAAATAGTCACTTTCCGCGAAAAATTGTAGAAAATGCAGTGGTTACCTTGGATTCTAAAATCCCCGACACACATGGTGATACTAAGTATAATACGCATAAACTGTTGGAAGAAGAAGTGAAAGAAGATGCGCAAGTTTTATCAGAAGAGAAGGAAATTATCGTGGCTGATAACCTTAATGAAAATAGCGCTAATTTTAATGTATCAAAATCAACCGATAAAGTCGAATCGATTAACGACGAACCAATAAAAATGACACAAGCAACTGTAAAAGAAGAAGACCGGTCTTTACTGCAACATTTAGATTGTAACAATATAGTAGATGATAAAAATAGGCAATTAGTTGAACAGAACGTAATATCGGATGTTTTGATAATTTCTGATAATATGCGAAAAAAATCGGAACGATCCGAGCAAGCATCTCCAATTCTCGTAATACCACCTGAGAAAAAAGTGAAGAAGATAGAGAGACAAAAGAGCAAACCGGTCCCGCCACCATCTCCACCTATAAAAATAAGTCGAGACGAATGCGATTGGGACAGTTTATTCGACGATAATGGCGATTGTCTGGATCCAACGTTGATAGAAGAGGTCAGTATATAATATGCGTCAGCATGTAATAATAAAATATATATTTACATTATATAAGGCTCCTGGATCTTTATCGCGATCATGTTAGATTGTAATGTCGAGGAGCCAGGAGCTTTATAATCGAGTTTATCTATTTTGTTTTTTATATTAATCTATGTGCGCGCTTTCACTTTAGCTTTCGTCAGCGGTAGGCGAAGTGACGATAGAACAACCAAAAAACGATTACAAGGCGTACACCAAACAGGTCGAAGTGTCCAGTGATGAGTTTGCGCACGTTGTGGAAATTTACAATTTTCCTTCCGAATTCAAAACTTGTGATTTGGCGGCTGCCTTCAGTTCTTTCAAGAACGGTGGCTTTGAATTAAAGTGGGTAGACGATACCCACTGTTTAGGAGTTTTCAGCAGTCCTCTCGTTGGTATATATATTTGATAATTTATATTTTTAATCATTAATCGAATCTTTATTCTTCGTATTTTCATATATATACAGGGTGTCCGGTAACTAACGGACCAACGATCACAAATGGATTCTTTGGTCAATTTGGAAACGATTTTTCCTCAGCGAAAATGTCGAAAAAGGTCATCATTTTTTACAACTTTCCAATATTTGTCATTATGTATCTTTATAACTAAACCTCGAATTAAAATTTTGTTATAGTAAACTCTACCTAAAATTAACTGAAGAATGTAATTATGTTAGACTTTTAACTCCAAAACGTTTAGTTTTCAAAAAACCCATTTTTTTCAATCGCTTATAACTCGAAAATTATTGACTTGTCAACATTTTTGCTAAGGAAAAATCGTCTCCAAATTGGCCAGAGAATCCGCCCTTAATCATTGGTCCGTTAGTTACCGGACACCCTGTATATGCTTGGTTTTTTTACATTTATCTCTCATACATGTATAGAATAAAAATGGTATTAAATGTGCACGATAAAAAGATATTTTTATATGTGCCACTGAAACTTATTGCGAGTTGAGAAAAATGAAAAAATAGCATGTTTATTTTTTAACTTGTTAAGAATAGAGAGGTTTAGCTGTAATAAAGTAATGTAATATATAATTTTCATTAAAAATAGTTTAAAAATTAATCTGAATCACACATATACGCACAATTACTTTATATTTTACATGTTTGCTACTAATTGACGATATTTGAAAAGTTTTATTTAAAGAGTAATTCTAATCAGATGCAATTAACTATATTCCTCCTTATTTCTTTTATTTTTTTAAGCTGCTGAAGTATTAGCGTCGAATCATCCGTTTGTGAAAACGAGGCCGCTTAGCGAAGCCACCGCTTTGAGTAAAACGAAAGCTAGAAGAACCGCAGAATTTTTGCAGCCTTATAGAAATCGACCCGAAACGTGTGCTGCTTTAGCAAAGAGATTAGTTACAGGCGCGTTAGGCGTGAAACTCGCTACAGCCAGACAAGAACGTGAACACGAGAAGAATGTATTGCGTGAAGCAAAAGGTAAAAAAAATTGATTGTATACGAACAATTTAAAAAAAAAATAATACGACGTTTGAAAGAAATTAAGAGAGATTCTTGCATTACAGAGAAAAGACGATTGGCCAATAAGCAACGAGAGGATGTCTGGGAAGGCATAATACCAGCGAAGTAACATTACGCATCATTAATGCGTATTTACAGGGATCGTTTATACCTCGTCGTATTACTATGCACTTGAGACTACATAGTTTGTGTAACTCGCATTGCAAAGTTTGCATAATGTTGGGTTTTTTCCAAGCAAGAACACTACATTACACCGTGTTACACGTATACATCAAGGTATTTGCTGGAATGATTAAAATTCTAAATTTAGTTTCCGAGAGAATTATCAGAGCATTGCAGTTTTTCGTTTTTATTGTTACAAGTATAAACAAGTATAACAAATGTTATTGCTGCATTCTATCCTATTGGATATTTTTATTTTTTCAATAAAACATATCAATAAAGGAAGAAAAGAAGATAGTAATGGACCATCATTGTAACACTAAAGGAATATTCATGTACATATTAATATCTTTAATTATTAATATGTTAGTAATAATAAATTTTTATAAAGTTGACCTAAATTTTATGAGAATATTTTCATTTAAAATTTTGCTTTATCATTTTTATACAGATGATAAATACAGATGAAATTTATACAGATGTAAAATTATATTTTAATATTAAATATAAAATTTCTTGAAATGTTGGTGACATGGACATTTTATACATTTGTTTTTAGTTTTTTTTTCAGTGTCAAACACTGGCATCGTGTCACAGTTGAAAATATAGGACGAGTTTCACTTAACGCTTGCAAGGATTATCTGTATAATTTTAGATGAGATAAGAGTGGCATTTCATGAGCGTTGAGTAAAATAATGCACCCATAATGTTACAATATGTCATCTGTGTACTTTGCTGGAAAATACCCTCGCGTCAACGTACAGTCAACGAATATTAGATTTTATCGTAAGAAATTTATAACGCGTCTGCGTATATTTGTGCCTTACTCATCTATCCTTTTTATATATTGATAAACAGAAAATTAAGATATACGTATTTTTCTGATTTGTCTGAATTAAAAAAGTACTAATTTATCACTAGATGAGTTTGGCATGCAAATATTATGTGGTTAGTAAATATCCAATTATCTTAAGAAAATTATCGAGACAATATTATCATTTTAGTATCGTAAAAAAAAAAGAAAAAACGTATCATAGTGAAAAAGATCAGTCGTGCATCATCTTTGTCATTCAAGAATTTCATTTTTTTAATGAACATTTATAGTAATGTTTCTTTACGGAACTAAAACCTCGAGTGTAGTGGCTTGACTTAAACATACATTTAAAAAACTGTGACAACTTTTTCAATGATTGTCACGTATTGTTGAGTTTATACACAGCAACATATATGATAATACATAGTATAGATTAATCGCGAGACAATAAGTGGCAATAGAACTTTTTCACGTATACATCGATTCATCATAGCAGTGATATATCAAAATATATCTTTACAAAGTTTTATAGAAACCGACGACGTAATATATTTACTAAAGATAAAAAATTGTAGCATATATATATAATTTATTATATATATGTACATTAAAATTATATATTGCAACATAACATTTTATAATTCTGACTCTTAGGCCACTTATATATATGTTATACTTAATACAAATGTTACAAATCAACGCACAATCACATTATCTATTCATATTACAGAGTTGCTGAGTATAACAAAAACGGATTGTATTTTTATATACAGTTGTTACCAATATCAAATAAAGATGTGTATTGTCTCTCTATCCCTAGTCAACATATGTACATGGAAAGATGTTACCTATGTGTGTTGATATTATGTCACGAGTTGAATAAGAGGATTTTTTTGGAGAAGAAAAATAAAGATATTTTCTATAATATAATTCCATATTTCTCTATATTTACATATTGTCAATATAGATACGTACTTATTCGAGTTTTTCCGAAAAACAATATTTGCAGAAGAAAAAAAATGACATCGACAATATATAATATACAACGATAGATCTTAATTGCAATAAAAAATCCACTGATAAATAGGTATTAAATTTTCACGTACACAAAAGTGAAGAAAGAGAGAAATTATAAACATATTTCTTTTACACGTTTGTATACGATATCTTTGTCATTGCTTTTTAATGGCAGTATTACAATTTCCGTTTTGTAAGATACAGCTACACGGTAGCAAATAGATTTCACTTCATATTTTTTGTAAGAAACGTTCTTTTTCCATTAAAATGCTATGTAATCTAATTTATGTATGTAAAACATGAAGAGGGAGAAATAATTCAATTTAGAAATGAAATAATCATTACCACTTGCTACCTTTCTTTTTCTTTTTCTGCTGCACTTTGCGTTGTTGCTGACGTGGTCCGGAGGTTTCAACTGCAGGACTATGTCGAGGATTTGGAGAAGGCTTAGCATTCGCAGGCATTTTCGTAATGTCACTGTAATGATAGAATATAGTTGTAGTTTTTGAACAGTTGATCAAAAGAGTATATCACACTTGCATATATTATACATACTAAAGGTCACTGGCTCCTGCAGCAGCTCCTTGTGTGCCTTTCATAGCGGCATCCCTATTCCTTCTATCCCGCTTTTTACGGAATCCGCTGCGCTCGTGTCTTGGTAACCATCGTTCTGGATCCGGCGCAACGTTTGGATCGTAGTTCTTCGGCAATTTACCCCTTCGTTTACGTTTCTTTTGCTTCTTCTGAATTACATCCGACACTGGTTTACTGTAAAAAATTAAAACACGTATAAATTTTTATGAATTTGCTGCAAGAGAGAAAGAATTGACTGAAATAATTATATTTACCCAGGTGAAGGTTCAACCTTCTTCTTCACTACTTTAGTTCCAATAACCCAATTACTACTCTCCAATGCATCAACATCGGTAGTTTCAGCAAGATCATGAAGCGGCGGTAATCTTTTGGATAACGACTGCGCTTTAGAAGGGCAGAATTGCACATAAGCGACCACTAGTTGAGCTAAAGTCTTGGTATCGGATGGTGAAGCGTCTACTAATTCTTGCAGGATGTCGGCAGCGATCTGAAGCTCGCCACCGCGTAAGTAGAAATTGGCAGCCTGCCGCCATAATTCTCCCAAATTTTTAGTGGTTTCCTAAAAGCAAATTTTTTCATGTAAAAAATCTTGCGCAATAGACTAACTACATAAACATACATAAATACGTACTTTGTGTTTTTTATAGTAATCGACTGCATTCTTCAGAGCGGCTGATGCTCTTTCCCGATCGTTGTCAGCCATGTGAAGAGTAACGAGTGCGCTGACTATTCCAGGCAGAGATCTATCCCTTTCGTTCAGATTCTCAAGAATAGCGATCGCCTCTTTTCTTTCGTCATGACTCAGGAGAACTTGCACGCTGGCCAATTTCATAGGCAATTCCTTCTCGCTGACCGCATGCTGGATCAACAATTTCGCCGCTTCTTTCGCTTTACCTTCCTTGCTAAGTTGTACAGCTTTTATGAACATTGCGTCTGCTGTAAGTGTAGGGTAATCTTTCGCGAGATTATTGCACAACTGGTGACATTGTTCCCCCTGAAAATACACAATGAGCGCATAATTATTTTCATAAATAATAAAAAACCGATCATAATATATAATAAGATATTTAATATATAATAAATTTGTTATTGAGACTCACTTGATCTGTGTAAAATGTTAATAAACACTGATTGTATGCAATGTTCCTTCTTTGTCTCGAAGTTAATTTGTGCTCTAGACTTTCATGAGTGGCACTTTTCATTCTCTTTTTACTATCAAACACATTTTGATCTCTATTTAGACATACTAAATTATTGTTGGCTACAGCAACCAATGCGATGTCATCCGGCTTGGCTTTTAAAACAGCAGTGTACAATGCTTGTGCTTCCTTCTCTCGACCTTGCAATTGCAGGCAATAACCAAGCTGTACACGAATTATGCCTAATTCATTTTCAATTTCTTCTTCAGATGCTCCATCTTCTTCTAAGCCCTCCCTGCACAATTTTTCAGCAGTTCTTAATTTTTTTTCTGCTTCTATCAAAATAGTTCTATCATCCTTATTTCTTTGCGCGAGTAAACGGCATGCTGCGTTATATGTTAATTCATAAGTATGTTCATGTAACGAAGGGACTTCTAAATCCTAGAAATTGTTTGCAGTATTTTAGAAACATTCATATGTTGAAAGCTATGAATATCTTAATTAAACTTTCAATTTATTAAGATGCATTGAACTTACAGAACCCTCAATTGCTAAGTTTCCGAGAACGGCTGCAAGATTTGTTTCTCTTTCTTCTTCATAGTCATCGTGTGAATTCTTAATAATGTCCCTATATACTGCGAAACATTCTTCATATCTTTCTAGACGATACAATACCTGCGCTTTTAATTCCTTGATTTTCAAGGAAGGATTTTGCACATTTTCTATCACTTTTAATGCCTCAGAAATTTGATTTAAACGATAGAGGCAGTATCCTTTTTCAAAATCTAGATTCCTAAGTTTGAAATAAAATTTGTAATAAAAAATATTTCATCTATTGTAGTATAAAATAATATTAGTAAATGGTAGCGTCATACGTTGTTAATTTCGGGGTTTTAATAGTTTGTAACGCCTCATTGAACTTGGACAGCTGGATCTGGCAAATAATTTTATAGTGAAACGCCGCTTCCTCATCTTGGGAAATGCCTAAAACTAAACAACAGAGTATGAATTACTTTATAGGTTTTTAAATCACACATGCTTTTTCTCATTTCGGAATATTTTTCGAACGTAAATTATTTCAAAGTACAGTTTAATTTTACGAAAATATGTGTCAAATGATGTAAAAACATTAACCAAAAAAAAACACCGAACGAGTAGGATTAGTTTCTTTGCAATTATTAGCAATTCGGATTTTTTTATTATTTCAATAAATAATAGGCTTACTTCTGTTCGTGGTTTTTAAGGCCCTTTCGTATTCCCCGTTTTGGCCAAATTTATTTAATTCCGTATACAACACAACAAGGTTATTTTCTTTCGAAGCCATGTTCTTCAATCGGTCCTCCTTTGCTACATACGCATGACGTATGTCAACGTGGAGCCATGGTACAGTCACACTACTATGATATATAAGTCATACAGCAGGAAACCTTCGAGGATAAAGAGGGAAAAAGATGCATATATACTGGATGGATCGCTATCTTTGTCAGGAATTCCCTCTCTCTTTCTGATTGGTTGATGCTATTATAGTATCATGATCAAAAACATTGATTTTTCATATATATTGATATGTATACATGAAAGAAAAATAAATAATTTACAAGCATTTTTACAATTTTATTGTTTAAATTCATAAATAAAATCAAAATATTTTTTGGAAGCTGTGTATCGCTGCATCATTTTTATTGATAATAATTGCATCTAAAGTATTTTTATTTCAGATATAATACACAAAGAAATAAAATCTAATTTTCAGCAATTTAAATTCTTTTATTTTTCACATTTAATATATTATTTATTTTTATTGTAGAAATTCATTGCTAATATACATTTACAATATTCATAGTGAAGGAGAACGCATAAGAAACATCCAACACTTAGCGCGTGCCTCGTTAGTTTTTAATAAATTGATTGATATTTTTTATGAGAATCTATAGTCACTTTGTTCTTATCATGTTAAGACTGCGTGTGTCTCATTAATTTTTAATAAATTGATTGATATTTTTCATGAGAATATATACAGTCATTTTGTTCTTATCATGTTAAGGGCCAATTTCACCAACGTGGATTAACTTAAACCTCTGATTAAACTATATCTTTGTCTTCTTTTTAAGAATGTATCTGAAAAGAGACAAAAATATAGTTTAATCAGAGGTTTAAGTTAATCGATGTTGGTGAAATTGACCCTAAAGATTTCTACATTTTTACTGTAAAACATACAATAAGATGTAAAATTATACTGTTAATTAATCTAAATTGTATTTAAGCACACATCACAAGGTATCACAGTCAAATAGCTATACTAATAATAATTTTATATAAAAAATTTAAAACAAATTTCTATAGAATACTATCTTACTATTAATTATTTTAAATCTTGTAAGAAGTTACGAAAATATACTAATACTAATAAGCAAAAAAATGTCACGCCAAAGTTACTTTTGAAATACACGCCTATTATACTATTGTCTATTGCATCTTTCAAAGAAGCATTAATCAAAAAGTTTCACACAAATTGAGGCATAAAAGATAAAGAATTTGTACTATAAATATCCACATAATCTTTGAAAATCATATGGAATAATCATCAAGATGTGAAATGTTTCCCTTTTCATAGGTTCAATAATTGTCTTTGCAATGTAATATAATCAACAATTTTCTGCTGCATTCGCCGCTTTTCTAGTAAAGCGGTAGCAGCCTTTTGAAATTTCTCTTCGTTTCGACGTATATACATTCTTGCATCCTGTTCCATTTGACTGATCTTTTCAGGTCGTATTTCCACCATCGATAGCATTTCCGTTAAATAGGGATTAAACCTAAAGTAAATGTGGTCAGGTAGCAAATCATTTAGCATTGTATGCACAGCTGAAAAATCAATATTTGGATTAAAATTTAATATTTTGCATATTATTCGCGTGTATTTTTTAAAAATTAATTTGTGTATGCAATAAAATTGCAAATTATTATAAATCTCTTTTATTAACATTACCTTCTGTATCAGTAGCACTATCCAAAATTTTGTAGAATTTTTCCTTCCAACTCGAGATCTCGACTTCCATAGAATCGTTTTCGAAGATGTGATGTGGGATTCGACCAGTGCCAAATGATACAACACATTGAATTGGATTATTTGGCCACAGCTGTTTGGCTTCATGTATCGCAACAGCGCACGGATTATTCACTAAAATGCCTGAAAACGATATTTAATTAATTTATCGTTCTACAACGTTTCAAAAGTCTTTATTAAATTTTTCATTTAAGTAATTGTGCAGCTCACCGCCGTCTTGATGAAGATATTCGCCATATTTAAATTCCTCAAAATAACTCGGTGCAGCGGCTGATGCTCTCACGGCTTCCCATAATTTATATTTATGAGATCCCATGTATTGACTTTCCACTCCATGCGGTAATGTGTAATTTCTAAATACGTAAGCCATAACGTTCCCATGATTAACCACGGCAGATATTGCTGAAAACTGAAAATTCAGGCTCGATGAATTATGGTTTTTAAGATTTAAATAATATATTAATATAGTTACGTACTTTTGGTGCATTTGGATCGCGCGCGGTTTTGATAAGAACTTTGTCACCCAAATGCTCCTCTAATAATCGTTCCCATAGCGCGGTGTCATAATACGCGTGACTCCAAACCAGACTGCTAGTGCCTTTAATAGCACTCTGCGTAAACACTCTAGTGCTTAGATCTTTGTATAATCCCGACACTTCATCCAATGATTTTTTCTTGTGTCCTCCTGCAATAAGAAGTGGAGTGAAACTCAAGATAATAGGAAATTCATAAGACATTCACTTCATTGATAAATAAATCATAAACAGTACATGCCGTAAACTAATCAAATATTTACCTTCCAAAGCATCCTTTGGTAATACTGTACAGATGACATGTACATTAGTTAGGAAAAAGTTACTGATTGATATAAGCATTATCTTATGTATTAATAAGCCTTGAGAAATTAAACACAAAAACTTGGAAGCAATTACCTAACACAGCAGCAAGAATGGCGCCTGTACTGACGCCACATATGTAATCAAACATTTCATACGTCTTCTTTCCTGTAAGTTCCTCCAATTTCTTCAACATCTCTATTACTAATACTCCGCGAATACCACCACCATCAATTGACAAGATTCTGATGCCTCGACCAGGTAGAGGATCAATATAACCCATTACAGCCAGCGCTTCTCTGATAGATGCTATAAAAATAATTTTGAAATTGTAAATAATCATCAATAACAATTATATAAAAAACAATTATATATATATATATATATTGTATATATATATAACTGAATTTATTTCTCACATACTGTTAATTTGTTCATCCTTCGTCTTTCGACGAGTTCGTAATAAAATCTTAATTGCTCCCTCTTTAATCGCGTAATGTCTTGCCTCTGGATACTGATCGATATGCAATAATAATTCCTCGATTCTCCGCCACTTTGAAGCATTCGACTCGGCTGATACGATACTGTTCAAGACGTGACGTGTACGAGATACAATACTGTGTTTTGGAATACTACTGTGAACATTCACTTTCCACTTTGGTATAGTAGTAATAGTTTGCGTACTTCTGGGAGTTAACTTCAAAAACAATGTGGAGAGAATTTGTGGCACTGTAAAGCTTTCTTTTGATTCTATTTTATTATCAGGCACATTTTGTTCACAAGTTTGCTAAGGAAAAAAATTAATTTTTTATATCAAGTATATAAATATTTTTTATTTGATTTAGTTTATAAATGATTACCTGCTGTATTTTTTGTTGCATGATTGTGGAATTATCTATAAGCGATTCTGTTTGATCAGACATGTTTGTCAAATTCTCTGAATCATTGCTTTCTTTATGCTTTACATTTGAACTCTTGTTTGCATTAGTAGTTTTAATAGAGTCCGATGATAATTTTCGTATTGTGTCGAGTTGCGAATAAGTTAACTTCTGTAGAGCATCTAACCAATCTTTAGAGAGATTAATTTGGTTTTTGTCATAGTTGGTCTTGTTCAAATAATCCTTTAATTGTGACAAAAGCTTCCACTGATTCTGCATTGACATTGTGAGTTTTTTTATGTCGTTTATGGAGCGTAAAAGTTTATTCGTGATATTTGTTACATTTCCACTGGCATTTTTACCAGTTGCACTGTCCGTAAATTGTCTGTAATCAAGAAATGTTAATTGTAAAGATAAGACAGTTGTAAAATGGAAGTTAACCTCTAAATTCCAGAACATTCAAGAGAATGCACACATTCGTTTTATATCGCGCATTTCCATTATTTTATCATTTACATACGTTTTTATTATAATGAGACGATTATTAAGCGACTTATATTTCGAATATTATAACAAGGAGAAAGAAAATATGAATAACATATATGTGTGTCACTTAGCACATATGTCAATCTAATCCCAACCTGATCTGTCAAAGTCAGCTGATCGATGAGGTATCGAATGCGAGTCTCGCGTCTTTTCGCAAACCTAACTGAATCTGACGTTTATTCGCGTGTTATATGCGTTTATACGATTTTGCAGCAGATTACTGCTAATGAGATTATCTTATGAATATTTTGATACCATCGTTACTAACCGCAGATAATAATGCTATAAATGAATAATTCTCATACTAATAATTTTTTCATCGATAATGATAGTAAAGTATTTTTACAATATATAGGGTGTCTCATTAGCGATTAAAATGATGCAATTGCAGTTGACTTTATGCAATGACACACACGTGAAAAATATAGTTTAGTGTTTACTATATATAGCATATGTGCGACGTAAAATAATTTTAATTGTTCTCGGAATAATTATTATCAGAGTCCGATTAAACTCATATAGTTGGCTGATTTATTTAATTAAAAAATTGATATGTTAGAATAAAAATATGTCACTCTCACCTAGTTAACAAAATGCACTTTTGACGATGCGTTGTATATCTGCTGAAAGACATTTTGACAGCAGAGAATATACAATAATTCTTAATTATTCACAGAAATGTCAAAATTAAATGTTACACAGGCACGAATAACCAACTCTTTCGACTTTTCAAAATTAAAAAAGTCTCGATTCGTGGAATCGACTTGACACGTAATCGATAAAAAAGTTCAGATCGAATCGATCGAATCTTTTCAAACTATCGTTGATACTGAAGTGAGTCCTGAAACGTCTCGTTTCTTATATACAAAAGTAACACAATGACGCATTACGTCTCAACACTCGACACGAGCTGGCTGGCTTCCTACAAAATAAGATATCGTATGATGTCGATGAGCCAACCCGGAGGCAGATGCCGCAAAAAAGGAGGGATAAAACGAGCGACGCCAATGTGAGTATTCGATGAATTAGAAGGAGTAATCACTTCTGCGATTTGTTTATTTATACCATTATTTGTTTCTAACGCGAATGTAAATATATATATAATGTATCGCGTAAACATAAACATATTAAGACACGCGCGTTCGCTGTCACGTGCGCTTATTATTGCAAATTGCGATCATCATTTCAATAATAAAAATATATCAATACATATTAATATATAGCATAATTTTGTGTATTATCACTTGTTGCTGGAGAATTGAACTCTTATCGCAAACAAATATATATATATATATAGTAGCATAGATTTTCTCTTCGATAGCTTAGAAAATGTCTTAATTATATCTAATTATTGCAATTTAATTTAATATTTAAAAAATTGTAGGTACACGTACATATATATATATATATATATATATATATATATAAAACGTTGTGGTTAAATTTATTCTCTTTTATACACTGAAAAAATTTGTTAAGTTATATTATTGACTAAACCTTTTAACTAATAAATTACTACATATATTTTGTTAATTGAACATATGTTACTATTTAATAAGTCAAATATACATATATGTTTTGTTAGATTTAATATGTATTATAATTAATTTGTATTTTTGTATGTTTAATTAACAAAATAATTTTTAATTAGAAAGTTTTAGTCAAGTTAACAAATTTGTTTTCAGTGTACATTTAGAAAAAAGATTATCCATTATGGATTTGCACAAAATGTTTTTGAAAATTTGTGATAAAAAATTTGTTTTACAATTCAAGTCAAACAGATCAATGATTTTGCATTATACATTGCATAATAAAATCTCGTCAAAATACTGTCCCAGCAAAAAATCATTGCTACAACGTTATTATCGCTGTCAAGTATGTAGTTTTTAACATATTGTATGCAACATCATTATGAACAAACTTTGACATTGATTTAGAGGTTTCAGTAATGTTGAAAATAACGTTTTTAAAATATTTTATTAATATTTTGAGAACATTATGTTATTAAATAATATTTTTAAAACATTTATAAAACATCAGTTAAAATATTTTTTAGAATATTTATATTAATAATAATTTAAACATATTTATACAAACAATAATAAGAATATTTATACAATATTATATCATAATATTTGGAAAATTTATATAAAATCAACATTATAAAATGTTGATTAAATATTTCTTGCTTACTGGGGTGTTATGGAAAACAAATAACTATATAAATATTTATTTTACTTTTTTCTTATTTATAACAATAAAGAACGTTTTACAAATAAACACGCGATTAAAAAGGAATAAATATGCTGTTTAATAAACTGCATATTTCCTATATATAAATTAAGAGAATGCATATTTTAATCGCGTGTTTATGACCAACAAAACACGCTTATAGAAATGCACTGAAATATAACATATACGTGTTTCGCATACTTTTAAAGTAATAATATATATATATATATATATATATATATATATATTTCTTTCATGATAAAATATTGATCGCAATTATGATTGTTTACTACGCTTTATTTTATTAGATAAAATCATTTGCTTTAGAGAGAGTAAATATTTATATAAATATATTTATAAGTTATTTTCGCAAGCGTGGTCTCGAAGGACCGTGACATATCTGCGTAGGAAGTCCACACGTGAATGATGACATATGTCACGCGATTCACCATATATCGAGCAGGCTTTTGCGACAAACAACATTCTTGATTGGTCGCATCTGTTTGATTTTCTCATTCATTGGCTGATAACGGAGGCACGCCACGATTCTGTGTATTTTAAGGAGAGTTATCAATGTTTTTAATGCAATGTTATTAATGCGAATATATATATAATAATCATTTATATACGAGACATACATCTTTAAGGTTCGATCCGATATAAAAATATGAGAGTAAATTTTTATCAGTGATATATAACATTTATACATATATCTATACTATTTTCTTCTACGAAGTCATCATTTTTTTAAACACTTTTTAACACTTTTGATGTTCCGAGAAGAATATAATTTTTTATACTCTCTGCTGCTGAAGAGTTCAGCCAGTTCTATTTTCAACTTTATAGTTGAAAAAACACATATGTACATACATATACATATGTATATATTTTCATTTATGATGTATTGTCAAACTCATAGACATAGAAAGTTTTCCAGCAAAAACATGCAGATAAATACAATGTCGCACAATTGGCTATTAAATAGAAAAATTGTTGGGACTTAAAAAATTTTCTATTGAATAGTTAATTGCATGACACTTGTATCTACCTGTGTTTTCTCTTGCTAAAAAACTTTTATAATAGGTAAATATATAGACTGCGCATATCGATCAAACGTTGTCGCCAAAATTAGAAAGAAAAAAGAGATTTTTGGGGAGTCGAACCTTCTCTCCCAAATGTAAAATTAATTACGATTATCATGGAAGAAGATTCTTACCTAAGTTAAAAAAAAATTAACGCACTCCCCGAAATATTGTCGCTTTTATTCCAATTTTGATGTGCAAATCTTTTAAGATATAGAATATGCTCGCAGTTTACATATTATGTCTATTTTTTTATATGTACACGGAGAGAATTTTCTCTTAGAATTTATCCTGAAAATCATGGTAATCATGATACAATATATGGTTTTAGAAAAATTTTATAAGAGTTTCTCTGATTAAAATATTTAACACAATAAAAAATATTAATATGTACATAGTAATATTTTATATCCTATTGTGATAAATATTAATCAGAGGAATTCATAAAATTCTTCTAATAATTGTCCCACGATTACCATGATTTTCAGAGTAAATTCTAAAAGAAAATTCTCTCTGTGTATGTACACAATATATAATCTTATATTTTATATAATTCCTATCTAGCTTCAATTTCTTTTTTGAGTGTCGATATGAAATGACGAAAGTCATATACGATTTAAATGAGTCTGGTTAACTGCTTTTACGTTCCTTATTTCACCGTTGCACGAAAACTATACAATCTCACGATGCTCCGCAGGATCATCACTGTGTATCCTAAAAATCCCTCAGGGATTTAACTTGGCTCGCTATACAATACATTTCATTCTGTTGAAAGGTTCGCGTTGTCTCGAATCGATGCACTTTCGATGCAGGTTTGTCTCTTGGATTTCCTGCGAAGCATGCAACTTACACATATAACAGAGCGCTTCGAATCTTCTACACTATCCCTTATTTTTTATATCGGATTATATCTGGTTTCACCGAAGAATTGACTCGATCGGATAAGAAAAAATTGATAAATAAAAAGCGATTCCCTATCTATAGTTTATATGTCACGTACGTGCGATATGTCACTATATCTGAGATCGAAATGCGAGCTGTGCTCAGATTCCGCGTGTTTATTCGCGACAATTGGCGGATCGATCCTCTTTCACACGTTGACGGTGTTTCTTCGATGTTGCTCCTTGTAGGCAGGATTGAAAAGAATTTCGCTTTTGATTGAAAGGGAAGGTTTCGATCTTCTGGTCTAAAAAAGAAAAAAAGAAACGTCAAAAATATCTCCGCGCTGAGAAAAGTTGAAGACTTATATTATATCTTAAATTTACTCGCGCCTTTTCGCGTAACATAAACGAAGAGGGAGAGATACAATATATACAATATATAGGAAATATTTTTCTTCTTCCCCAGGTATCACATATGTATATTTCCGGGGAGAGCGCGTTGGATTGCGCGTTGCTACGGCTCCGGTTGGAACTCCGTGTCAACCCCTATATAAGGCTGAAACCTTCGCCGCGAAACTCTAGACGTGGCTCAGCGGGCGGTCTGACGTGTTTGTGTGTGTGTGTATATACATATATATATATATATATATATACATGTATACGCGCGCGCGTCATGTCTCGTTTCTTTTTTTAACGCGGATTCACACATACACCTACCACCTGTAGATCTTCCCTCAAAGTTCAAGAACCATCATCTACCCCACCGTTATGTTCGCGAAAACGAGATCGCTCGTACTGTCGATTGTCGTTGCTTCGCAAGTGTCGTGGCTCGTGAGTGTATCGCGTGGTAAGATGATTGTTCATTCGCGAGTTCATTCATATAATTTCGTCGAAATTAATCATAACAATATACATATCTTGTCGTTGTTGCGCAAGTCTCAGAAATCGCGATCTTAATTTTGTTTAACATCAAGAATTCCATGCGTATGTTTTATTGAAATCTATTTGTATAATATATTTTATATTTTTGTTGTTTTAATATTTTAATCTATCACAATTATTATTAGACGCATATAAGTCAAATAAAAAATTCTTTTGAAAAAAAATAATTTAAATATGTCTGTGATACATATGTATACGCTTTTAAATCTATAAACAAATAATTTGCTATTTTCTATTATTTTAATAGAAGTGTATGTTATTATCTCTTACGAGAGACACTTTAAAATATATCCAATATTTATAAAAACGCATTATTTAATATAAATATAAATATAATATAAATAACGAAAGCAATTTTTATTTACGTATTATATTTTATATTTTATCATTTAATGAATTAAATTGTCAAACATATTTTGCTTGATCTTTATATTGATTTATTGATTGATTAATTCCTTTCGGAAATTTTTTTCTATCTCAACGATGAAAATAAGCTCATTGGATATGCATGGCATCTAGTTCAGTATTCAACGTCCTCTCTCCCTTTTGATGTCCTGTGTAATCGCGCGTATGAATAAAATGAATGTGATTTCTTCGACAGATAATAACGACAACTCTAACATATCTTCCGCTCGTTTAAGCGCAATCGTGCAAAATTAACGCGCTGACATCGTTTAAAAATTCGTAAAAAAAATCCCTGCTTAAAATTAATGCGGAAACGATTGCAGCACAGTTAAATTACAAAATACGTTTCTTCAAAATTTATTCAATTATTTATCTATTACTTATAAAATTCTTATTTCTCTGCTCTTAAAAGTATTGAAAATTTGTTATACGCTTTTAAAATAAAGTAGAGAGAAATTTAAAAGTAAAATATATCTCTTAGAAATATGAGGAGATAAAAGTATATATTTATGTTCATTATTTTGCGTTTGTTTTGAAATTTAATCCATTCGACCGCAGTGTTATTTTTAATTAACTATTCAAATATTTGTCAAACGCGCGCATACGCGAACAACGAAGGACTCACGTCTTTGATCCTTCCTGACTGCACACAGTGGATTACGGAAATTCTCTGCGGGTATACAATGTAGGCGTCCTTATGGCGTCCCATCTCGACAGTCCGTTTGATCTCGAGCGATGCGGTCCAGCGGTCGATCTGGCTCTGGCGGAAGTGAACGATTTCCTGAGCGTTCACAACGTGCAGCTGCGCAAAGTACAAGGAAGGTATATAATAACAACAACAACAATCTTTCAACTTCATATTGCCATCGCGAACAGGAAGCATTCATCATTTCCGACACGCTATAATCAATCAATCGCGCGAGATCGCAACCGGAAGCGGAAGCAATTATTATTAAATCCGACCGCTGAAATCGATTTAACGTGTTAATCAATTTCGTCTCAATGCACGAAAAACATGTATCCGGATTAAAAACGCATAAATAAGGACCTCTCTCTCTCGTGAAATCTCTTTAATGGCTCCTGTCATTTTCATTTGGTCCAAGAACGCGATATATTTTTTTTATTTTGCCATTTCGATTGTTGACATCGAGGAAGAAAGAAATGCTTGCTATAAAAATATCGAAACGACGTGTTTAATCGAAATAAAGTAACTGAAAAATATATATAACAGTAAATTGTTGTTAAACGTAGATTTTTACATCGTAATATTTACTCGAATAAATGTTTCGTCTGGCTCGTTTCGTTTTGCTGCTTATATGTGCATCATCTCTTTTGCGTCATTACATTGATACAATTGAACAGGCATTTGCATGGAAAGATGCTCTCGTCGTATAGCTAAATTAATTGTACGGTGCTTGATGAGGAGGCAGAACGACGAATAATTAATAAGAAAAATTATTTTGTATAATGTCTCTCTGCGCTATTGATCTCATTCACTCTTTACTCTCTTTCTCTGTATATTATATACAGATATATGTGTGTATATATGTAAAATACGTCGAATATATGAAATGTTCATATGTATACATATACATAGAATTTTATACGTAAGGGAAACCGGGGCGAAGTCGTCACCTTTTTTTCAGTTTTGACTACTGAAAATACGTTTGTTGTAATCAAAATCACAACATGGCATTTAATTCATTAAATTCTGTTGATCACGTGAACCTCAAAAATAGCATTTATAATATATTAACAACAAGTTCACATAACATAGATTTCGAAATAAATGTAATGACGACTTTGCCTTGGTCTTCCCTACTGTCGCGCCTACATTACATCGTAATATCATCTGTTGCGTTGGGAATTGCTGAGCTATTTCAATGATGGCACTGAAATGCAAACTCTATATGGTAATATCATTTAATTTTGCGCAACGATGAAACGGAACTATTTTTTTATTAAAAAAATTTTTTTAATGTAAATTTCGTCAGTTGCGACAATTTATTGATAAATTTTAATCATTTCGTACTTGCACAATTAAATTATATGATGTCGCGTTTATATGTGAATTTATTTTTATCGCGCATCGCGGCTCAAGCTTCATCAATATATTATCAATAAATTAATTTGCATCAATATATTATCAATAAATAATTCGCGAAAAACAAGCCGGGGGACGATGTGTGTATGTATATGTATATAATATAATGTTTTCAACATTTTCATTAGAGAGAGAGAACAGATCGACGAGAATCCAATCATTGGCCATTCATCTCGATACAATAATTAACGCGCCATCATTTCGAGCTGTTGCATCTCCCTGGGGGATACATCGCATAATTATTGTTGCTATTCGTCGCTAATTGCGCGTAAACGCGGGAGATTCGCCCCGAAACACGTGCATTTCGCATTCTCAAGGACGCGCCTGGCGTAACATACGTGCGTCACATACATATGTACATATTTGCAACTGCACGCGAGAGGAAAGCGTACACGCGCGTTTCGCGTTTTCTCGTCAGCAGCCACCCTACTGGTAACCCGATCGCGCGTTACATGTTTACGCTTCGATATACATTATACATACGATCCATCACGCGGCCCCCCGAGGGTTGATATTAATCGTGTATATACACACGGTATATTTCTATATATTAATACGCGATAACGCTTTTTACACGATTGCAATTATTACAAAAGGGTAAACTCGAGTATGACGGCCGGCTTTTTATAAAATGCAAAATATTTTTGTTATTTTTTAATTATATTTGACGCATTACTTCTCGTTAAAAATTAAAGTGCGTAATACTATCGAAATTAAACAACAAATAGAAATGTTATACTGTGAAAATATTGAAACATAAGCATCGACTAGATCTCCTGACTTTTAGGGGAAAGATGGCCAGAGTATTTCTAGATAGTTAGCCATACATATATTTCATGTTAAAGAAAAAAACGTATAACTTTGCATATTTAGCTTTTTTATTTTTATTACATTGAACACATAAATTGATATATTTTTTAATATAAAATAAAAACTTTTATTTAAAAAAAATTAAATTTAAAATATAATTAGATTAATTCTTTTAATTAAAAATAATATTTAAAAATATGGATTATATATTATAATTTATATATCTCTGTTATATGTTTAACGTTGATTATGAGCTTAATTGCAATTTATTTAACTTTATAGCATTTTGTAGTGGACACACACAAAACTTTAGAAGTAATCAAAGTAAAAACTTAGTATAATATTTTTAGAGTATTGTTATTCCAAATAGTATACGCACATAAACTATTGTAAATATCGATTATCTTTGAGAATAATAAAAAAACGCACTATTTAGTGATTATTACAAAAATTGCAGCTTGCATCTTTTCGGTATGATCATATTCGAGTTTACCTTACGTGATACAAGTATGTCATTATTATATTATGTTACATGAATATTGCGTGTTTTTTTTTGTAGATTAGATATAGATAAGATTAATTATTTTGCGATTTTAGCAAAACTAAAAAAAAAAAATACGAAAGAAACTAATTTCTCCGCAGCTATCCGTCGTGCAGCGGAGCCACGGCACCCGGTTTGGCAGCGGACATGCACTTCCGGGACAACGTGATCGCGTTCATCGGGCCGGCTTGCGCGTTTGCCCTGGAACCGGTGGCACGACTCGCGGCTTATTGGAATAGTCCGATTATCACTGGCATGGGCGATCAAGTAGGTTGAATTTGTTTCTCGCAATTATACGCACACATAAATATTGCATCTGATTATTGCCTCTATGTACATTATTTCGTCGCGCTCGATTCGCACGATTAACTTTCCGTAAATTTTTATTTGCATAATGAATACGTATATATAAATATACACGTATATATAAATAAATAAATATATATATATATATATATATATATATTCATTTATATATATATATATTTTTTTTTCTCAGCATTAACGTAAGATTAATCTCTCTCTCAGAGGAGAATTGCAATGCGATCTTTCGAAGATCATTATTAGAGAGGGATATTATTACACGCGGGATATAATTATAATTTTCTTATATAGCGTCGAGTTTTGAATTAATTTCACTTGGCATCTTTCTACCTCGATATTCCGTTTCAATTTCGCGCCATATGCTTTGAAATTGAAATAAATCGCCGTGTTGTCGACGTTAATATTAAATTATGTGAAACGTAATTATCGCTTTCTTGCGAACCCCAAGCCTCCCTCGGAGGGCGAACTGTCAGTCACATCTGGTATCCTTGGAAGGATCCAAAAGTGGAAGAATGAAACGTCGGTAAGGAGCTGCGAGAGAATCGCCTTATAGAATCTTTTTGTTTCTCTAATTTATTGTAAGATTGCCAGCATGTTGAGCGTTTATGATAGTTGATGTTGTATATCATCCGACAGTCTATCTCTCTTTCTCTTTTTCGCATCATCTTAATATTTTCACTAGCTATATGCGTTAATTACGAGAACAAAGGATATAATCTAGGAAATAATTATTTTCTTACTTGAAAGAAATAGTCGCACTCGTACGTAATGTTACCTTTTCCTCGTGAAAACTCGTTAAGCTTGGAATTATGGCAGCGACGTGTTCTCTCTTCGTGTATCACATTTTTTCTCGTGATAATTACTATTATATAATATCTGCCAATTGTATATATCTGTAACATATTATCATCATAAATTATATTGGCATGAATCTCTTTTTATATATATATATATATTTTATTTTAAACAAAAACCAAAATATCTCACAATCTAGATATTATACTTTCTTTCTTGTAGTAATCTCTTCACAGACAAACACTTCGCTCTGTGATGTATTTCTTACCTTTTTCTTGAAGGGGATTTTCAAAGACAAAAGCAAGTATCCCACTTTAACGAGAATGTCGTACTGCCAATGTCGATTGCGGCTCGTCTTCTCTAGCGTGTTCAAAGAGTTCGGATGGTCTCACGTCGCGCTGATATTGGATAGATCGGACTTGTTTTCGCTGACGGTAGGAAAGAATTTGGAGTACGGTCTACGTAAGGAAGGGCTCTTGAAGTTTGTGAGAGACTTGGACGGCAACTCCGAGGACGAGTCGTATCACTATTATCTTCGAGATGCGAGCATGTACGCCAGAAGTGAGTGTAATCGCGCTTGTCTTACAGAATGTCTTCCTTGAATTCGTAATCTTCTCTGAAAAATATATATATATATAATTGTAAAAAAATATAATTGTGAAAATAAAATAAATAAATCTTTTAGAACCGTAAAACTGGAGAACAATTTGTGCTTCTTTATGAGATAAAAGTCACCGCCAGAGACATTTAATATTTAAAAAAAATTTTTTTCCTGAACAGTTGTGATACTCAGCGTCCGCGGAACGCTAGTCAGGAAATTTATGTTGGCCGCCCACGAATTGGAAATGACAAGAGGGGAATGGGCTTTCCTCGACGTCGAGATATTTCACGTAAGGCTTTATAAAAAGAAATAAGAGAAGAGAAAATTCCAAATCCATATAAACGCAAACATGTGTAAATCGCGAAATGACACTTTTTTCCATTGGTATATATTAAAACGATAAAACAACTTTAAGGGCTCTTACTGGGGCGATCACGACTGGGAGGTCGGAGACGAGGACGATGTCGCTGCTAGAAAGGCTTATGAAGCTTTGTTGAGAGTGTCTCTTCTTCAGCCGACTAGTCCGAAATTTCAGGATTTCGCTGATAGCGTCAAGCAACGCGCGCAATCAGATTACAATTATACATTTTCGGAGGGCGAAGAAGTGAGCGAATTGTATTTTTAATACTTTGCGATATTGAATTCGTGTATTGTGGCGAGTCAAGATAAAATTGTGATTTTTATTTCAAACTGAGAATCTTAAATGTATGCTGAAGTTAAATAAAATTTTTTAATAATTTTTTTATAGAAATAAATTAAAATTATTTTTTTTCTGGCAGGTAAATTTCTTCGTCGGGGCGTTTTATGATGGTGTTTACTTGTTAGGGATTGCCCTGAATGAGACCTTGGCCGAGGGTGGCGATATCAGGGATGGCATATCCATAACAAGGAGAATGTGGGACCGAGATTTCATTGGCATTACGGGCCACGTCAGGATAGACGATAATGGGGATCGTGATGCAGATTATAGCATCCTTGATTTAGACCCTATTACCGGAAGGTCATTGAAATTTCATACAATCCGCTCCGCATGGCTTTATCGTCGTTTGAATACAGAGACATATTACCAGTTGCCTATTTGCGATTGGAATGCTCAATACCTTAAGATATTGTTTAAAATAGAAATACAGCAGCTTTATTAAGAAACTTCGTTATATATAAAAAAAATTGAAATTAAGCTTTTCGATATAAAATCATGATAGAAAGAAAAGACGAATTAAAATTAATCTAAAGTACTATCATATATACAACTTAACATTTGAATAAAAAATGTTACGTTTAAATGTATTAAATTATTAAAGAAAAAATTGAGAAAAAAAATACTGTATCTTACAGGTTCGAAGTAGTTGCTCATTATTCGGGATTAAATCGAGAATATAATTCTATGTCCGGTAAAAGAATCCATTGGCCAGGAGGAAGAGAAGGACCACCGCCGGATATTCCAGAGTGCGGCTTCTTAGGGAATGATCCGGTTTGCACATCGAGGACAGAACACTTTTACACCTTCATAGCTTATACCGGCATAGCCCTCGCCGTATTTCTGCTCGCTGCAATCACAGCCGCATGCCTTTTATACAGGTAGACTTATTAAATAGTTCTTCATATCCTAAATTTGATGCAAAAAATTACTATATATATATCTTTAAAATAAAAATAATCAAAAGAAAATATATATAAAAAAGCGAATCCTTTCTATATAATTATACCTGTATAAATATATATATATATATTTCCTTCCTTCCCCCAGAAAATAATAAAAATAAATTAAGATTGTTTATATTAAATATTTATTTATAAATGTATGGCAAAAATGTTTTAAATATTAATTGAAATAAAAGACGAGACGTTTTTCGTTAGGCACTTACGGTTGTCCGCCGACTTGAATAACATGTCTTGGCGTGTAAGACCCGAGGAATTGCTTCTCGAGGTTGGAAAACAGTTTTCCTCGAAGATAAATCTGCACCAAGCCATGTCCGATACGAATGTAAGTGAATAAATTATAAATATGCGCGATGAAACGTGCAGCGATAGATTGAACATATAATTTTTAGAATTTCGGATTGGAACCGAAGATACGTCGAGGATCGCAGATCAGTTGTGAATCTTTGCCGCCCGCGAGAGTCTTCACCACCATCGGGATATACAAGGGCGAGAGGGTGGCTATCAAGAAAATCACGAAGAAGAAAGTAGTCGACGTCACGAAGAAATTACTTTGGGAAATTAAGCAGGTCCGCGATGTCACGTCGGAAAATACTGTGAGGTATTCATCTCTCAATAGAAGATCTTCGCCTTTATATTTTATTTCTTAAATAAAACAAATAATTTTCCATGAGATTTTTTTCATTATATATCGCTAATACAATTTAAAATCTGCCAAATTTTATATCATACCTTTAATTTAAATTGTCCGTCAGATTTATCGGAGCTTGTCTCTGCTCGCCATCACCGACCGTCTTGATTCTCACAGAATATTGTCCTCGAGGATCGTTGAAGGACGTCCTGGAAAACGAAGCGATTAAGTTGGATTGGAATTTTCGAATGTCCCTGATCCACGATATCGTCAAGGTAGAGGCAGGTGCAGAGGTCATGTGTTTCTCGTCAAGTACTTTAAAATATTCTAAATACCTCTTAACAATCTATAATATTTTTATGCATTCGCAATCGCCCGAGATTAATTATAATTAAGATAGCTGACAAAAAAAGGATTAAAAAATCTTACCCTCTTGCAGGGAATGTCCTATCTTCATGCCAGCGAAGTTTCGGCCCACGGAAAGTTACGGTCGTGCAATTGTCTGATTGACGGTCGTTTTGTCCTGAAAATCTCAGACTTTGGACTTAAAACTCTCACCACGCCCTCCGATTTAATTATGGACGAGACTTATTATACCAGTGAGTCATGCCTGTTATTAAAAAAAGTACGATGTGGCGTATAAATACGGTTTTTATAGCGCAAGGGGAAATGTGTCGTTGTTCTATCTTCATTTGCAGAATTACTTTGGATCGCTCCGGAACTGCTGCTGTTAACGGTGACCCCCGGGAGTGCCGCCACGCAGAAGGGCGATGTTTACAGCTTCGCGATTATCTTGGAGGAGATAGTGGTTCGGGGCGGTCCTTATGAAGTAGCCAGGACGTTTATGACGCCGCAAGAGGTACAGTTGGTATCATCATCCTCTGTCTATCTTCATTATATCTTCTCATTATCGTTTCCATTATTTATTTCGAAGATTATGAGCAGAGTGTCGGCGTCAGAGAATCCTCCGTTCAGGCCGGAAGTCGCTCCGAAGGACTGTCCACCGGATATACTGTCGCTGATGGAGAAATGCTGGCACGAAGTACCTGACGAACGACCCAGTTTCCACACAATTCGCGGCACGATACGAGGAATCATGAAGTATATTTTGAAATTCAACTCTCTCATAAAACTTTACAATTGAAACTGCTGTCACAGAGATCATGTATCCGCGTTTCAGGGGATATTGCGAGAATTTAATGGACGATTTGCTACGGCGGATGGAGCAATACGCCAACAATCTGGAAGCTCTCGTTGAGGAGAAGACCGAGCAATTAAGTATGGAGAAGCGTCGTAGTGAGGAATTATTGTATCAAGTGCTTCCAAGGTAGCTGAAAATTCTCGTCATCTTCCTTCGGAGAATTAGCGTTAGCTTTCATTTGATTGTGATGGAATTAAACTTTAAAGACAGGTCGCTGGTCAGCTAATGGCCGGGGAGATAGTTCAACCGGAGCAATTCGAGTGCGTTACTATCTACTTCAGCGATATCGTCGGTTTTACGGCGCTGTGCGCTCAGAGTATGCCCATGGAGGTCGTGGATTTCCTCAATGACTTGTACAGTACCTTCGATAATATTATTGGATTCTACGATGTTTATAAGGTGGTTTATAAAATTATTTAATTTCTTGCTTAAACTCTATAAGATTTTTTCGAAAAAAATATATAGATTTTTTAAGCATTTACTTTGGATCTTTAAAAATAAATTTTGGGAGAATCTTGAGATGGAGATGAGAGTATGATTCTCAGGTGGAAACTATAGGAGATGCGTATATGGTCGCGTCCGGTCTTCCGGAGAGGAACGGCGACGAACACGCGAGGGAAATCGGATTGATGGCTCTGGCTATATTAGACGCTGTGAGATCGTTTACTATAATGCACAAGCAGAATACTCAATTAAGCGTACGAATCGGTGTCCACAGTGGTCCAGTTTGCGCCGGGGTGGTGGGCCAAAGGATGCCGCACTATTGTCTCTTTGGCGACACCGTAAATACGGCATCTCGAATGGAATCTTCTGGACTTCGTAAGATCAACTTATATAAAAATATATAAAATTAATACAAATTACATTAATAATAATAATAATGATGAAAATATTCGCAAAATTCTAGATTTTTAAAATTGAAAGAAACATTTGGACGAAAAAAGAATTCTATATGATATTTAAGTAAATTTCTATATCTTACAGCTTTGAGGATACACGTCTCCAAAGCGACGAAAAATATCTTGGACAAGTTCAAGACGTTCGACCTCGAACTTCGAGGGGAGGTGGAGCTGAAGGGAAAGGGTAGGGTGACCTCCTACTGGTTGACAGGTTGTTCGGAGCCCGATTCCAGGTTGGCGGTGCCAAAATATCGTAGATTGAGTACTAGTCAACCGGAGAATAATCTGAATCCATTAATCTTTCCACCGAATAATACGAACGGACCGAAAACGAGCAACAACACGTTCATCAATTTGACAGAATTGTAATAATTAATATTCAATCCTTTACAGTCCTACAAATTGCAACCTGAAAAAGATTCAAATGTCACGCGATAATTTAAGAGATATAAAAATGTCCGCAAAAATTATGATCCGTAAGAAAGAGAGAGCCACACTAGAAGTTATCTTTTTCGGTTTTACTTCGATGTTGTATATAAGAACGGCTTAACGCTATATCTCAATGTGAATTGGATCTAATATTGTAATAAAGCAGTTTTTTAGGCTTATTACAATTCCAACTTTTATTCGAAATTTTACATCAATAGCGTCTTATTTATTTAAATTAACGAAACATGATAGGCTTTTCGTGAACAGGTATGTGTATTAAATTAATATTATCTAAGTATGATACTGTTCATTTAGCTTTGTCTTGAAATACAAGTACATTGCACAATTGGTACATATAATTAAGTCTGCTTATTGTCTAACAATAATCTACATAGCTATTCTCTAGTCTTTAGTTCTTTTTTTTCATCTTTAAATATAAAAATTTAATGTAAAAGAGATGTAAAAAAATTTAATCTGATCAATTTTTAAAATGTTTAAATGATACTTGTGCTTTTTGTATATCGTGTATATAGTGTAATATGTTATATATTTTAATTTTAATATTATATATAATTTATCTTTATCTCAACATATTATTTTTAAACATTCCAATGATAAAAGCATCTTCAATTTCTTTTGCTAATTATTATCATTATCATGATTATCGCTACTATAAATGGTTATAAATCTCTGTGATCTCTATCATTCTTATTTATCATTACATCTAGAAGACCGCATTAATCTGTTCCATTTGTGACAAAATCTTGACAATATCCTTGTAAGCTACTTAGATGCCAGGAACATTATTAATCTGCAAATGAGAAATTACACGTTGTACATATAAAAGGAACATATTTATTGTATTATATTGCAATAAAGTAAACTGCGATATAGCTCTACCATGTCTTAGGATCAATCCTTTACCTAAAACTGATGGCTTTAGCAGCGAGAAGTCTATTGCATTCTGCCGTATCCGGTAGTGGTAATGTAAAATACGGACTTTCGTTTTCCTGTTCGGTGAACTCGAATCTGTGAATTCTCGGATGCACTTTCATGTCGCCGAACGGGCCTTTCAAGATCAAGTAATAAACCGGTAGCGGATAAGTGGTTTTTGTCTTTAGTATCAGCTACGAAATATATTTTTATACTTAGAACACGCAGTACACTGCGTACCAAATAAATTTATAATGCTTTAATAATAATATCGCAATAATTTTCTTAATAAAAATATGTTATTCTTAACCCATATACATATTTTATATTGCACTCTATATTAACTTAAAATTTTCTTTGAAATCACAAAGATATGCAGTTTTTTTCGTACTTGATAAGTCATGTCTCGCTCTGAACTTTGCGTAGGATCGCGTTGACTACTATTGATCTTCGCCTTCACTACCCATTGATTGTTGAAAGCACCGAATCGTGAGGTTTCATAAAATAGTTTGTGAACAAATTCATCAGTTCGATACGGCTTCATCTGTAAATCTATAAACGATAAAATTTTACAGATAATTGAAAGATTCTTCGAGCATCATCTGTAGCTATAAAACAAAGGGAAAGAAAACACCAAGATCGTTGAAACTCGACAAAATGATTTACGACAATTGTAATTATTGCTAGGGAGATAAAAAAAAATCAAGACATACATGTGTATTCAATATAATACAATCTACAAAAATTATTTCAACATATTGTATATCTGTAACTGTGTTATAGTGATATTTAGCAACTGATACAGACCGTTAAATGTGATTTTCTCGTAGGACAAAAGATCAAAGACATTGTCATAGAGCCTACGTTCTTCCAAGGTGCGGGCATCGATTTCGCGTAAAGCTTCCATCACATCCGCACCTGTACGATGAGGATGAACGCAGTGAGCCTCGTGTTCCGGAATTTCATGATTCGGGCCTCGCCACGGACAGCCGATTCTACTATATTTGCAACTAGATATCCTGTACAAGTAATTAGATGTTAATGCGAACGCTCGTGTGCGTTCGTATGAATATATTATATAATCAAAAAGAGAAACAGATAGCAGATTAGATGGGAAAGATTTACGACATGGGATTTTAGGGAAGTCAAATTATTATATAGGTATATTTAACATGATTCTATAATCTCGGATATATATATTATGTGTATATTAAATGTAGGAAATTTTGGGAAAATCACGTTTGCATACAATTAATTGCCTTGTCTATACTATGTATACTCTATATTATGTATTCGTAGTCCATCCCCCTGTAACTATACTGTAAAGATCAGTTAGATTAGAAGTATAAAGACAAAAAAATCCCATATAACTTTTCCATAAATTTTTTTCTCTAGAAAATTTACCTCTCCTCGCAGGTAGCCTCTTCGTGGTGCTCCAAGGAATTTCGCGGGAATTCCTTCGCGCAATATTGACATTCGGCAGGTAACTCAGACACGGCTTTCTCAACCGCCAGATTTCGGGACGCGCTGGTTTTGCTGATTTCGATTCTGCAGTTGGGACATGTTGCCATTTCATCCCGAAGCCTGGCATCTGCGAGGACATGAGTGAAGCAACCAGCACACATCAAGTGTCCATTAGCACACTGTGAACATCATTGCAGCATGTATTATTAACGTCCTTATTTATATGATTGCATTGCTTTTATGTCAAAAGTTTAAAAACCTAGTGCAATTATTCAAGATGTAACTCTATCTAAATTATGTACGTAGATTTCATCGACTGATTTGCACGAAAAAAAATACAACCTACGCTATTAATTTAACATTGCAACAATAAGTCAAGTTCCTCATATTTTTTTTTTTTCATTACATTACGCATTAGTAGTCAGTTCTGTTTTGCATTCTTACTTATGTACACACTACAGAAACCCCAAAACACAATCAATCGAAAATAGAACAAAAAATTAGTGCCATGTATATTACCATGATTTTGATGTTTAAACCTGAAACACAAAATCGTACGGGTACTCATTAATCACAAATGTACTTATTGAGATATATATATAGTATGTCTCAAAAATTAACACGAGCACTCTCTAGAGAATCATTTCTTTTTTTTCAACAGTGCCAATATTATCGATGACAGGAAGGAAGATACGAGGATGATGATACGTAGGAGAAGTGAAAAGGGGTGTTTTATGCGAAATAACTAACTAATAACCTTTAAGAGTATTTATTTTTGTTTCGCACTATACAGTTTGTACAAATCTTTTTCTTTCTTTCCGTATTCGCTTTCTCTCCCTCACTCTCACTCTCTCGCTGCTGACTATAATTGATGAGCATCAGTCTCGCAAATTAATCTAACAACATGTAGATTTTTATATATTCCTTATATTGTGTGTGCTCTGAATAATAATATTATTCCTGTCTCTCGATAACTCTCTTATAATAAACATAGTTGTGTTTCATAAGTTTTCAAATATCATTATAAATATATACTAAGCAACTACACAGAGATCTAGAATCTTAAATACTTCACTATTTATCTATAACCGATTTAAGTGGTGGCACTAATAAACTAATACGAGGTTTCAAATATTTTTCTGTGAATCAGAAACAAACATTATTCTTTATAAATACGACAGGTCCTATATAAAAACAAAAATTATAGGGCAGTGCAGGATATGTGTTCATAAAAGTTTACAACTGAAAGATAAATACAATAGATAAATTCTCGTATCACAAAAGAAAGTATCTATGTGTGCATCTGCACATAAGGGACTTTACACACATATATTTAACATTAGGGATACCAAGATAGGTAATACAACTGTCGTACTATGATACAAAAATAGTTAGTTGTAGTATCAATCAAATATATTCTTTCCTTCATTTTTTCTTTCTCGTGTCAGTGATATTCGATAAGAAAAATATTGAAGATGAAATTAATAGCGGCTTCGATCCTATGGATTTTGGGAAATATCTACAAACAGCTGATCGACAAACAAATATCGTTTCGTTTGTTGTCAATGTTCTAAATGAATTCATAACTGCATGCATACACATTTAACAAATTGTGAATGCTGCTGTACATTTTATCTGAGGGAAGAATTTTATTTCATAAATATATTTGAATTATTTGGGAATTTTAAATTATTCTTATTTCCAAATGATTGAAATGATATATGTATATATGAAAGCACATAATTATGTGAGATGCCAATAAACTGAAAGTAACAAAATTCTGTGTGTGTAACTTTTTATGTTATGATATCACAGAAAGATGTATTCTCTTAAATAAATCAGTAGATATTAAAATTTCTCAATATATAAAATTTTATACACATTTTTTATCTATGTATTATATAGTTTAATATATTAAGTCTATGAATAATATTTTGTCAAAGAAATTCTTTCATATATTTTATATATATTTTATATATATTTTATATATTATATATATTTTATATATATTATATATAAATATATATATGCAGGTGAGAAAAGAACTTTATCTGCGTATACATACAAAAAAAGACGCATTTCATTTCTTTATATCATTTTTCTTCATGGAAAAAGAAAAAAATATAAAGTTACCTACCTGTAAAACTTATAACATGTCTCGTAGACAAACTTGTCTCATTAGACAAACTCATTATTCGACCTGTGTATAAAGCTCAATTTATAGAATAGGGGACTGTACTATCACATGTAAGGATTATTTTGTTTTATTTTAATTATCAATATTGAATAGAGTTAAATATAAAATATAAGGAAATGCAACTTGAGATACCGAGATCCATATTACATCGCAATTGATTAAAAATTGTTACAACAAAATATTATTAAAAAAATGCAATTGTTCAATAATTTACTAACATTCCATATCTAGATTATTAAACCTCTGTAGTTTGTTAATAGCGGAAAAAAACAGAAAATAAAAACGGAAAGAGAGAAAGAGAGAGAGAGAGAGAGAAAACAATATTTTTAGTAATAAATTGAATAAAAATAAAGCATAGCAGGAAAAGAGAAAATTGCTGCAAATAATATATAAATAGTAATAATATGACATGATGTAAATATTGTGTTGGTTTTATATATAACTATATATATATATATATATAAATTCTTCATCAGAGATTTCTCCGCAAGAACCCAAGTAGCAAACCGACGTCATTAAACATTAAATGTCATTCTAACGTCTAATGACGTATACCCTTGCCATCTGGGAATTATCTGTTTACCAAGTACTTGTGTGTAAAAAAATATACATATTTTTCCAGAATAAACTGTCAAAACAAAATAACGCGTCGTCCTCCGGAAGACGAGCAGAAAGAGCTCCACGCGCCTTTAAAAAGATCCCATTGAGGAATGTCTCTCCCCATATGTACAAGTATACACACATAAACAAAGGCTTGCACATGGTGCTTGCACGCCAAATGAATGGCACTATTATTGTGTGTCATAGGTACGCACGATCGTGTCTAAAAAACCGACCGACTTTCCTAGTATCTGGTAAACCCATCGATCGATCGACGAGAAGGGTCGTCACGGAAAAGAGGGGGAGGAAAAAGGGGGAGGAAGGTGGGGGCGCGATATACGTCCAATAATTATATCCTAACGTAGGAACGCCTCGCGACGAGCCACGTCGATTTAAAAGACGGACCCCAGCGAGACCGAAAGAATAACAATATTATACATCCTGAATGATATACATTTCCGAGGACGACGACGCGCGACGAGAGAGACACGATTAGGTATCCCTCGAACGGAGAGACTTACCTGATAGACGGCCGCTCGTGGCAGATCGAGACAAACTGCGCAGCAGAGGATACCGCCCAGGCGGTGCTCCAACTTCTGCTCGGTCTTGGCGGCGTCGTCGGCCCGCGTCGTCGTCCTACGTCGTTTCTTGTCCGGCTCGTGGAAGTCCTCGGGTTTGTCGAGGTCCTCGCGGATCGGCGTCGCGTGGCCGGTGGCCGCCGTCGTCGCGGCGACCTGCTCCGAGACGCCGCTCGACGATGCAGG